AGGCTATTTAATCTAGACGAAGACGAAATACTAACTTTAACTCTTAGCTTAATCTTTATATAACTAGCGATACCTATCCTAATTCTAGAGATTCTTAAGTCTATTAGTCTATATAGAAAGAAGTAGTTTCTTTTTTAGATAGAGATAGTTAACGAAGATTTTATCGATTAGTAGTAAAGGACTAACTATAGAAGCCGAATAGAATAAAATATCTTTAAAAGTAAATACTAGATAGATACTTAGGAATACTTCTACTAGATTATTACTATCTCTAATAGGTCTTCTAAGATAATATATAAATAGTATAATTATATCCTTACTTATCCTACCGACCGGTACCGAGGAATATCGACTATAAATAGATATTACTTATAAGCTACTACCTATTAAAAAGGAAAGAGTAAGATATAAGATATTAGAAAGATAATCTTAAATAGGATATAAATACTATCTATAAGGCTAATTTATATTAACTTATATAATTATCTCTAGGTAAATTACCTATCTAGTAAAAAAGGCTTCTTAGTAAACGCTTAGATAGATAGGTTAACTACTTTTATTATAACTATATATCTACTATTTTAACTTATTAAGTACCCTAAATTTTATGTCTTTATCGAGATAGCTTTTTCTACCCTATTTATTCCTAAAATACTAAGTACTAGGACTATCCGTCGGTATTTTTAGAAGATAGTTATAGAATATTAGGAGTCTCTATTTTAAATACTCCTAGAGGGTACTAAGCTTTCTATTATATTAGATTACTAGACCTCTCTTTTTTACTAAGTATTTATAGTAGTTACTAGCTATTTTATTAATCTTAAGTAGAACTATTATAAGATTCTACTTAGCTTTAAACCTCTCTATAGCTCTTATATAGGCGCCTATCTAAATAGTATTCTACTTAGGCTATTTAAGAAGTATTAAATTACTAATTATATACTTACGGTTATAACTAATAATATATTAAATAATAGTATATTACTAACTACTTTTAAAGAGACTATTTCGTCTCTTAAGCTTCCTAGTTATATACTAATTATTTATATACTATATATTATATATATTATATAACTTAGTCTTAAGGAGCTTCTTAGCTAGATAGATATAAATCTACGAAATAATAGGGAAGAGATAGAATAGGCTAATTAGGGAGATAGCGCCTAGTAAGAGAATCGGAAGATTATATAGATCCTAAATAAAGTATACTATATCTCCTTTCTACTATTATTTCTCTATTTAATACTAACTATATAATATCCTCTAGGTTCGAAAGATTACTATCTATATTAATAAAAGCCCCTAGTACTACGAGAGTTTTAGTATACTTTAGACTAAAGAACTAAAGCTTATACTAATATAAGATATCTAAATACGCTAGAATTCTACCTTTCTAATATTTTAGTATATATATTAGCTATAGACTATATTTAATAGATTTTATAATTAGTTTAATCTAACTAATATAAAGCTAGATAAGGATAAATAGCGATAGATTAACTATCTACTATTAATTATCTATCTTTTCTTTAAGTTTATTTTATCTCTATTAACGATAACTAATATAACTATCTATAATATATTTAGGATCTATAATACCTTATTTATCTATATTGATAAAGTAAAGATATAGCTAGTACGAAAGAGAGTTAGGTAGAAGAAAGTAATAAAACTAGCGCTAGAGTATAGGTACAAAAAGCTTACGAAGTATTATAGCTAGACTAATAATAATCCGAATAATCTCTATATAATTAAGACTATCTTAGGCCTACGAAATAAGCTTAAGTTCTTTAGGATATTAGAATAGGAGAAATACTAAATACTATAGTATTAAGAGTCCCTTAAGACTTATATCGAGCCTTACTAATAGTATTATATAGAGGTATAGTTAATATTAACTACCTAGTTACTAAGTAATAATATCTCTAATATTAATATACTTCTAAGATCTACTACCTCTCTCTAGTTAACGCTAATTACTCTAGATAAAGTTATAAGATATCTTAGAAGTAATAAGTCTAATAATACTCTCTTATACTAATATATCTTAGTTTTTATTAATATTATATCTCTCTAGGTACTATTTAATTAATACCCCTAGTCTTCTAGAAGGCCTATAAGATAGAGTATCCTATCCTAGTAAGCCTTACTCGAGATATCTTTATAACTCCGGCTAGTAGCTCCGGGGTAGAGAGACTCTTTAACTCTACTTATAATATATACTACTATTACTATAGCTTATTAAAACTATAGATTATTTAGGATCTAATAATATTTATATATATAATAAGATTTAATATATAGTTAGAGTAGTTTATACTAATAGATAAGTTTCTCTTTACCTAAGAGAAATATACGAAGAAAGAGTAAGATAATACTAAGTAAGATAATAAAGAGTTTAATCCTATTAGCGATAATAAAGAAGGTAGGATAATAGATACTTCTATAGAAGTATCTATTTAGTAGCCTAGTTAACGAGTACTAAGAAAGAGAAGGGCTATTAATAGTTAGCTTACTAAGCTAGAAGATAATAAGATCCCTCTACCTAATTTTAATATCTAGAGGCGTTTATTAGGGCGTATCCTAAAGAGATTAAGATATAATATAGATTTTATATATAATTAGTAGAGATAAAGAATTAGGTTTTTTCGGCCGAAATTATTATTATTAGTTTTTTCTACAGAAATCCTCTTTAAGCTAAAATTAGCCTATATAAATAAAGAATAAAAATAGAATACTGAAAAATACTAACTGATTCTACATAAAATATATATATTACGGGGTTTCCTATATTAATCTTGTTTATAGGACCGTACGGGGGACCGGGACCGTAGTAGTGCGGTCCTAAAAAAGTTAGGACCGCCTAGCGGTCCTAAAAGTAAGGACCAAGCCCTATATAGTACGGTCCGGTCCCGGTCCCGGTCCGGTCCTAGGCGGTCCTTGCCGAGGTCTAATACAGTATCAGCTTGCTGTGACATTTTATCAACCTCTCTGTGCTTGAGCTGATGGCCTGTCACGGAGATACCTTTTCCCGCGTTATGGAGACTTTGGCGTTTTCTTGGGCGGCTGTTGGTGACCTCAAGGGGTACTGTAACTCCGTACAGGAACTCTCGTAAAACCAATCAAGCCTTTTTGAAGAAAGTTTCGTTTACTGCCTAGCTGACACTTTCGGGATTGTATTATTGGATTGGGATAGGGAAGTATGTTGCGCTGAACGAAAAACCGTCCATCATTACTCGGGAGTTTGGGATGCTCAATGCCCGACGTAACTGTCCAAGAGCGGGATATTTGTGTCTGTGTTCACCAGGGCATGATTCTCTTTTCATTTTTTTTTTTGGTCCCAATTGGAAATGTTCAAATCTCACTGGCAAATGGTGTCAATCCCGAGATATCTCCGTGGACTTACCTGAGCGAACCAGAATTTATGCTCGGAGCCGAGAGCCTTGTGGGACATGCATTTCAGTCTGAGTCTGCAGAGTACTCTGTCCGGAGAGTTTCCCGCTTGGATACCACAGAAGCGCCTCTCAACCCCTTTACTGACCCCTACAGAGGCAAGTACGGTAAGGTGTGCATTGAAAACGATTGGCCAAACCAAGCCAAAGACACCCCACTTTGATGGACATGTGCATTTCCTAATATTCTAACATTCCCCCTCTCTGGCCTTCCTACGGAGGTGGTTCGAAGAGAATACATCACCGAGCTCCAGGGAGGACAGGAGAAGAGCTTGACCCCCTGCCGTACAGGGCCTCCAGTCGGACCACTGTGCTACAAGGCGATAGCCAGATATCAAATTGAACTCGTACTTTTTCAATATCCTCCTTCTCGAGCCTCTTTAATCATTCTGAACACAACATAGCATCCGCAATGCCTAGAACCACGTTTAACAACAAAGTCATCTCCACGGCAATTCGAGTTCGTTACCTTTACAGTATCTGGGAGATGATGACACGGATTGCCTTGATAAAAGTTTCACTGGAGAAGCAAAAAATGTTCGCCTCACTGTTGAGAATCAAGGGGTCCATACGCTTTACTTTCGACGTCGCCGGCATCGTGCTGCCTTTTTTCCCGCCAGCCCTCGAAAGCACACGGCAAAAGAACTCGGGCTTCTCAGACAATAAAAAGTAAGTATCTGGGTGGCGCTCCACACCGATGCACCCAGCGAGGATCCACGACTCTAACACTGTACTGTGCAATCCCTTCTACGACATGCATCAAACACGCCGATATCACCGGTGCATCCTCCCGCGACATTTAATGCGTTTTGATTCTCGGTGCTAGCGCGGTTACTTTCGTTATGAGGGAATATGAGTTTAATACAACGTCCATGAGAGCAGTTTATGACAAGATCTCTTGACACTGTGCGCGCCAGGGCAGTCGGATGATTGATGGAAGAACTGTCCAGTGCATCACTCAGATCATCTTATATTTATCTTCTATCCCTCTTGGCTCATTCAACTACCGTTGAGCCGAATCCTCCTTGCGCATTATTCATCCCAACCTACTCTTCATAACATGCGGGCTTGCTCATAGCCCCTCACATCACAATGGATCTAACATTAGTTCCAAATTGCATCGCCGTTGAAAGCATCTCATACTGTAGCCTAAGAGGCTACTGTAGTACTGGTGTTACGACACCGGTATTCCGGATTGACCTGGCTTGCCGCACAAAAACATACGGACTCAGCCAGTTCTTAGTGGAAAAATACCCCTTCACAGATCGACATAACTTCTGTAACTTGCAATGTTCACAGTATGCACAGATACTGTAGCAGTCGCCAATAGTGGGGGTCTTCTCCAGCTAACCGTGCTTCAGTTTCTTCCAACGCTACGGCCAAGGCTGGTCCTCGAAAACACGTGGCTTGTGATATGCCTCAAGGTCGAAGCCACGACAGAGACAATCGTGCCGCTTAGCTGGCGTCCATAGACTGTGTAAAAGCCTGGCATCGCATCTCACTGAAGCCCCGTCGCCACAGGTATGTGTCCATTTCCACAGTCCGTCCATGTCAGAATTGGCATGGCAATTTGGAATCAACCACGCTCCTGTGAAACTGAAGGGCCAGCTTGGAATTGTTTATATCTCCCTGTTCCTTCACGTCTTCAATTTCGACCAGCAAGTGACAGTGGCTAAACCAGTTCTGGATCTCATGGCCGCTGAACCCGGGTCTATGATTGTCTGCCGAGTAGTCATGTGCAGAGATCAAGATACATTGAATGCTACAACCGCTCGTCTTCCTTACTATTACCACGACCTGGCTAGTTGGGGAAGGCTTTGGGAGCGAGTGCAGAAAGAGACAGGCATCAAGCTGAACTTGGAAAGCTGGGAACAAGAGGATGCTCTGGCCAAGAAACACCCTCTTCAAGGGATTTACGTCCTCGGTTCCTCTATTCGTCGGGATTAAAGGCTGGGTGGGGCCTGTGGTTCTTCTTGGAAGCTCACCTGCAATCCACGGAGAGGTAACCGTGTTTATGGTCATACCAAACTTCCAAGATAGGTTTTAAATCGAGGCTGGATCCGTTTTTCTGTCTGTGGCTTGCTCTCTCCCGAAGTCGTGTACGTCAAAATCTGTCCGATCGTCAAGACGTAGCCTGGGAAGCAGCATCTTGCAGCATACACTTTATCTCTCATCCTGGAGAATTAATGCATGATCATGTTTACAGGTCATAAATATTTCCCCTCGTGTCTACCAGTTATAACCGTTAGATTACTTCTCTTTTTGTGATTCTGGATTTTTACCTTCTGAGGAGCCCAAAAATTTATTTCTTTTAGTTTTCAAATAGGTCGAAGAACAGTACTATCAGCCTCAAACATTGGTCAGCCGAAGAGAGGCATAGAATGAGTCATTTACGCTCTTTGGCACCCAATTCATCGGGGAAGAACCACGCCTGAGGATGCCCCAATTTATTTATCTCGCATTTCAACTAGAGGCTTGACTTCCTCTTAGTCTATTGGCAGGCTTTGAATCCGCTAGAACAACCATGATATATCTTCGGGGGTTGTAGAGCAGAGAGTGGCAGCTAGTCGACAAAGAGCAGCATGAAGATTCAAATAAAGTAAATATAGATACTCTAGATAATTATCGCAAAGTGCACCTAATAGAGCGATATCCCGGTTAGTATAGAGAACTAGTGGTTAGAATATCAGGGATTTAAGCTATATGAAGAAAGTTTATAATGCCTATTTATATAACTCTTCCTATTTATTTTACATAAAGCAAAACGTAATGCTAAATATCGTGTTTAATAGTGAAACACCTATAATATAGACTAATAGCATTTCATAGCGATTTATCATATATATATAATCTAAAATAAATACTTTATTATACTAATTCGCCTTGAGGAGAGACCACACCAATCCCTCCAACTCATTCTTAATCTGTCGCTCGGTTCTTTGATTTACTCTGATGACTGGCGATTGAGCTGAAATATGGAATAGTCTTAGCAGATGAGTAATTCAATCATGATTCAGCCCCAGTTACCGACCGATGCCAGATACAAGCAGGTGCGTGTTCAATTGGCCAGCCCATCACCGTCAACAGATCCAGCAAATAAAGTAAGCACGAGTAACAAAGTGCAATTAATCGCGAAGAGATAAACTAAGTACATGAATGAGTGTCCTTTTACGGTATATCCTTCGCGTCTCCTCCCAGATGTACTGCAAGGAACTAGCCTCCCGAGTCGCCGTCGATCGTCATGTGTGGGCTACCAAATTTTGAATATGCTATCCTTTGTACGGAGTGACCTAAAAAATAATTCAGAATGTAACTGGGATGCCGAGAGCATCATCCACAATAATGTTGGGGTTGTAATACTGGTGGACTTGCGTACTCCCGAAGGTGGGCTATCTCGCCACAACCTCCATACAGGAATGTTCAGCTGGCATGGCTTAATAGCCAAGTCTTTTTGTTGCCCTGTTGAAAGTAAAACTTATGGACCCCTAGATATGGCTAGTCAGTGATAATCCATTAATCCCGGATCCTAAGACTGCCTACTCTGATCTTCCAACAGCACAACCTCTTCGTTGGGGAGGAAGTTGATATCTTCAGCAATTTCGCAAACTAAGTCCCAGGTTTGGCCATATTGATTCTCAACCGTGAGGTGAACGTTTTTCACCTCTCCGGTGAAACATTTTCCAAGATAGTCGGTCTCGTCGCCCTCTAGATAAACATGGCTAACGGACACCGCCGTGGAGATGATGTTGTTGTTAAACCTGGTTCCAGGCATCGTGAGATGCTGTGATTTTCTCAGAGACAATAAAGAGGTTGGAGGAGGATAACTCTGTGGGGCCGAAACCTGACTTCATCAAAAATTTAGTCATCATCAGTCTCTCACTGTGTTGGGATGTCAACCTGAATCGACGCTCAAGATTCACCTCACCGTTGTAGCCATGGAACACTGATAAATCCGATGATTTTGCGATCTGAACCAAACAGACTTCAGATGATCTGCAGATCCATTTCTCTAAGCAGGCTCGTTCCTTAAGTCAGTTTTCATGACCAAAGAGTTCCGGCCGAGTGCGGCAATTCCTCGGAGTTTGCGAGCCCAGCCTTCACTTTCGGATAGTCTTTCCCTGTCACGCTTAACTGAAGAATAATCAAAAAAAGGACGAATCGAAATGTTCGAAGTGTGCTCCGTACTTCATACCTCTGTACGAGTCGACTATGTTTTGTGTGGTAAATCGACCCCGCGCAGAATGGCCGTGGGTCTTTTGACATTCAAACAGTGATCTCCTTCACAGTTCTTCAATCAAATTATGATCCGACACCTGCTTTGTACCAGTATTAAGCCAGTCTTAGCGCCCGAGCATATCATGGTTAATGCAAAGCGGGATTCTCCGTGGCGAGCCGGAAAAGATCGAGCATCCCCATGCGGAGCTGGTTGAAAGTGATTGACCGCATTCACGATCCCAAGAACTCTGACGTTCAACCCCTTCCCCAACATGGCCAATGTTGACTGGCGGCGTCTTACCCAGTCGTGATTATCGATCACAATGACAGAGACAAGTGCGTCGGGCACGGGCACCGAGAAAAGCGCGACTGCAAAGTCCAGGGTTAGCACTGGAGATGAAGGGAAGGATACGCAGGCAAAGGAATCGCAAGCAGCATCTGCGGCAAAGTTCGAAACGACTGGCACGGGCAGTCGCCCCAGTATCAAGAAGCCTCGCAAGGTGAATCACGGTAAGGTACCGTTCACACAGGATGCATGCAATACGGATCTGGGCACAATTTTCGGACCTGGGTCGCGTGAAGATTGGGAAGTGATTATTCGCTAACGACTGATTCTTATTCCCAGCATGTGTCTTTTGTCGTCGCTCGGTAAGCTCAACATGCAAACACCCTACAACGCCCTGAGTCGCTCCCTGCGAAACCCTCGAGGGCGGCTAGCCAGCCTCCAATGTTGAGATATATTTGAGGACACCACTTTGCTAACTGGAGCCACTTGGTCGTGTGGGACAGCATATGACTTGCGATCCGGTACGACCTCCCTCCCTCGTTTGAGCCCATTCCCGTTTCCTGTGCCCCGTGGAACCAGCTGCCAACGCCGTTGCAAACCAGAAGATGTGCCTGCTGACCAGTTTCAATTCGTGAAGGGACGGCCTTGCACCCGATGTATAAAGCGCGATATCGGCCATCTGTGCCATGATGAGCTCAGGGAACCTACGAGACAGACGCAAAGTAAGCAAGACCATTCGGCCGCAGACAAAGAAGGCTCCTCCAACAATGAGCTGGCCAACGTTCAAGGTATGCCTAGAACGGTCGACGTCCCGGATGCTGCTGGTCAGAAAATCCTCCCCGATGGCACGATCGGAATCTCGCCTTCCTCGGCGCGGCCTGGGGACATTCCCCCCTCTGGCCGGGGCCTCGATTCCAATTCTCAGTGGCGTAAGCGCAAGAAAAAGTCGAATGCTTTTGTACTTTCAGACTCGGCTAACATGGGGTCGCAGTGATGGCGTACAACGACTGGTTGGGTTCACAGAACCAGTTTCAGGACATGCATTGGTTCCATCAGTCGTACATGTTTAATGCACCTAAGGTCACGAACGAGTACAATTTGCTCGGTGATTTTCTCAGTAACAGTCTGTTAAATAATAGGGCGATGTTCCAAAATCAGGATATACCGGGCATCTACTCTGATCCGTCGTTGATGAACTCTATAGGTACGCGAGTAGTATCACATGGTCTGCCGCAAACTCGTCTTCCACCACCGGCACAAGGCCAGGCACAATAGGATGACTCAACTCAACGACCGGCTTCCACAGTGGGGAATAACAAGGCTCACGAGACATACTACATGACTGCTGCAGACCCGTCGGGATCTGACCCCCCAGAGGAGCGCATGAACAAGCTTCTCAAAGCGAAGTACGACGCTGGGTTGCTGAAGCCCTTCAACTATGTCAAGGGGTACGCCAGACTCAATGAGTACATAGAAAAGAACATGCAGAATGCGTCCCGCCAAAGGATTCTCCGACAGTTCGACAAGTTTCGGCCCAAATTCCGAGAGCTTATGTATAGCTTGACGGATGTCGAACTGATCCTGGTGGAGATATGGTTTGAACAGAGCTTGATGGAGTACGACCGCGTCTTCGCCAGTATGGCCATCCCCGCCTGCTGCTGGCGACGGACGGGCGAGATCTTCCGAGGTAATAATGAGATGGCGCAGTTGATCGACGTCCCGATTGAGAGTTCGCGAGATGTGAGTGTTGGATGATTTGGTCCGATTATCTTCTTTGCACCACGAACTCATCGATGTCTGCTTGCAGGCTAAACTCGCCATCCATGAAATCATTACCGAGGATCAGCTGGTTAGCTACTGGGAGACATTCGGCGCGATTGCTTTCGACAACTCCCGGAAGGCCATACTCACCAGCTGTACTCTTAAAAGCCCTACACATGAGGAGGGCGGGGCGATCCCATGCTGCTTCTCCTTTACGATTCGACGAGAAAACCACGATATGTAAGTGCATTAAATCCTGGGATTCTTTTACGCTCGTACACTGACGCGTCCCATCTAGTCCATCTCTCATCGTTGGCAATTTCCTCCCAACGTAACAGATACAGGTGTAAGTAGCTGTGGGCATAGAATGGTATTTATCTCTCATTGGTTATTTGGACTATGGGAGTGGGGTGGCATGTACCAATGGGTCGAAGATTATTTTAGCCAATGAAAGTGTGTACAACCAGATGCCCACAGAAGCCTTGGGGGCCGCTAGCAAAGTCTGATGCCCACGTTGTAATTCCGTATCCTAAAGTGGGCCTAAAAACCACTTGCTAAAAATTTTGCCAGGGGATTCTTTCTTTTTACCCCTCCAAGATCAAGCTATCCGTAAAACAAAACATTCATTTGTGTTCGGTCAGTCGGGTCACTATGCCCCCTAAGAAGGTTGAAGCTGTCAAGGACAATGTTGTCGCTTTCGGAAGGGTTCGCAAGAACCTAAAGATGGGATGCGTTGGTCTGCCTAATGTGGGAAAGTCGAGCCTGTTCAATCTCTTGACCGAGCAGAGCGCTGCCGCAGAGAACTACCCCTTTTGTACAATTGAGCCCAATGAGGCGAGATGTGCTGTTCCCGACATTCGATATGTAAGTTAAAATACTCTACAGCCAGGATATTTAATGGATGGCTGAACTAAGCAATATATATAGGACTTTCTCTGTGACCTTTGGAAGCCGCCCTCCATGTACCCAGCGTATCTGCAGGTCACCGACATTGCCGGCCTGATCAAGGGTGCTTCCCAGGGAGAGGGACTTGGAAATGCCTTTCTATCTCATATCCAGGCCGTTGACGGCATGTTCCACATTGTCAGGTCTGGAATCCGTCACAAAACTGCCGCGCTTTCACACTAACTCTGACTTTATGACAGAGCATTCGATAACGATGAAGTTTTGCATGTCGATGACTCGATCGATCCCGTCCGGGACTTGAGTCAGTTCATCCAAGTCACCTAAGATGATGAAACTAATCGGTGCATTTTCTAGATACCATCCAAAGCGAGCTTTGCAAGAAAGATCTCGGTTTGTTTTGCCCTTTGAATCGGCTTGCCGCCAGCTAATCCTTGTTAAGATATTCTGCAGAAGACCGTCATTGCCGAGGAAGCAATCGTCAAAAAGGCAGGTGGCAAATACAAGATGCTACCTCTCTTCACAGAGACAACGACAAAGATCCGAACAGTGAGCCCGAGATTTCCGGCCTTATTGGTCTAACCATTTAAATGTGCTTATAATCGTGAAATAGATGTTGGAACAGGATCAGCCAGTCAGAGATGGAAGCTGGACACCAGCCGAGATTGCACTCATCAACGAGAAGATACAGCTAATCACCACAAAGCCAACCATCTACCTTGTCAACTTGACAATGAAGGATTACCTCAGACAGAAGAGCAAGTACCTGCCGCTCATAGCCAAGTGGGTCACCGAGCACGGAGGTATTCCCCGAGACATTGTTCCCTTCTCTATTGAGTTTGAAGAGAAACTTTACAGTATGAAAGATAATCCAGCCGCACAAGCCGAGTTCCTCAAGGAGAGCAAAGTCAAGTCAAAACTGGACAAAATCATCACTGAAGGATTCACTAAGCTTGGCTTGCAATACTACTTTACCGGTTTGCTCGTAATATGCTCCGTCTGGATGAATTCGCGCTGATTTGTACGTAGCTGGCGAGAAGGAAATTAGATGCTGGACCATCCCAAGAGGGTGCCTATCACCACAAGCTGCTGGAGCTATCCACAGCGATTTTGAGAAGGGATTTATCAAGGCTGAAGTGGTCGCGTACCAAAATTTCCACGATCTTTGTGAAGGTGGCAAGTCCATGGGCCCAATTAAGGCTGCTGGGAAATACCGACAAGAAGGAAAGACTTACGTATGTACAAGGATCCCTCCTCATGTTGCAGCAGCTAACTTCATATTTCCCTAGGTTGTCCAAGATGGAGACATTATCCACTTCCAATTCAGTAAGTTACAATTCGACACCGATATTACTGTCCCAGCTGTTTTACTCGTATTTATTATAGCAAAGAGCTAACTCTTTTGTTTTAGACGTTTCAAATAAGAAATAGATTTACTGTGTCGGGGCCGGCTGACTTGGAGATTCGGATGAAGTGCCGGCGTTCCTGTATAGCATTTCATGCCAGAACTTGTATCAGTTGTTTTAACTAGAAGATCGCACCGGGGCCGATTGCGAAATTAAGAGGGAGACTCAAATCAAACAAGTATATCGCGCTGTTTCGTCAAGGGGAATATCGACTCTATTATATTTCTGAGGCGTTTCTCTGTAATACGTGCAGATAGCGGTTGCCATTTAATGTTGGTCCACACTTCAGATCGTCTAATCAAGCATTTGCTCCTGTACTCCTAGGAGTATTCTATTCCTGGGAAGCCCCATTCTGATTGATTGATTGATTGATTGATTGATTTACTCATATACTGTCCCAGCCGCCAAATTTGAGTTGAAACCCTGGACTGAGGTACAAGTGTGATAATCATTCTCTAACTATACAAGTAGACGGCAGCTATTTGTAGTTACAGTAGCTGCCTTCTGCCTAGAGTGGTAGTGGCAGCCTATTAGGCTGCCACTATCTAAACATCACGTAATCTGGGATCTAACTTACTAGCAGCTATGCAGCCTTCAACTATCAATACATGTCTTCCTGCTTCCTGCATTCGAAAATGAGTCGCTCTGACCAAAGTGACCTCCTTCTCCTGCTTCCAGCAGTTACACCATACTCATAGTTATAATAGTTGTTCTGTATCTATGACTTGTTAGACCTTTCCTGGCCCCTTCTGCTTCTGTTTGACAAAATCACTCGTCTGCGGTAAGTTAAGCACCGTAGATGGGCTGCCGGTAGGGCCCCTCCTGTAGAGGCTACTATGGTTCGTTCTGTATTTTTGGAGGTACGCTACTTTGAGTGCCAATATTACCGTATGCGTGTAGCAGTAGAAGTGTTTGTCGCTTACTCGTTGATATTCTAGGTCCGTGTTGATTTATGGCCACGTACAATAGATATTTCGTGACAGAAAGCCATATCTGGGACGCGCCCCTTGGCATAACATCTATTAGGACACAAGTCAACTGTGAAGTTGTAAAATATTGTAAGGATCGAATTGACGTTTTGAACTGTTAGTGGTGTTTTTGGTAGTAGTGGTGGTGTTATTAGTGTCGTTGTTATTACGATATCCAATATTGAGGCTATGAACCACACAACTATCTCTACCCCGAGCCCAGCGTATCATCGTCTGTCTAACCCGTAAACCGTTGTCGGGCTGGACGAACGGAGTGACAAGTTACGTTCTCCATCGTGGGGGCGTACGTTTGAGGGGGCACGACTTCGTCTCTGGTACTAGTTCTGTGATGTTTAGTGTTTCGTGAGGTTGGAGGTTAATTTTGACGCGTCGCGGCATCAGAGCAGAGTGTAGTCGTCTTCTCGGGTGTAGGTTCTTTGCTAGTAGTTATTGTGACTGTGTTGTGTTAATCATACCCGGCCTTCCTCTTTGCGTCTGCATCGCGTAATCTTCGAGATCCGGCACCGTAAACGATTTTCGGGCGGGATAAATGGAGTGACAAGTTCCGTTCTCCGTCGTAGGGGCGTACGTATGAGGGGGAACGACTTCCTCTCTGGTACTGGTTCTGTGATGCTTGGTATTTCGTGAGGTTCGGAGACTCGGTTTTCGGCGCGTCGGCGCGTCGTGAAAAGGGGGGAAGATCGCGTTGTTGAGCTCCTCCTGGCACTCTGAGACAGCCAAACTGTTTCTCTGAGAGTTCCCAGCGGGCACCACGTGTGCCGGAACGCACCTGTGGACTCCAGGAGCTCTACCTCCCCAGGAACCAACGAAAGAGCTATGGGAGCATCGTCCATCCTAGCGTTCGGTTATTCCCTACAAGGTCTAGTGGGCTATATACTTTTATCGGTTTTGCTGGTATGATAGAATACCTGTTTCGGCGTCTGTGTTATAGTAGAAGCCTGTTTTGATAGGGGGGAAAGTAAAAGTATTTTATAATTTTTAAATACAAAAAAAGGAATATATTCTCCAGTAAGACTAGACTTTTTACTGATAAAGCAAATCCCTCTCTAGTCAAGCCGTATATTTCACTATCGAAGAATTCTACCTACTAATTACGGATACTAGGTGAAGAAATCTATATATCTAGTATACGCGCCGGTCTTAGAGTAAAGCCTCGCCCGTATTATTCCTTAACTTTAGTAGTTATCTCACTTTCTATTATATCGCCTACGCTTAGCGTGGAGCTAGCTTTTAAGATAGATACTTTACCTCTCGAGTAGCTAGTATAAATAGCTACGAGGTCCTACAATAACTACTAGATTGACTCGCTACTTACGTAGTCTCCTATTTACCTACTCCTCTAACCTAGGCTCTAGTTCTTTCTATGAAGAATCTTTCTATTCGCGGAGACTATAAATTGTAGAGTATCGCTAGTACCGTAATTTTCGATAACGCTAATATTATCCTTTAAGTAACTATCCACCCGTAAGTAAATACCTAAGTACTACCGAGCGGTTTCCTACTTATTACGTAGCCTCGATAAATATTAAGTATCTTTATTAGAGGAGATTATAGTCCTTAATTTTACGAGTAGCTAATCTATAATATTTTATATATACTCTTCTAACTTAGTAGTAGTTATAGCTAAGCTATTTTTGTATTCTTATAGGCTATTATTTATAACTATTTTAGGTGACGCCCTAGCTCCGCCTAATCCCCGAGATAGTCCCGCCTCGTCGGATATTAGCTAAATCTAATTAATATAGCTCGATAACTAGACGTATATCTAAAGGAACTTCTCTATACTTAAGCGCTCCTCTTTTAGCGAGTATAGCTTAGCCGTATCTAATCTAGGCTAAGTCCTATCCTTCTTAGATAGTTATTCTAACTTCCTATTAATACTTTCGAGTCGAGTACCTAGGTTGTCTTTCGTATCTTAGATAAGACGCTCGTATTCTTCGATATTTTTAACGGCTACTACTAATAGGGGCCTTATAAGGGATTAGCTACTAGCGCGAAAAGAGGATTATAAAGGAGACGACGACGGCTATCGTAGCTAAAGGTAACTTATAAGGATAGCTCGATTCGTTTAGCTATAATTATATTTATATAATAATAAAGAAAAGTAATATTTTATAGGCTCTTTTAGAGCTTAGGAAGGATATTTAGATTTTAATAAGAGTAATAAGTAATATTAAGTTATAAACGCTAGGTTTATCTCGTAATTATTACTCTATCATAGGTCAAGACTAAGGCGATTAGGTAGGGCGGCTACTTAACTAGTAATATAGTAGGGAGATAGTAGCTAGCTAATCCTTTTCTATCGATAGCCTAAGCGTAGCCCCGCTACGCTTACGCTACCCCTATAGGACCTTCCCCTTTTTTCTATATAGTTTACACGTTTAAACCCACGTTTATATCTATATAGAAGAAGCAAGCTCTAGTCGCTCAAGGAAAAGCTATCGTAGTTATAGCGGATAAGGAAGATGATATTATAGCTATAAGTGGTGCTTGTGTAACCTAATAGAATTATTCTTACCTCTCATTAGGACCCTATTATCTACTTAATAAAGAGAAATTTGGATCCGGATAACTTTCGGTCGTGAGTCTCCTTGAATTAGCTTCCGGATGTGATTGCTAGTCAGTTTCCAGATATTGAAACTTTGGAGTCCGCAGAAGTCACAGCTGGCTTTGTTACAGCCATCGGCTGGTTGGCTCTCCAAGTACGGTCTCGACCAGCGGCAGGGGATGTCACAAAGCGGACTGGTGTAGCGGTGGCATTACTGGGGAAACTTCGAGCTGGGGGCAACCGGATCGTGGAGACAACCAAGCTGCCGAAGACTTGCCTCGGTCTGAGATAATGATCTCATTTTTGGATATTTGGAGTAAGGTGCTCTCAACCAGGGTTTTGATGCACGATAAACTTGCCGACGGCGAGACAAGATATGACAGTTGCCTCTCATTCGTCCGGCAAATTCTCCAAATAGCAGAGAAAATGCTGGTGCAAGCGCGCCCAGAGATCTGGATGGGGATTGTCACGCCACTCGTTTTCTGCGCTTTGAAGTGCCGAGACTGGTATCTTAGGCGTCGGGCACTCCAGCTATTGAAACTTTGGCCGAGTTCCGAAGGGAGATGGTCCATGGCCAATACAGCCCTGGTCATTGAACGAGTGGTGCAGATTGAATCGCAAGGCTTTACACAGCATGACATCATCCCTGAGACCTCACGCATAGATGCACTACGGGTGGAGTTTCTACCAGGAAAGCCGAGCATCCAGATCGGTTATCGTCGGTCTCACTTGGAAAGGGGCAAAGAGTTTCCCGCGAATAGGGAAGGCTGGGCAAAAATAGTTTTAGCTTATTAAATTTGCTTGAACTGTGTTGTTCTATTATTCGATACTCAGGATTCAAATTAAATACCAGAAGTACGGTTATTTTATTTTCTCAATTACGGTTGAGGGTTTTCCTTAGTGGAACCGACTTTCATGCCTGGAAAAAACTCATCCGGGATAAGGCGAGAAAGGAGCAGTGTGGCGGCCTTGTTCCATTGCCGGCGCAGCTGTACGTTGCATTAAGAACTATGGCTAGGGCTGATTGAGTGAGATGGAGAAAGTCCAAGAGTAGAGTAATCGGGAGGAAGGAAAGGACGGCAATACCTATCCCATTCTGATTGGCACCCTTTGTGTGCATCTTAGCAAAGCAAGTACAGTTCTTGTATTCAGAGATTGATGGGCTATTCAATGTAGAGGTAACCCCAATCAAATATAGTGTTAAAAGGTCATTTGTCGCGAAAAGTGTCAGTCCCAAAAGTTTGAATTAACTCGATGCAGGTTTTGCCTAACCTATTGGACTAGAAATTCCTCAAAGTCGTCATCCGGAAGGTGCGCTAGTTCGTTCCCAATTATAGTACCCAGGTACCAAGACAAATCACTTCCATCAAACTCGCGTGCAGCGAAACCATTGCCCAGATATCCAAATCGGTTGGATGTAGTGTAACTCAGATTGTAATCTTCCCAACGGGGTTGTTTCATAGTTTCAAAGAAGTGAATTCGTGAGCCAGGCCACATCATTACCTCCCCATCAACTGTCCCCTGCTTAAACCACGAACGACATGGAGATGTCCAAGCGGTACGCGGCATGAAGTTTCTGTGATGCTCGAAGAAATCCGCAACTGCCTCGGCTTTGGGATCAAAGGATGTAACACCCTCTGACGACATCTTCTCCAGGATCTGGAGGAAGTGCCGAGACAGGGTCTCTGTAATTGGGAGGAAGCTTCCATGGCCGTACGGGCCGAAGGGGCCGTTGAATACTGTCCAGCGTTAATTATAACTGCAAGAGTGAAGATGTGGGGCGCTTGAATGCTCTTACTGAGGTAATTGGGAAAATTTGGAATTGTAATGGAAAGATATGTCCTTGGGATATCCTTCCACTGTTCACTCAGACTGCGGGATTCCCGGCCAATTGTCGGGTACGATGGCCGCCAACTGACATCAAACCCGGTGGCGCACACAATAACGTCGACTTCGTGCTCACTCCCATCTGCAGTTTTGATGCCATTCGGAGTAATCTCAGCAATGGATTGGGAGACAACTGAGGTATTCTCGCTGCACAGCGCTTCGAGATATCCATTTCCAGGGGTGGGTCTTCGGCAGCCTACTGCAAAATCTTTTGGTACAATTGAGTCTGCGATTTCAGGGCGATCTGCGAGTTTGGACCGCATATCTTTCTCGGCATACTAGTGACAAGTTTGTCTCAGTAATCGATTAGGGATGTGGCCCGGTTGAGAGTGGCAGCTTACTTTTCGCGCGTTCGCTTGCTCCTCCGATCCATTCAGAATGAACCGAAAGCGGGAGTTGAGCTCGGACTCAATATTCTTGCGATAGGCCAGGTATTTTTGAGGGTCGTTGAGAAAAATATCCTTTTGCTTCTCGGTATCTAATACTGTCAGTATGCCACATTTCAGATTTTGGAATCCCATGAGAGGGGCTGACATCTAAAATTAGTTCCCCCCTTTCCTGCAAAGCGTTGACCAAAGCCTGCAGTCACCCATGAGGCACTGCGCATGAAGCATTTGAGGGAAGAAACCTCGATAGCGATTGTTAGAATACCCCTTGTGCGTACTGTGAATGAAACTCACTGGGCTGAATGCTCGGAATGATCTGTACTGCAGATGAGCCTGAGCCGATAACGGCCACCCGTTTTCCTTGCAATTGAACTCCGTCGTCCCAGTGTGCACTATGAAGCATAGGACCCTGAAAAGTCTCCCGGCCGTTAATATCAGGCCATTTCCACTTACTGAAGCAGTTTAGTCCTGTAAGTTGACCGCGGATAAGAGATACTCACCTCAACACACCGCTTGCATTCACTAAGATATGTCCGCTGTCTTCAAAGACATCATCGGGGTCGTCTCCCCTCTGGATCCTGACATGCCACTGTTTGTCATGCTCGTCCCAAAACGCGCCTACAACGTCGTGGCCCAGGCGAATATATTTCCGAAGTCCGTATCTTTCGGCGATTCCTTTGAATTAATTCAAAATCTCAGGTGCGCCCGAGTAACTTCCACCATCCAAGTTAGTCCTGGGCTGTTGTAAAGTCTGCGGGAAGGGTTTTCCTTTGCACTTACAAAGAGGTCCAGTCCGCGGAGGGCGCCCATGAGAATTGATAGTTCACAGAGGGAATGTCGCATCCACATCCGGGGTACCGGTTCTCATACCAAGTGCCACCAACCTCGGGATTCTTTCGTAAAGGACCAGGTCTGTGTCCAATGTGCCTGTGTCAATGTCGTGGGCAAAGTTCAACGCGCTCGCGCCAGCTCCGATCACGATGATACGGATCTTGCGACCAGATCGACTTGGCTCCTCCACAATCTCGTAATGGGATTTGACCCCTTTGCCGACCTTGTTGGGAGCCTTTGGCTCATAGTAGTCACCAATAGAGCCCATTGTGAATACAAGAAATAGGATAAAGGATCAGCGTGTTTATCTAATTCTCCGTTGAGATAAAATTATGGCGTAGGAGGCGGATTCGGAGTATTTATGAGTCTACCCCAGGTAAGCAGGGGTGCTTCTACCTAGGTCCGTTATATGACATGCTTGGTTATTTGATGGTATACGGTGGAGGATGCATTGTTTCCACCATGCTCTGTAAAGCGCGCAGGTAAAGTGGTGGAGCTCCACCAGCACCACCCCCTCCTCCACCTCGGTGGAAAGCCGAACCGTTATCAGTCTTGCACCCCACTCGTCAAGATTGCCTTGGGTGTATGCTGTTCCTTAAAAAGCGATAAAGCACCGAGGGCGGGTAGTGATAGGATTGTCGGCAGCCCATCCTTTAACACCGACTACGACACCGTGATATTTGACTCGATCAACATGCCCGAGAGTATCGACAAAAAGCCGCTCCGCATTTCTATTGGTTAGTACTATCATTAAGTGCTCGTGCAGTATTGACTGTTATGAATAGATCGCGGAGGTACTTTTACGGATTGCATCTGCAAAATTCTCGACAGGGACGATATCATCGTGAAGATCTTGTCTGTGGACCCTAAGAACTACGCCGACGCACCAACTGAGGCAATTCGTCGCGTCCTGGAAATATACTATGAAACTACAATCCCACGAGGCTCGGAACTAGATCTTAAGGATGTTGGTGAGACTCCTCACTAAACTTTGTGCTTGTTTGATGCAGTGCTAATTGAGCAGAATGGATTCGCATGGGCACAACGGTCGCAACCAATGCGCTACTCGAGCGCAAGGGCGAGCGCACAGCCCTACTGGTAACAGAAGGCTTCAAGGATATCTTGCAGATCGGCAACCAAAGCCGACCGTACATGTTCGATCTTACGATTCGACGACCGAAACCGTTGTACTCAGATGTCTTTGAAGTCAAAGAGCGCGTGACAGTAGGAAGTTGCAATGACTCAAATCTCCGCAGTATCACACTTCACTCTCCAGAGCCCGTTGAGACAAACATCGGAACGTCCGGTGAGGTGGTCCAAGTACTTCAGCCTCTCGACTTGGACAACACTAGAGATTACCTGCGGAGAATATACCATGAGGGCTACCGGTCTTTGGCAGTGTGTCTTATGCATTCCTACATATTCCCAACACATGAATTGCAAATCAGAGAGTTGGCACTCGATATTGGGTTTGAATGTATATCACTGTCGCATCAAATCTCTCCAAGGCCAAAACTTGTCCCGCGCGGCAACTCTACCGTGGTTGACGCGTACTTAACCCCGAACATTCAACGATATCTCCAACAGTTTTCAAAGAACTTTCCCAAGATTGAGCAATCGCAGACGCGACTGGAATTTATGCAGTCAGATGGTGGTTTGGTTCCCTCGTCGAGCCTTTCCGGGCTGCACTCCATTCTCTCCGGGCCGGCTGGCGGTGTCATAGGCTATTCCCAAACATGTTTCGACACAGAATCTGGAACTCCAGTGATTGGATTTGATATGGGGGGCACCAGTACCGACGTCAGTCGATACGACGGTGAATTGGATCATATCTTCGAAACAACAACTGCTGGAATCTCGATCCAGGCACCACAGCTCAATGTGAATACTATCGCCGCTGGAGGAGGTAGTATACTGACATGGAAAGATGGACTTATGTCGGTTGGCCCGGAGAGTGCGTCTTCCAACCCTGGACCGGCATGCTACCGTAAAGGCGGTCCGTTAACTGTGACGGATGCGAATCTCGCACTGGGTCGTTTGATTCCAGAAGAGTTCCCGTCGGTTTTTGGTGCCAACGAGAATGAGCCATTGGATAGAGATATTGTACTCGCCAAGTTCAAGGACCTGACTCAAACTATCAACCAAGAGACCGGCAAGTCATTGACGTGGGCAGAGGCTGCCGATGGGTAAGTGTTACCTACAACAAAAAGACAGGACTTAGTCACTAAAGTCTTTTGCAGGTTCCTCCAAGTCGCCAATTCCGCAATGTGCGGGCCTATTCGAAGCTTGACCGAGGCCAAGGGTCATGATGTTGCAAAGCATCACCTCGCTTCATTCGGTGGTGCAGGAGGCCAGCATGCTTGCGCCATCGCCGAAGCCCTTGGAATCAAAAGAGTTCTGATCCACAAGTACTCCTCTATTCTCTCCGCCTATGGAATTGGACTGGCAGATGTCGTACACGAGGAAGAGCGGGTGTGCGCAAGGCCCTATGACAACTCTACCATTGACGCGATCAATCGCGACATGGAATTGCTTGCCGCCTGCGCGCGAAGCAGTCAGACCATGGAACCATTTAACAGCGTTCAAACACGCCGCTATCTAAGTATGAGGTACGATGGCAGCGAGACTTCAATCATGATCTCCTGGGATAGCTCGGAGATTGATGCCAAGGAAGCATTCGTCAAAGCTCACCATCAGCAATTTGGATTCACTCCTACCAACCGTATGGTGTACGTTGACACCATTCGTGTTCGGGCAATTGGCTGCAGTACTTTCTCCAAAAGCTCTTCAGTTGCTGCTCTCACCTCGTCCTTGAAGTCTAAGCCCGAGGATGTCTGTGCTGTCCCTACCTCATGGGAATCTACATATTTCAGTCCGATGGGATGGATTAACACGCCGGTATATCACTTCAACACCTTAAGTGATGGCTGCCAAATTCAAGGACCAGCCCTGGTCATTGACAAGACGCAGACAATTCTGGTCAACCCGCAATCCAGCGCGACTATCGCTCAAGATGTCCTAATCCTGGACGTCCGCTCTTCTGGCCCAAAAGCGGGGAGCACAGAGGCCATTGATCCAATCCAGCTTTCGATTTTCCGTCATCGATTTATGGGTGTTGCGGAGCAAATGGGTCGCGTGTTGCAGAACGTTAGTATCAGTGCTAATATTAAGGAGCGGCTCGATTTCACCTGTGCAATTTTCACACCTGAGGGGGATTTGGTCGCCAACGCGCCTCATGTTCCCGCCATGATTGGGAGTATGGCTTTTGCGGTCAGGTCACAGATTATTGAGTGGCAGGGTAAGCTGCAGGATGGTGATGTTTTGCTTTCCAATACTCCAGGTGGGTGTTTCAATTCAAAATCGGTGCTGCGGCCTCCATCTAACATTATCTCTTGGAAGCCTTCGGAGGTGTTCACCTTCCTGACCTTACGGTGATTACTCCGGTCTTTGACTCCAATGGAAAAGAAATTATCTTCTGGGCTGCTTCACGCGGCCATCACGCGGATGTAAGTGGTCTCCATGTCGCGCGTAACGCATTCACTGAACCCCTTTGTGTAGGTTGGCGGTATCCTTCCAGGCTCCATGCCGCCCTTGTCAAAGCTCCTATCGGAAGAGGGAGCGGTCTTTGACTCTCATCTGCTGGTGCGTGCGGGCCACTTCGATGAGGAAGAACTCCACCGGCTGTTATGCGTGGAGCCTGCACGTTTCCCCGGCTCTAGCGGATCCCGATGTTTCCAGGATAATATCACCGACTTGAAAGCTCAAGTTGCTGCAAACCACTGTGGTACCCGTCTCATGCGGCAGCTGATTGAGGAATATTCTATGGATGTAGTTCAGGTACTTCCCATTCGTCATATCGAAAGAAAAGCATTTAGCTAACTGTAATAGATGTACATGTGCGCGATCCAAGATTCCGCTGAGCTAGCGGTGCGAAATCTCTTGAAGCATCTCGCCCATGATCGCGATGGAGAAGAAATATCCGCTGTGGATTATATGGACGACGGCACCCCAATCAAGCTGAAAGTGACTATCAGCCCATCAGATGGCTCTGCCATCTTCGATTTTACAGGAACAGGTCCAGAGGTCTACGGTATGCTTGCCCTATCCCAATCTCGCAGTGCAGACGCCCGGGTCTAATAAACAGCAGGAAATTGGAATGCCCCAATCGCAATCTGTAACTCAGCAGTTATCTTCGCCCTGCGCTGCATGGTAAAATCTGACATCCCCCTCAACCACGGCTGTATCAAGCCAGTACAAATAATTATACCAGAGGGATCGCTCTTGCGGCCGAGCTTCGAAGCGGCGGTGTGTGCAGGGAACGTACTGACATCCCAACGGATCGTGGACGTCATATTCAAGAGCTTCCGTATCTGCGCCGCCAGCCAGGGCTGCATGAATAACTTTACTTTTGGCAACGACGGCGATAATGGCTTCGGATACTATGAGACCATCGCTGGCGGGAGTGGAGCAGGTCCCGGCTGGGCTGGTACAAGTGGTGTACACACCAACATGACCAATACGCGCATTACGGACCCCGAATCTCTTGAGCGTCGATATCCGGTTATTCTCCGGCGTTTTAGTCTCCGCGATGGTAGTGGTGGCGCAGGATTGTACCCTGGAGGCGATGGAGTTATCAGAGATGTTGAGCTCAGGGTTCCCATGTCTGTGTCTATTCTTTCTGAACGGCGCAGTTTCGCGCCTTACGGTATGGGAGGTGGGCAGGATGGGCAGCGTGGCAGGAATACTTGGATAACTAAGGCTGGTCGCCATATCAATGTTGGGGGTAAAAACTCTATCCGTGTTCAGCCCGGGGATCGCTTCGTTATTGAGACTCCTGGTGGTGGTGGTTATGGAGCTCCCGGGGAGTTGGATAGGTCTGGTGTGGACGAGTCGACGTTCATGCCGTCATTTGTGCCGGTTGCTAATGGTAGTGTTGCTGCGAGTAGGAGTTTGGCCGAGCAAGTATGAGGGTCCAAAGCAAGATTGGTTCTAGGGTCTTCCTCTACTTCCTCGGGCTATATATGCCTGTTACATGATAGATTAGAGAACAATATTTAAAGCGTCTAGGCAGATTGGACTCCTATATCGAACCATTAGCAGTCAATTTCATGAGAAGTATAAACATGGACGATATGCAATGGAAATTAGACAGTATCAGAATAAGGATATCGAATTATCCGGTACGTATCGTCTGGTATCTGTCTTCTGCACTCCACCAATTGTTAAAATGATAACAGACTGACATTAATACTAGCTTGTAACTGTTATTTGAAAAGAGCCTACTGACAGATAGTAACTAAATACTTAAAAAAGACATAGATAATCGAGCAATCGAAACAATAGTTGCTTGATCCAATGAGACTGCTGTCTACCTCAGCAACATATTATTAAGGTAGGTTTCAAGCCTCAAAATAGCGCACATCAATGAGATACACATAATTCGCCTTGGATACTAACAAGTCAACCAGGGAACTTAGTCAAGATGAACTGGAATGAAGCCTGCAAAACATATACCAACTCATGTTCAAACGTGAGCCATCAAGGCACGTAGCGAAAAGCAGGCTGCTCGAAATCAGTCAAGTCCAGGAACTCAGTGCCAACAGTAGCATTTAATGCGGCAGGATCGTCAATTGCCTGGCGATCGCGTCTCTTATTTTCCACAATGTTAACCACCCTAATCACCACCAGAGTAACCGCTGCCAGGCCGTACATGACAACGACCATCAGCTTGCCATCAAAATATTCTGGTGCTTGTTTCGAGCGGAACGTCTGAGGACCAATCCAGTTTCCAGCTGCGTAGGCCAGAATTTGGAGACCATTCACCGTTGCTTTCTTAGTGTAGCCGAGGGTATTGTTGGATATCATCACCATAATGAGACACCAAGCTGTCCCCGCGGCACCAATGAGATAATATCCAATCAGCAAGCCGGCTTTGGCATGAAGTGGAATCACAATCATCATTATCCCACCGACCATGGGGATTAAAGTTGCGATTGTGGCGAAAAGGGTGCGATCGAGGAATTTATCAGAGAGATAGGTAAACCCCAATTTACAGGCAATGTCGACAATTCCCATTGGCATGTTGAGCATGAGGGACAGGCGGGCAGAGAAGCCAAATGAGCTAATAATGATAGAACCAAAGGTCGTGATTCCTCCGTTGGGGATGTTCATCAACAATGAGAATAGTACATAAAGATAAGTACGCTGGTCGCGGAAAGCTTCAAAGAATTGCGGCCACTTCCATGTCTTGTTGCCGATACCTTGGAAATTGCCTCGGATGCGATCAATGGCAATGAGTTTCTCGCGGTGGTTCAGGAACCGCGCTTGGATTTGATTATCTGGCATGTAGCGCAGATAGAAAATCCCCGTTATGATAGTCGGCAGGCCAAGAACAAGAAATAGGATCTTCCAGACTGCAATGGTCGTTCCATGTACACCAGCCAGTCCGTAGGCAATGGGTCCGATGAGTAACTGAGCCACACCGTTACAGCTAAGCCAGAAGCCCATGCGCTTGGCCTGTTCTTCTTGTTTGTACCAGCAGGAGGTGAACAAGACAAAGGCTGGGGTGACTGTTGCCTCAAACATGCCTAGGAAGAAACGAGCGCAGAGTAGGCTTGCGTAGTTGTGAGTGGCTGCGTGGCAGACTAACGCGATACCCCAAAGCACGATATTGACAGCCGTGTACTTGCCCAGTGGCAGGCGACGGAGCAGGTATGTCGTGGGAAACCTTCATCCGGAGATCAATACAATTTGGGTAGCAAATGGCACAAGGGCTATACTTACTCCCATCAAACGTAACCGGCATAAAAAATACTTGAAACCCAGCTATATTGCTGGGAATTAGACGCAAGATGAGTGTCTTCACGGATACGCATCAGTGAGGCATAGTTCAAGGATGTCTTGTCGGCAAACTGAATCAAATATACCCAGCAGAGCAAGGGCATGAGAACTCGATCGATTTTGGATAGCACCTTCTTCGCCTCGGCGGGGGTATATTCGACCTCCTCCGCGTCCAGAAATTGCAGGGCTGGGTCGAGGTTCCGCGTAGTTTGCTGCTTGAGGTCTCCATTCTGAACCTCCGTGGTCACTCGCTCCATGTCATGGGTTGATGGGACCTTGCTTAGCTTTATTTCGTTCGACATTGTGCTCATCTTGTCATCTTAGTCGAGAGCCTGTTGCAACGGGTCCATGAAAGCTGGATCCATGAAGCCATATGGGCTCTTTAAATCATCCTCTGGCCCCTAGTATCTTGAGTGGCACATAGTAATCATGTAGTCCTTAGATATGTACCCCGCAATTTGTCGGAGTGGAGGTGGAGCTCCACATGGTCCGAAGTAGTTATAAGGGGCAGCAGCTAAGTACACATCACCTTTGAACGTCCCCAGGGCGAGACTACCTCCACCTAGATGACGTACCCCCGCAGTGCTATAGATAACGTATTTTTCCATATAGATACCGCTTAATTGGTCATGAACCGAGTTCGACCACTCCTTATCTTATGTGGGTCTATTGAACTGTATCTTACCCCTTATCTGGGATTTTCCCATCTATCGATAGCTCTCGCCCCTCAAAGCGAAAAATATTTACATGATTGGCTCTGGGCACATGGCCAAAACTGGGTAATGAACGGCACGCAAACTCAACCCGATCCCCTTATCTCTTCACCGTCTGATGGATGCATTCGGCCACATAGCGGACATTAGACCGATTGAGACCGGGGATAGATATTCTTGAGCTCTCGGCCATGTAGATATGGTATTCGTCTATGTTGGACATATGTAAGCCAGATTTCCCTCCTGCTAAAAGTGGCCCCTGCCCTCATACACTTACTTTGCAAATGCTGTACTTGATCAGGTGTCAGACCTAGAATGCAGAACATGCCCTTTTGCTCCATGAGACGTTTCCAGTCTCCAGGGGTCCCTAACAAGAGATAATATTAATAATCCATTCAAGCAGGAGGAAGCACGCAAGGGACCGAAGTGTATACCTAGTTCAGTCAATTCTTGGTATAACTGCAACCGCATTTCTGCAATTCGAGAACTCATCGTAGCAAGATTTCGCCGCCATTCGGCATCAATATCCACATCTTCCAGAACCGCAGCCACGATGCGGGCGCCGAATGCCGGAGGATTAGAGATTTCAAAACGGATCAGTTGTGCTAAAGTCGACTCGACTGCAGTTGCGAGTGTACGAGTGCGCGATACAAAAGCACATAGGCCGATACGCTCGCCTACAAAGGTTGTCATGAGTTAGAAAATAAAGGGGAACAAACACTCATGCTCAAAAGCACATCCTCAAAGGCGAGATTTCATACCATATAGACCCATGCTTTTCGCAAAGGAAAGACAAACAGCAATCTCAAGGCCAATCTCCTCAGCAAAATACCGGATGGCAAATGCATCTCGATCGTAGTCTCCGGACGTCAATCCCAGGTAAGCAGCATCGAAGATAGGGAAAAGCTGCCGCTCCTTGACGATCGAACCGATCTGCTTCCATTGTTCTGGACTAGGATCCCATCCGCTTGGATTATGAGCACTAGCATGAAAGACAAAAATGGACTTTGGGGCTGCCTCGTTGAGTGATTGCAGGAATGATTGCATGTCGACGCCGCCACTCAAGGAATAATTGAATTCTTTGACGCCGAATCCTACCGATTCGAAAACCTGGCGGTGATTAGACCAGCTGGGATTGGTGATGTATACGGTTCGGTCGCGGCCAAATGCCCGCATGAGCATCGTCCCTGCTACATGCAGCGCCCCGGTACCTGATAATGCTTGACAGGAAGCCACCTGGTAGGAATCAGTTAGTGGTCAAGATCAGTGTCCAAAAATAGCAAAAAATAATCAACGATGTTTACCCGCTTCTCCTGAATCACTGCAGAATCCTTTCCGAAGACCAACTCTGTAGCCAGCACCCGAAAAGATGGAAGCCCTAGGATCGGGAGATATTCATGGTTTGATTCCTTGATCTTCTCCTTGGCCGCCCGCACCGCCGGCAAGATCCAAGGATTGCCATTTTCATCTTTGTATGTTCCTTGGCCAAGATTCACTTTACGAGCAGCGAGATCCGCATTATACGTTTTTGTGAGCTCGAAGATGGCGTCGGGAGGCGTGTACGTAACGGTATCAAAGAAAGAGAAAGAGATTGCGCCCATTGTGCTAGAAGAGTGACAGTTGTTGTGTGCGAGTCGCAGACGAGAGGTAGGTGAGAAAGCAGCAAAGATTGCTAAGACATCAGATTTGAAGGCTTGGATGGCGTTCTGTGACGACCGGAATCTTAGCTTAGAGGGGCGTGGGCAACACGGTGGAGCTCCGCCGAGAGCGGAATGAATTAGCGGGCACCGATAGATAAGGATTTGGAGTAATAACAGCAACCAGCCTTTCACAGTATCGTTCTCTCATCCACACAAAATCAAAATCAACAAAACACAGAAATGGCCACAAAAAAGCCCGCCTTCGGTGTATACACGCCGCTAGTGACCTTTTTCAAGGAGGACGAATCCATTGATGTTGACAGCACCCTAGCTCACGCGAAGCGCATGGCCGATGGCGGGGTCGCTGGGCTCGTACTTCAGGGAAGCAACGGAGAAGCCCCTCATCTGGATCATGTCGAGCGCAAATTTCTAGTGCGTGCCGTCCGCGACCACCTCAACCAGCTGGGATATACGGGACTACAGTTAATTGTTGGCTGCGGTGCACCCAGTGTTCGGGAAACACTCTCTTATATCTCTGAGGCTAAAGATTCTGGCGCCGATTTTGCGCTGGTGTTGCCGCCTGCGTATTGGGTTGCGGCTATGAATCCTGCTGTTATTGAAAGCTTTTTTAGCGATGTACGTCCCTATCTATCCCAAATAGTCCGAATTGGACCGGCTGATATAAGAATACCGTATCACACAGGTAGCAACTCACTCCGAGCTCCCCATCCTGATATACAACTTCCCGGGCGTGACAGGCGGCATTGACATAAGTTCCGACTCAATCATTCGCCTCGCACAGTCCAACGCGAAGATCATCGGTTGCAAGCTAACCTGCGGCAACGTCGGCAAGCTCCAACGTGTATCCTCCACGCTGTCTGCGGACTCCTTTGCCGCTTTTGGGGGGAAGTCTGATTTCTTCCTTCCCGCGCTTGTGGCAGGATCGAATGGAATTATTGCCGCTCTCGCTAACATTGTACCAAAATTACATGTTGAGGTCCTACGGCGGTACGAGCAGGGTGACTTGAAGGCTGCTCAGGGACTTCAGTCTAAGCTCAGTCATGCTGATGGGGCACTCGTAAAGGTGGGTATTGCGGGCGTCAAAGCTATTGTGTCGGAATATTTTGGGTATGGCACGGGTCGGGGGCGAAAGCCATTGGGAAACATTTCTATTTCGAGCTTGAGTCAGGAGGTGATGTCTCCAATCCAGGAGGTGGTTGAACTGGAGAGGACATTGTAGTTAGTGATATGTTGGTGAAAAGGACTTTGCAATGAATGGACTCATGAGATACGGGGTTATAGAGAAACTGAAGAAAATTACCTTTCACGCCCTGGCCGGAAAGCTCGATTCCAGCAAAATAAACTTCTTCGGGTGGGATGGTCATCTGTAGCAAGATTCTTTGGCTGCATAAGGAGAATTGCAAGCATAAACTCCAGACAACTTCAACTGTCCTTGAGAATAGCGCTGCGGTTAGTAGATTGTAGATGTGTGCTAGGCTATCAAGATACCATACGTTAGGGAAGGATGGCAATCATGGCAATCATGAAGAGTCCAGTGCAACTTCAATCAATCAGATTTCAGCAAAATACGCTATAATTCTAAATGATCCCCGCAAGAAAGTCATTTCCCCTGCCGACTATACTCACTCCAAAACGGCAACGACGCCTCCATCCGCCCAATTCCATAAACAGCCGCACTATCCAAATGCTCACCGGCATAATCCCGCGCAGAATTCAAGCGGCTTGACGCAGTCTCAAGCGTCGGGAGATTAGTATTATGACTAGCAGCAATAGAGAGTGCGTGCTTCATATCCTTACACGCAAGAGCGGCTGCAAACCCAGGAGCTGTCTCAAGAGGCGGCGCATAGGCGCCACTCGTAATACGGTTTGAGTAGCTTGCCAGCACGGGGCCGAACATGTTGCCGATGAAATCTTCCAACTGGTGGCTGCCGATTCCTGTTACTTCCGCGAAAACTTGTGCTTCGGCAATTACTTCCATGAAACTTATAACAAGGACGTTTCTTGAACGGGACGGGGTGTTAGCTTAAAGACAATGGCTGTGCGTAAGGGGGTGCCTGTGTATTTACCCTGAAATTTTAAGAAGGCTAGACTTGCGCACGTCTTCTCCCATATCAATGATGCTCCGCCCCATGATGTTCATGATGAGAGGTCTGACGGTCTCGGTTGCCTTAGCGGGTCCCGCCATCGCAAAGATCAGTTTTCCAGTGGCTGCCACGGGGCTTGCACCGAATACTGGTGCTGCAACAAATGTCGATCCAAATTTAGAGAGACGCTGTGCAGCCCACTCAGATGTGTCTGGATGGATTGTGGAAGTATCCACGAATATTTTGCCTTTCAAAGAATCGCCCGTGGCCAGGGCTTTCGTCAATAATTCCATTAAGACATCATCCGTGGAGATCTATTTGTTGGTCAGTCATATGCGCGAATGATAATGAGGAGTGACTTCCCTCACCATCGTAAAAATCACATCTGAATTCTGGACGACATCCTCGAACCCGTGTTCGGGAATGGCTCCTATTTCGTGAAGAGCATGTCCTTTGGATAGTGTGCGGTTGCAATAACGAAGTGGTGGCAAGCCGTTCGCCAGTAGATACTTCTGTAGATTCAGGGACATACCAAGACCCATCGATCCGAGGCCATACAGTTGACGCCTGGTCAGCACAGTAACCACCATAGGAGCCATTACAGCCTACCCAGCCAACTCTCAGGATAGATGACGTCATCTTGGAGTTGGGATTGTGATTTAGCTTAAAAGCTCCCTATCATGTATTCCTCTTGGGCACTTCTGCCGCACGAACGATTGATATAGCCGAAGTTCGAGGCTCGAGCGGGGCAATTCAGGCGCAATGCCGAATATAAGTGGAGCTCCACATCCCTCCACTCTCCGATACCGCACAACACACGGATTATTCTAGCGCGCTGGTGGAGCCAGCGCCGGGGATCTCATCCAAGACAGCCAGCATCGAAGGCCCGATTCCCCATACGTATCTTTGCTTACAGAATGTCTTGATAAGGTTGGTTAACAATGGCTCACTTTCATCGAGCAGACTGGCGAAAGCCTCTCGGTCTCTCGACCACAAACGAGGATCTCGGGCCACCCCCTCATGCTCACCGGAGCTGAGAAGAACAGACTCCATGAGTGTGTTGAAGATCAGCATGCAAGGCTCGAAGGTTTTGGGGAGCTCATTGAAGGTGTCCATATGGTGGCGAATATCAGTGTTTGCGCGCTTCAATGCTCCCCAGATACATACAAGAACACCGTAGCTAGCGACAGTAGCCCACGGCGCTTCATGGATCATTTTCTCCTGTTCCTCGCCAAAGATACTGGAAAGCACCCCAGAAAGATCACTGAGTAGTGCCAATATTCCTTCGTTACCACCGACGTGATGTGGCACTGACGGGGCTGATCGCCGGATCGCGACGAGGTTCCCTTGTGTCAAGTGGGTGGAAGTAGCCATGCCCGCAATTAAGCTGTTTTCCACGATGCCTCCGATCAAGAGCTGATCGGGGCGACATAAGCTTATTTTGAGAGAAGAGATAAAAAGCTCATTGGTTCTCCATAGGAAGAAATGAGGGCTGTCTCCCGTGTAAGCCTGGTCCTTGACGATCTTCGCGATTTCCCGTATCGCCAGATGAATCCGTTTAGTCTGATTCTGAGTGAGAATATGAAACGGGTTCGGATCGGAAGAGCTGGGTGGCATTTGATAGTAACACCGCGTAAAGTCCCTCACCAAAGCATCCAAGTTCGCCAGCAGGCAGAATGCGGCAAATGGAGATGCTTCCAGCGCTGCTAGAAGTTCTGAGTCGGGTGCTTCGGTCATGAGTTGCTGTGTGGCGATAGCCAGGGAGGCCGTCGCCAACCCGCGCGGCTGGTATAACACATCGCTGCTAAATGTGAAAGCTGAAAGTCCGAAATTCTCGTTGAACCTCCGAAGCCATATTTCGGAAGTTTTCGCTTCCCATAGATTAAGTGGGAAGGGAAGTTCCCAGCCAAGTTCCATCCCTGACATTATTGGCCGAGAATTGCAAGGCAAGCATGTGTGCGAGTCCAGGAAGACTAAAGCGTATAGCGACAGTCTCATGGATTCCGCGCTTATGTAGGAAGTCCAGCGGGCATATAGGGTTTGCGATTGATCTCCGAGTACATTGTAATCGGCTCCATACAGCCAGGACTGGGAATCTGGCATAGCAATTCCCTGCTGTGATAGACCAATTTCGCGCACAGCCTATATCCAAAGCGTCCGCGTTCAGAATGGAGGCATTATGGATGAAGAAATAGTACTAACATCAATAATTTGCCGCAGCATCTGTTTGGCTGTCTGGAATTGGGCTGCCTCGCTTGTGTATACCCCGTAAATTATGTAAAGGAGCCACGCTTGCATGACCCACGGCTGTCGGATTTCAATGCCATCGCTAGAAACCTGTCTCAATATCGATCAGAACATATTACCCAAAATAACAAGCTGCAAAAAGTCTCATATAATGTACCATATCCTGGAGCTCCTGTTGTCCACTTTGCCACAAATCTCGACGCCAGCGTGTGCGAGCTTGCGCTTCCTCTAGGCCCTGTGAGCTTGCCGAAAACAAGCTACCAATAGCAGTAACAGCTTTTAGCAGTAGCTTCGGTGCCGATGACACGGTGAATGTGGGACGATGTAATATTGGAAAAGACGGATGGAAATGTTCGAAATACATTTTGACGTGTGCGTCTTCGCTATTACTGTGGTCTCTATTAGTGAAATTAGTGCTGTTAGACATGTCATTCAATAACAACCTCCATCCGCGGGAGAGAGGAGCCTAGGGGGGCATACATCGGCGAGGTGGGTGAAAGACTTTGCGGTAAATTAGTAGTGAAGGTACTATGCTCTTCCCAAAAAGCATCACCGCCCACAACAGATTCGGTTGAGGTCTGATTTACAGCCAGAGGCGATGTTATGTCCATTATTGCCTGCGGCGTTTGCTTGATATGCTCCCACAGCACCTGCGGCTGAGATGCATGGTTCGCGGATTTGCCTACACGGCATCGATCACTGTGCCGTCTATATACGTCGCTGCAAAAATGTTGGTATGATTGCAAAGATGGCAAGCATGGAAAGATGAACGAGACCTTCTAGAAAATCGAGCGTGACATCCATCACATTCGAAATCCTTGCGCAACGTGCTGCCGTGGCCTTGAGCCATTAACTTCTAGCTTTATTGCAAAAACACCTTTGGAGACTTACGTGCACGCTTATGTCGCGTTAGATTCTCCTAGCGACGTCGATCCCGTGTGAGAAGCAGGCGAAAATAAAGAGCAGGGATACGTACATTCCGAGTGAATAATTTCGAGCATTCATCACAAGGAAATGGGCGTTGTAAACTGCCATTCTGGGTATCCTCCGCCATTTCTGTATGGTTGATAGGGATTTGGTTCCGTTTATGGGGTTATATGAAGGAAGAGTGTGGCATTGGTCGACGGGCCGTTCTGATCTACAGTAGGTCACGTGTTGCTATCTATTCGCGAACGCCCAACGTGATTGGACAAATAGAGGCGGTAGATATGAAGTAGGTACGTGGGACTCTACAAATGAAAACATATCTTTTAATAGGACCTAGTGGCTTTTTCTTTGAGAAGTTTTCAATCCTTTTATCGAAACATCCCATATCTTTATACCCGGATCGCACTCGGGTCCAGAAGCTGGACTTGCATTACCATCTAAAGCGTTGCCCGCTTTAAGAAGAGGACAAGCCAACCTTGAGCTTGCATGGGGTCTGAAATCGTGTCCTCCGCCTTGAAGTCTAACCCAACGGCAGGAGTGCCCTTTGCGCGCCCGTATCGGGCATTCATTTGGTTGGTTGCAATATCCGACTTGATTACATTACCCATAAGCGATAATGAACAAATCTCCAGCGTAGCTACCTGTAGATATCAAGAGTCTAGTGTTTCATATCTAGCAGCTACACCACATACTATATCGCCCATAGTTCGGCTAGGCGGCCTATGCGGTTATCGCGCTTAAGGTAGGTAGCCTGAAGGCAACTCACCTAGCCATCTGCCATTTTTCGCGGATCGAAGATAGCGGTTGGGAAGACAGTCGCCAGCTCAACTTGACTCCCATCTGATCAAAAGATAACCAGAAACAATGAGAGGTACACGAATCTAAAAAAATATGGCCGTGAAAGATTCTAGTCTATGTCTTCGATGTCCAGTTTTTATGGAAATCCGTTGTGATCGTCTCTGTAATAGATATATATGCCTAGTACCAGCTATGAGCGAGACGCAGTGATGAGGAATTAATTGGCCACGCGAAATTTACGTTCCTCGATACGAGGAAGAAGAGCATGATGGGCATCGTCCTCTCTTGATTGAGGGCTAAGGCTCTCAAGCTTGCTGGTCGCATCCGTATTATCGTTCTCGCTGTCATCCTCCTCCCCCATGTCCAGATCAAAATCATCTGGCTCCAAGCGATTATAGTCGTTGCACCTGCGCCAGAGAATTGCTCCGCCTGCTGAAATCATGAAGACGAGGATACCCGACACAGTAGCGATCAAGACGAAAGCAGTTTTTGATAGTCCAGCAGCTTTCTGTTTGATGGGAATCGCTGAATCGAATTCACCGTAAATGTCCGAGGCAACTGATAGCTCTTCCGTGTCCAAGTCCACAATACTGGTTGACCGAAGGATATTGCCTTGATGATCCATAGCCTCGGCCCACAAATATCGCCAAACCGTCTTCCCGACCGTCAGTTTGGTTTCGAACCCAGTCCGTCGGGATTCCGCCAGTACTTCGCCTCGATTGACGTGCAGATCATGGGCCGCCCCCCGAACCACCCAATTGGCCACCTCGGTCGCGCCGTTCCAGCTGACGTAGACGACCAACTCGCCCTTCCAGCTTTTCCTCGCTGCAATGGCGGGATCCCACCAGGGCGTGGCTGACCAATCCATCTTGTACGCGCGATAGTTGTCAAGCGCGTCGGGAACATCGGGGCTATGCCATGGGGAAAACTGGACGTCCAGGACTGTCTGCCCTGTTGCATTGTGCTCTGTGAAGGTGGGACACCGGCCCCAGCCAATGAATACGTTTCCGAGGTCTTTTGGAGAAGGCGAGAGGACCTGCACGCTGCCCTGGCTCTGGGCTTGAAGCTGCGATGGATGGCGGAACTCGCGCAGAAGGCGGACGGTCGGGGGTGAAGAGGTGTCGTCGATAGCGATGTGCAAGCCACGCGAGCATTCAGAATCGCATTGCCCGTGCGAGGTTTCTCGGACATGGTTATCGAAGAGGGTCATCTGAGTCTCGTCGGTTCCGGGGACGAAACGGGCATGGTGTTGCCAGCGCAGTGTGAGTAGAGGTTGACTGTATTCGACACCTTCCAATGGCGGAAGCTCGACAAAATCGTTGCGATTACCGCCCAGTGTCCAGATTATCTCGCCGGATTTGCCATCGATCAGCAGGATCGAGTGGAGATGCCGCAGTGAGATGAGATAGTTGCCAGCTTTAGTCTAGAAGAAACAACGTGTCAGAGTATGTCTGTAGGTTTCTGATAGGGGCTCATGTTTGTATATTCTCTCACCTTCTCGATGCTGTTCAAGTGATAGGCGTCCCAGCCGCTCCCCCTGGGCTCAAATGAGTCCATAGGGTCAATGTGGTCGAGAGCTCGCCAGTTAAACAGCACCTTGTTGGTCCCAAGCTCAATCTCCTGTACTATGCCGTCCAGAATCTCGAATACGTCGGGAACTGCCCAATCCTTATAGTCTGAGCCTCGGGCTAGTACCTTGTCAACACCAGTGACCAACGCCGTTCCGTGACCCGTAAAGGCGAATTCATGGAGGTCGCTGTGGACTTTGATATTCTGTGCCGATACTTTGTAGGCCAGACGGTAGTTGTCGTCGTATGCAAGCCCATAGCCATCTCCAATCCCATCTCCCTTTTCCCCTTCCCAGAATGTCAGATAATTCTTGCCAAAGTTCTCCTGAATGCGCGTGCCGAAGACATTCTGGAATGATCTGTTCATGAAGACGGCGCTTAAATCGTTGGCATCGAGGATAAGGGGCGATGAGAGGGGGAGGATTCGTTGCCGTCATGTCGGAGAAAGATATGGGAACCCGTCTGGGAGATGGCATCACGGTCCCATACATTGACTTGCAGCACAGGGGAGTACTCGCTGCTCGAGTGGAATTCGAGATGTGGACGGTGGCCCAACTCTACGTCGTTGTATTTTTGGTAGTCGACTGACACAAAATCGCCGCTAGCTGCCCGGGCAAACGCGGCAATGCATACCCAGATATGAGGATGAACCATTATGGGTAACCCTATAAGAGCCACCGCAACATAAAATGCATATAACACTTTGACGCATCTCAAAGAACAAGCTCATGCTGGGGTCATTCGAAACATATGAAACAGAGACCTCCCCCGCCTTTTGGGGGGGGGAGGGCCCATGGCTAGCAAGCATCTGATGAAAATATTTGTGATCAACATGGCTTGCGTATGCATCGCGCCAAGAATGGTACTCGTCCTCATGGCCACGACTTCTATCATGTAGTGACACGGGAAGTGGGGGGCAGAGATCTCCATGTTGAAGGCATGGACAACAATCTCTCATGAGATTTATTAGCAACTATCAGAATGAACACGCATTTAACTCTAGGAGACCAGACACGCAGTCGGTATGTAGTGTATAAGCCAGGTTTTATATGTCATTGAGATCTGTGTGCCTTCAAAAGGTTCCGAAGGGCAAGCTCTGAGCCTGTCGTTGACTCGTAATCGTTACCAGATTGGGCTGGTTGTGGGGCGGAAGGTGGAGCTCATTCGTTCTCTTGCTTCATATATCTTCAATGATACTAAATATCGTGTAGCTCGTCTAAAATTTCCGTGATGCTATATGGTATGTGAAAAGCAAAGCTCCGGGATTGTGAGGGAGTGACGATAAGAGGAAGGAAGAGTCTGGAAAATGGATATGGTGATGGCGATAAGCGACCGAAGGCAGTCACGCCACCGGTCAGAAAGCGACCCCCGCTCCGCTCGCTCTTGGCAAATCGATCGTATGTGCTTGTGCCAAACTGTCAGTTACTGGTATCTGACAGAAGAATTGTATCTGACACAATAATTGAAGAAAGTATGAACCTGTCATCCATAGCCATGAATCCTGAATGAGTAACCTCTTCCCTAAAACTTATTCGAACTTATTGACATGTGTCCGAACGGGATTTCGACTATTTCCAATCGTCTTTTGCACCCATGAATAGTGGCGGCGACATAGCCAATTTTTAGGAGAGCTCTACACCCTATTGGCTTTTCGAAATAGAGGATGTACATTTTAGCATAATTTAGATATTCAGCGTCACGGTCGTGCCTTTGATCTGCAGAAAGCGAGGACCTTGAGGTAATCAAATATCACCCAGTTCAAAAGATCATTTCCGCATTATTATTAACGGTGTCCGCACATGAGAGGGGAATGCTTAACAAGATGCCAGTCAGAAAACATCGGCCGGCTCCGACTTGCCAGGGCCGGATATAACTATCTCCTCATCTTTCTGCAGGCGTGGTGGAGTTCCGACGGTGTAAGCAGTGTGACAGGAAACTAAACCATGCTAACCTCGATCGCGCCTCGCCAAAGCTTGTCCAACATAAATCACCAATAGAAGAACCCCTGGAGGAACAGTGCAATGACCAGCAACCCGAGAGCGGGCTTTTCGTTTGGTCTCGTATACTCGGTGCCCCACCAAGACCTCGTAAACCTTTTATCTGTTGCCCGCGAAGCCCCCGCCCCCCATCCCTCACCCCTTTCCTGCAGGCGGTGGTGAGACGTACCTACACTTTTGAGAAGGCGGATTCGATCTAACCGACGAGTGCACAGTTAATACCCACTGTCTAGATTTCCAAATGAAATACCACAAAGACTTTTTTTGTAGTGTATGAGTTCGGATACTGGTAATCGTTCGTCACGTTCTTTAATCTTGTACGTTGAATGGCTAACATACTAGTAAATGCAACGCTAGGCTTCTTGTACGCTGTCAAGGGGTCCATGACCCCGCCACATTGTGGAATTTAGACCCTGGAGTTTTTGATCGCATGCTGAATATTCCAGATAATCACAATATCATCCCCACGTGTGTCGGAAATGATAAAAACTTCATCCCTTTGCGGTTAGACTTTGGGCAACACGTGCATAGTAAATGACAGAAACGAGTGACAGCTGGTCTGTTCCTGCACTTGGTTGTATATTGTGTCGATCATTTCCGCCCGCGATAGCCAGCTCCGGGGACTCCGGTGCCCTGCGGCGCCGATCCCATCCCCCTGCAGAATGACTGGGTGATAATCACAAAGCCAATCTCTCGCGCACCACCATTTCAACCACTCATGTGTTCCCCCCTTTGCATTAGCCAGACCCTTGGAACGACTACTCGTTTGCTGTAACGTTGTCAAGCATGATATCCTGCCGCACCTTCCAAATTTGGCTTTCATTGCCGTGCCGGAGATAATTCGTGCAGCTCAACTTCAGCGTCTAATGCGAGAGACCAAAAATATATAAATACAGATTATCTGTGACCACGGCATTCTTCTCAGTATAGCCGCCACCCGAAAGCATTTCGATTTGCTTATTACTTTCATACCCGACCGGTCGTATAGCTACGCGAAGGACGGTAAGGTTTTGTCTAAAAATGGCGCCTCTATCAAAGATTACCCTTGTTACTCTTGGCTCCGTGGGGGGTGCAAATGCATGGGGCGCGTTGGGTCACGCAACGGTTGCCTATGTTGCCCAAAATTATGTCTCAGCTAGCACAGCTGCATGGTGAGTAAAGAGAATAGCATGTTTAATGATCGATGCTGATGGTTCTAAAGGGCTAAAGGTGTCCTTGGCGACACATCTAGCTCCTACTTGGCCAATATTGCCTCCTGGGCCGATGATTACCGCGCAACAACTGCCGGCAAATGGTCAGCCCCGTTCCACTTCATTGACGCCGAGGATAACCCTCCGACCAGCTGCAATGTGGACTATAATCGCGATTGTGGCAGCGCTGGATGCTCAATTTCTGCTATTGCCAATTACACTCAGCGTGTAGGCGACGGCCGACTTAGCGCCACCAATACTGCCGAGGCTCTCAAATTCCTTGTCCACTTCATTGGAGATATAACACAGCCGCTGCACGATGAAGCCTATGAAGTTGGTGGAAATGATATCAAAGTGACATTCCAAGGATACTCTGACAACCTTCACGCGGATTGGGATACCTATATGCCTGAAGTGCTGATTGGCGGCTCCTCGCTTTCCGATGCGCAGTCCTGGGCTAACACCTTGATTAATGAGATCGAATCGGGAAGCTACAAATCTCAAGCTGCCAGCTGGATTCAAGGGGATACCATCAGTGATGTCGTTACCAGCGCCACCCGATGGGCATCCGATGCTAATGCCTTCGTCTGCTCTGTTGTCATGCCCAATGGGGCTTCCGCCTTGGAAAGCGCAAGCGATCTTTACCCCGACTACTACAACTCTGCTATCGGCACGATCGAGCTGCAAATCGCGAAAGGTGGCTACCGTTTGGGCAACTGGCTCAACATGGTTTACAACAGTGAGATCGTCGCCAAACGTGACCTCGAGGGATCAGTCAATGAGGCTCGAGATGTAGACTCCCTGCCGGATCTTGCGGGTCGGGATTGGCTCCCGGCGCCTCGCCCGCTGAGTCGCGCCATGCTAGCTAGAGAGGCCATGGGAGGATCATGCTGCGGCTCCGAGACACATGCTCATTAAAAGGGGGTTTAGTTCATGGAACAGTCAGGCAAGGATTTGAAACTTGAACTTGGATAGGAATATGTTTAGTGCCAGGATCTCGTTAGTGGAATATTGTGTGCAAGAAACAAGTGAGAGGGAAATCGCTGAGCATTTATGTTCAGTTTCAATATATGGACGTTAGACTCTCTAAGCAGTCATTGATCATACAGAATATTTCTCTACCTATATTTCCGCTTCATTTTACTGAGCCATGGTCACAGAACTCACTCATTATGGAACCATGTACCAAGTATTGTTCTCCAGAAACAGCAGTTTGTAGATGGTGTTACGGCGCAACGTGGTGACAACCAGGTCCACGGCTCTGAGCTCGCTCTCTGAGAGGTATGGCTCCCGTTCTCTGCCGTAGATTTTCGCTAGGATGAAGTAATTCTGCAGGATCTGGGTCCACAGGTGTTTAACGCGATCTTCAAGGCAGCTGGGCACAACCTTTCCCATACTCTTCTTCAGAGTATCTATATGGAAATCATTAGTATGCTCTCTATTCAATCAAGAAACATATAAATACGGTCAGTGTGAAGGTCACCTGATAGGGAAGGAGACAACATGGAAGGTTCCGGCGTGTAGTAGTCAAACGAGAGCTCATCTCCCTTTCTCTTCCTCTTCCTTTCCATCATCAGATTCGATATTTTTGTTGAATTGACTCTTCTTCCGGACGATTTGCCAAGTGTAACATTTAGAAGGTGCCATTATGAGGCCAGGAAAGCGGTCGATAGACTTTGCGCACTGAGATAAGAATCGGGATGCAACGGGCTTATCACTTCAATTTCATGTTTTAGCGGAGGAAATCCGGTTTTATCCGAGGTAAGTTTTTACCATCTTCACATGGCACCCTAGTTTGAAAGTTAGCCACAGATAGGTGTGTTTTCGAAACTAATAATGGGAGTATCCCAGAGCAGTCTCCAACACAAGGGAAAGGAGTGCAAAGGACATCTAATGTAAGCCATGCTTTCCATCATAGGCAACTCTCACGCACGTTAATTCTCACTCGATTATCACTCACTTTCAGCATGCGCAATCCTCACCTCTCCTTTGCGTGAACAAACTGGCTCCTTCACTCCCTCTTAACCTATCTTCTCTGCGCTGATGTGTTGAAAGTGGATTGGAAAATAGGGTCGAGCGGCTCTGAAGTGTAATGGCTAGCATCCTATTGATGACTCCGAAGCCACCTTGGTAAGGTACAAAAGTTGGCTTTCCATGCCGCAGGTGACCACGGTCACATTCGAATCACCAATACGCTTCTCGGCACTGGGACACGCTCTTAAAGCGCAGCATTTATAGTGTGCAGTACGTTGCACCGCTGCTTGGCTTGAAATATCGCGATGGTGCTGTTCCTGCTGGATTGTGGTAGTTAATGATGCCAACGCCGCTGACCTCCCCTGTGACCTCCCCTTGCGCACTGCTAGGCTTACTCGCTACGAAGATAACGTTCACTGCTCTTTGAGCATGGCGCAGACCCACCTCGTGACGGTAAAAAATGCTATTTCCAAGTCTTCTCTTCACTACAAGATCTTCCACCTGGACAGTCAATGATGAGACTACTTCTCGAGGAGGAATGGATGGCAATAGCCAAGATAGAAGGGATACAGCACTTCATTATTCCATGATGGTGGCAATTCACTATGAAGCTCATGATATTGTAAAAGCTTCTCTCGGAATGCGTAGCCAGGACGGATATCCAGAACATGCAGAGGCAGACGACAATCATGATCGCGGCAAAGAGCAAAGACAGAAGCTTCTAGAGTTTCTTGTGGAAGTAAAAATAGATGCCTCGAATGAATAAGGACAGAGGATGACTGGAGAAAGGAAGGTGACAACAGACGGGTTCGTGCTTGGGTATTAATCGAAGAATTTATTGCTCAACAGCCGGGCTGTATGCATGGGGACTCAGGAACATGTATAGATAAGTGAGCTGGGATCCATAAACTCAGTTCACTGAAAGAAGGAAGGAGGAATCCAAATGCGTACAAAGAATGGATCATTAGGCATCGAACGCTCATGACTAAACACCACTAACGCCAACATTATAATAAATAGATCGTTACTCAATCACATATACTACTGACACTTCCCAGTGACCTCACGCGGTGGCAGAATAGGGAGGTGGCAACTCCATAGATAATCGGGGCGGCAGCGTGGGTTCATGACTCGGCAATTCAACAGGTAGTCGCTCCCCCAGCGGAGGCGGTTGCTCTAGCTCCGGCAAGTTCGGTGGCGGCGGCTCATGAGCAGGGAGTTCCGCGCGTCGCGGCACTCCTGGCGCGTGCTCGAGTTCCTCAAACTCTGTCATTGAAAGCTCGTAGCCGAGGTGGCGTTTCAGCAGCTCGTGAGTTATGAATCGCTCGGGCGCGTTGCCTTGCGCATCGACGAAGGAGACGTGCGGATTCACCTCGCTGATGCGTTGGAGTTCGTTGGCATGGCGATGATGGTGTGGACATCCGTCTACGCCGATGAGGAAAATTGTGATGTGCACCCAGGATAGGCCTAGAAGATCCAGTTCGAACTCGTCCATGTCGGATGCTTCACCGTCGAGTAGAAGGAGGAGGCGGAGCATTGGTGTCTGTGGGCCAGCTTGCCATCCGTAGACTGGGTGGTAAGTTGCTGTCTGGGAGTGCTTTTGGAAATGTTGCTCCTTGATTCTTTGCCAGCCCGTCATTACCCTTGTGCGGCCGCCGAATCGAATGTTCCGCCACATTTCATCAAAATTCCAGTGGTTTACCACACCGATATACTCGGCCTGGCTGGAGAAAGTGATAAGTTCGTAGCCGGACCAGTTTTGGTCGTGGTTGGACATTGCGTCGGTAAAGCGGCGGACGATCGCCCGTGCTAGTTCTAGAAGAACAGTCAGTATTTCTGTGAACACCACTCCTTAGCGACCTTGGAATTACCTTTGTTCTTCGGCTGGGTAGATTGTGAATAGCCTGTGATTAAGTACTGATTATAGACCGGTCGCCGCGGCTGGAAGTCCATAGAGCCCGAAACATCCAACAGAATCATAGTGTCGTCCGTCGACTGTTCGGGGGCATCGAAATGTTGCAATTGGGGCGGCATGACCTGATTTGAATATCCCCCATAATTATTTTGGAGATGGCAAGTGTCGTCCGCAGCATAATAGGCAGGGGGTGGCGCCACCGCTTGGGCCATCCTGGCTCTGGCCATACTTAGCGCAGATATTGGGTCGGGCTTCAACCTTGCTCTATCCCCCTGCCGATGATTCAATACCCAGTATAAACGCTCTTCTGCAGTATCTTCGAATCCTCTCCACGCAGGTGTGATGCCTCGCCATCCGACCGAAGCGTCAATGCTGAATTTTAGCGGATTCGAGACCTGTCGAGCCCATTCTACTGGGATAGGCTCAAAATATCCAGCTCTGAGCAGGTGAAGGTATTGGAGAGGACTTCGTTCTCGAAGGTCGGCAATCCTTTGCGCCATCCCGACCTTGTCCTGGTACATGCTGACTATCCGTCGGTCCTCTGGATCGGGCCACCTGCCAGCTTCCTCTTTCAGAATTGCATCCCGCAGCTCGCGCGCCTCAGAGAAGATCTTCGATGTCCTGGAAGCAATCTTTTCTTCAGAGGATTTGATGGAGAGAGCTTTCTTCAAGCTCGCGCGCTTTGACTTTCCACTAGGATGATCGCCGTCAGTGGACGGACCGATACCTATGTTTGACATTGAAGATTGCAGTTGGTCGACCTCCCAGATCTTGAACGACGGCTCCATCGCGTCCACAGCAGCTTGCGCCTTGGCATTGAGAGAGTTGTTCAAGTCTATTGTTTGGTGGATTGATTTGGCGTGGTAATGTGGGTCAGGCCGCTGCACGCCGTAGATTGAACTGGTAGAAAATCCATACGGTGACACCACAAGGGTCTGATAAGGATTTTTACTGAACAGGCGCCCCTGTGAGCAGTCATGGTAGTGCTTTTCCCCCGGGTACATCACTGCTTTAGACCATAGCTCTAAAACACCGAGGCGATTCATCTTCCGTTGCATATACCTGTGGAGAAGGCAGTTGCAAGCGTAGTCGGTCTCATGCTCCGGCTCAATTTCGGAGTTGTAGATATGAAAAGACTGCTGAACGGTCTGCAACATGTTCTGCATCTCCTGCTCGTCCCGGGCGCGAATCTTCGCTGCCTCAGTTACCCCATTTGTATGTGCCCTGCGCTGCGATCCAGTCACACTAACACTTCCCGTTGATAGAGGTGGCGACGGGTATGGAGGTGGGGAATTGGCCCGCATCCTCGTTTCTGCGATCGGAGTCGGACTGATCGAGTTGCGCGTCGTCATAGCCAAGCTCGGACTGACTGGGGTGACGGGTGTGACCGGACTGCGAATAGAAGACATAGAGGACGGTGGGCGTCGAGCATGTTTGTGCGGATTGTCATAGTACTGATTCACGGCTTCATTGACGGAGTTGGCAGTCTTGAAACGCTCAGATTAGCAAAGCGGGGAACAAGACGGGACAGCAGCTTCAGGTGGATACCTCGAGGAACAAGGCAGCCGTTCCCGCATCAGTACCAGGCGCAAAGGCCATAAAATCGTCGATATTCGCCTTTGAGGGGTGCATGGTTGACGAGACTATCGAGTCCTATCGGTGGATAGCTGAGTCGAGAAGTCGGAGCTTCTTTCGCGACGACATAGTGTCAAACGTGACAGGATCAAAAGCGTCGGCACGTAGCGATGAGGGCGTCGATTGGGGCAATGACCGGGAAGTGGTCAGCGCATCGATAGGCGCAGCAGCAGTGAGATAGCGCGCACCATCTCGGGATACGTCGCACGTGTGCACGGGGCACGTGTCGCCGGTGGGCAGAGTGACTGGCGGGGAGAAAAAGGCGCAGGAACAGCGCAGAACGAAATATCTCAAAAGTACTTACTTCTCCCCAGCCCTCGCTTCTGGTCACCCCCTGATTGGGGCTGTGTTTCTCCGGCCCCGCAGGGCTCATCTCGGGCGATTTTGAGCCGCCAGTGGCGGGCCTCAGCCCCAACCTTTCCCCTCACCTAGCATACTATACTTTGCCATGCATAGTGTACGAACATCAGCATCCCGTGATTGAAATTGGAATGAAATTAGTTCTGATCTCGATACAGCATTAAACGAACCTGCCAAACTCAAAAGGGATTGAGAAGGAGCAAGATATCTTGACAATAGACAATATACTCTCACATTATCTTGAATGGCCTGCTTCGGTTGTCGTATACATTGTAGGCTGTGTGCATGTGCGGATCTCTGGATATAAATGACTGATTCCCTGGTCCCCGATTAGTCGCTTCCAAGACGCAGTAGGCAGCAACCTTGCCATGTCCCAACGTTAGCGATTCCTGCCTCACTTATCGTGCTCGGATTATTAGTTCATATTCATCGCTCGTTAAGACTTACGGTTAGTTGAGTCCTGCAGCTGAAACGGCTATTTCCGAAACCGTAGTTACTCGAACTTGACGTCGCAGGCTATATCGCTCTAGATATCATTTCACTTTGGATTATAAATATGTAATGAGATTGAAGGAGCACCCTCTTGTCTGGGCGAGGAGCGGGTGCAGAGTATTCACGAACGCTACTACCGACTCGTGGGATTAATTAGCCTATATTATTGTACGTGTGATCCTTCCTGATACTTGCAGCGGTCGCCAGCATAGAGAAACTGAGGTTGGAATATATTAGACTTTTGTGATAATTTACACTATCATCGCAATGCCATCGTTCTGGATGAAACGTCGAATTGGGACCATGTGTATTGAATAGTACTGGAGATGTCCAACCGGACCACAATGATGATCGGATTGTTAGATCCTGATGGTAAGCCCAGAGGGGATCGCTGTTGAGAGGATACCAGGGCCAATGTGGCGGATGCTCGGGCAGTTACAATGCTCGAGTTCATGCGTAATTCAGAACTGCTCACTCAACAGCACAGTTATCCATCTACCAATCTAATGCCGCGCTGAGGCCATCCAGTTCACGCTGGTAGTTCCGGTGCTGCGCAATTTGGTAAAAAAATTGGCCCACAAAGTCCTTTGCTGCTTTGGCAATCTGGAAACTCTCCTTGAAACTCTCTGGCTTTGTCGAGCCAGCCGTTACCACGCCATACCATTCAACGCACTCTGTTGAAGTAGGAGTGGCAAGCCTGATATCCAATACTTTACCTAGCACCTGATTGACGAGATCACAAGCTTCGCCAGTAGCTCCGATAGCTTTTAGATGCCCGAAGCTTTCCACAATCCAGAAGCGAAGCTGGCCATTCTTGGATAGGGCGGTGACATGAGATCCGCCCGGGATGAAGGTAGCATCAAACATTGTTGAGCGCTGTCCATCATACATATGATCGGCAATCACACCCTTCGAGTTCTCGGGAGACTGTCCCTGAGCATAAATCGGGGATCGCTTGGTTCCAATCACGAAGGGTAGTGCTCCTGCTGCCTTGATCGCCATTTTCATACCTGTGAAGGCAACTTGGTCGTAGCCATCACCGATGAGTATAGCGATCCGACGACTCGCAATCGTAGGTTTTTCGGGCGGGAACTCAGTCTGTGATAGACCTTTTGCGCGGTGACCCGGGTTCGGCATGAGCTGTTTCTGAGGGATAGGAGCCCCGACTAGCTCGGCGACTTGCTGGGCAAGATTCAAGTCTATTTCGGCAAGTCTAGTCCCAGCAAGACGTTCGTATACGATGGGATCATCGCAGTGGTCAAGCTCGAATGTGAGAGCCTTCTTTATGTGCGCTTTTTCATGTTCAGACATCGAGTTGTAGAACATTTGCGCTTGGGTATGATGGTCACGGAACTTCTCGCTGAGCGCACGCTTTTTGATGCCGGATATTTTCTCAGGGTACGAGGTGAACGCCCCTTCTTCTGCCTTGGCTGGAGGTAGCGCCTCGAACCTGTTTGGCCAATAGTTGACGGTGCCCTTGCTGATTCGGTGGCGCATGGCTCCATCTCGATTGAAGTTCATCATAGGGCAGACAGGCCTATTGATAGGTAGTTCTTCCCAGTTAATTCCCAGTCGACTGATTTGTGTGTCAAAATAAGAGAAGTTTCGGCCTTGGAGCAGTGGGTCATCTGAGAAATCGATACCAGGGACGATATGACTAGTACAGAATGCGGCTTGTTCGGTTTGAGGGAAGAACTCGTCCACATTCCTGTTGAGCTCGAGCTTTCCAATCCGGCGAAGAGGGACAAGATCTTCAGGCCAAACCTTGGTCGCATCAAGGATATCGAAGTCGAAATCATGTTCCTTTTCTTCGGGAATGGTTTGAATAGCGAAGTCCCACTGCGGATACGCGCCGCTGTCGATAGCTTCCATTAGGTCCTTGCGATGGAAGTCAGGGTCCTGGCCGGCAAGCTTCAAAGCTTCATCCCAAACCAAAGAGTGGACACCGAGGTTAGGGATGAAGTGAAACTTCACAAAATGGCGTTTACCTTCCTTGTTAATCAAGGTATATGTATTCACTCCAAATCCTTGCATCATACGATATGAGCGGGGGATAGCTCGATCGGACATGGCCCACATGAACATATGGGTTGCTTCAGGGTGAAGATAGACAAAATCCCAAAAGTTATTATGCGCAGTCTGAGCCTGCGGAACCTCGTTGTGTGGCTCAGGCTTGACGGCATGCACTACCCGTCATGTTAGCTTAGGAAATGTAAATTAATTATAGGAACATACCAAAGTCGGGGAACTTGATCGAATCTTGAATGAAAAACACAGGGATATTGTTTCCGACAATATCCCAATTTCCCTCGTCCGTGTAGAATTTGACAGCGAATCCTCTCACGTCTCTCACAGTGTCCGCGCTACCTCTGCTGCCTTGGACTGTGGAAAAGCGGATAAAGACCGGGGTATTACGAGATGTGTCAGTAAGGATGCCAGCGTGGCTCACATCTTCAGCGCTTTCATAAAGTGTGAAATTGCCAAAGGCACCCGTTCCACGCGCGTGGACAACCCTCTCAGGAATTCGCTCATGATCAAAACGGTGGATCTACAGGGGGGTGAGCACGTCAATAAAAATTCTGAGTCGAGAGACTCTATAGGAAAGCGAATTGCACCTTTTCTCTTGCGATCTGGTCCTCCAGCAGAGATGGACCAGTCTTGCGGCCGTCTGCAACCTTGAGCCAGTTGTCGGGATTTTCAATGCGAACTCCATGATCGGTTGTCTGCGGTTCGTGACTGTGAGCATCCACAGTGTCACGGGAAACGTCCACTATCTTTTTGTCCTTGGACGATACAGACTGAGTTGCTTGCTGGGCCTTGTTCAGCCCGCTAGCAATAGCGGCAGCCATTTTAGTCGAAGAGCCAGTTGTGGTTGATTGCAAAGGATTCGATCACAAAAGGTATATCTTCTATTGAACGCTTTTCAAAACTCCAGGAGAGCGAGAACAACAGTATAAGAGTACCTCTGGCTGCGACGTCCGTCCTGGGGAGACGCAGGGCTTGGGTCGCTTACGTCACATTTCCATCATCGCGGATGAACGAATATATTACGAATTTTATGATCCGATTGGTTACAAAAAGCAAGCTGGTATTCCACGAGGCATATTTGTTGAGATACGGCTGAGGCGAAACCTGTTGCGCGCCTTGATTTCTTGATTTCCACTCCCTTCCTCTTTCCTAAAGCGGAATCATAGAAGCGCGACCAACAATAATCAAGATCCACATTCGTAGGGCACAGCTCCAGACCTCGACGAACCATAACTAAAATTTTACAAGCTATTGACCTTAGGAAACTAGCTCATATTTCTAGCTCCTTTGGCGTTCAAGTCACTCAGTATTCGCTGGGATGTCGAGCGAGCGGCTAGAAATTGTGGCGGTGTGTTAAGTATCTTGATACCTATAGCGAACATTGCACTGTAAATTTGCGGCTAATGATTCTTCCCTCTAATGCCCAGACTAATCTTAGTGGGCATGACCAGGTTCCTCTGTCTTTCTGTGGTATCTTGTGACTGGTGGGATGGTTGCCAGGAATCATTGACCCTCGGTGGCCTATTCAATAAGCTACGGCACCTCAGACAGCTAGGGGTTGTAGGGGTTAAAAAACTGACCGCTATTAGATGGTGATTAGATGGAGGTGGCTCGTATCGTCATCCTTGAGCTCCTGTGTCGTTTTGAGACCCTAAAATATAGGTGTAACGTCATGTCTCAGCTAAACTACTTGAGTCTAGAGGTAACTTACCTCCTTCCAGGTCGACAACATCACCTATCGCCCTCATTACTAAACATAGAAAATCGATTGCCAGGTGCCTTTAGACTAATCGCTTGCGCTCAAACGGACAATAATAGGACGTATTCAGCATCTTCAATTTAATTCATAATTCTTCCTAACTATAACTCCTAACCGCGCCAAACCCCATTGCAGTCCAAGCCTTAGGTAGCACAAGACTGGAGGAAAAGAAATGATAAGAAAGGATATCCTGTAAGAGGACGGCCCTGAGGTGTTGCGAAATCGTATCAAACCAAAGTATCGAGCAACTGAGGTACATTCTCGACCACACATTTATCTGCGTCTGCAGATCTCACACCCTTAAACCTGCTGTCAAGCCATTGAAGCCACTCTGGAGATGAGGCGGCGGGTGAAGAATCATGGTTAAGGCCCGAATATAAACTCAGGTGAACGATATTTCCTATCTTGCACGCGTATTCGTACGCCTTCACCGTAGCAGTAACATTCACTATTTCGTCGTCGGTAGATTGAATAACGAGAAGCGCCTTGTATCCCTTTCTTCCGGTAGCTGCGCCATACTTGTTTTGGAATGCGATATAAGCTTCATGATTGTGTTGAGTAATGTCAGGCGTGGAGTCCACAATGCCATGGTTTGGTAGGTCAACATTTAATTCCGATGCAGAAACGTCGCAAAGTCCGAGTTCGTATGTGAGCGGATAACGGTCCATAGCGGCCGGGGTAAGAACGATTGGTTGTATCGGGAAGTCTAGAGCCTTGAATATGTTCACGATGAAGTCACCAAAGCCGTATCCTTTCGCAATGGGCGAAGCTGTGAGGAGATCATCCAATCTGGCACTAGGAGCGATGGCAACTCCGCCCAAGTATTCGCCACTTTCGGTGGTAGTGACACGAGAGTTCTCGCTGAGCCCCCAGACAGTTCCAGCTCCTTGAGAATGTCCAACAGAAGCCCATTCAGTCGTAAAGGCTTCCGGAAAGGCTTTCCGAGCAGCAACGACCGAGAAATAAACATCCTCAGAGTTAATGACAGGGTTGCCATACTTGTGGGAAGTATAATTATTTCCTAGGCCTGCATGGTCTGTAGCAACCACAGCATATCCGGGAGCTGTGAGAAGCTGCCAAGAGTGATAGTCATATCCATTGTAAGAAGACGATGCAGCGCAAGCGGGGACAAATCCAATAGTTCCATGGGCATATGCGACGAGACGGACTTTGTCTCTTGGAGCCTCCGCGTAGGGAAGTGCAATAAAGGCAGTCACTGGGACCGGCGCTCCGCCAACATCGACAGATATGTATTGCATAAGCCATAACGACGTTCCAGGTGGGATGTCATACATAGATTCATTCTGCTGCTGGAGTTTCAACAAGTCCCCGGGCTGTGAACTCGTGAAGTTTGCCGCAGTTGCGTAGAAGTCATAATCGAAGGGAATATTGCCAAAGATTTGACGGTCCAATCCCTCATATTTCTGGAGGTTCTCCTGGCAGAGAGCGTCGCAATTATATTTTTCGGCTTGAGCCTCTGTGATGTTGAGGTCGTTTGGGCGAGTATAATCCTGGGCCTGTACACACAAAGGGAGTGATACCAGAATAGTAGCAAGACAATAGAGGAACTTCATATTGGCGTAAAGCGAATTGCGTAGACCTCGGTGTCATTCCCCGGGACTAGAAGACGAAAGAGGAAATGAACAAGAAAGTGAAGCAGAGGAGTGCTTTATCTTGATCAGGACTTGCAAGCCTTTATAAGGAAGTTCCATGTAACTGATACTAGTAAATTGAGTAGTTACGACCCTTCCTGTTATGTCTAGATGCCACTCGGGGGGGGGGGGGGGGAGTGAGGGGTGAGGTACAGTACTCTTGAGAATGTTCCCTTCATCCATTCTCTAGCCAGCCAATGGCCGCCGACAGTGAGAAATCAGCTGGACACATAGGGTCCATTAATTTACTCGTAGGTTTTCTAAGGGGGTTACGGAATGGGGCAACACGAACATACAGTTTTTGTGGACGGATGTTGAGATTCTCAGCCTAAGAATTCAATGCGAGGTATTCCCCTTACTAATCATGGGACATTCTTGCACCTGCACCTAGCCCAGAAGACCTTGCCATAAGTTTTATTTGTGGCGGACTCTGTGTGTGCAGCCATGAAAGTAAGTTGAGTCATGTAGCTGTTACACCTACAGTTGGAAAATACTTGAGATGCATAGGGTACATATGTACGGGATAATGCCTGGCAGCTCTTGGCTTTCCCTTTCTGTTTTAGTGCTCACCCTCCACGCTTACTGCACACCGTTCTAGGTCACCTGCAATCCCTAATACCCCAGTACGCCCCAGGCCTACCGCTTACACAACTGAAGGGCCAAAACCTTGAACCTTCACCATGACACACCATGATACAACAACCATGACAGACTCGACGATTGGAGTATGTCTATGTCTTCCTATCTCTCCCAATACTGGCAATACTAAAGATCATTTCCAAGCATCATGATCTTGGTCTTTTACATCATTATCATTATCATTATCATGACACGGACGGCCTGGGCGGCAGTCACATCGGGATATACGGCTCCACTGACAACCACACCATCTATCGTATGCCAGACTGGGAAGGGCATGATGGTGGCATTTCATCGGAGTGTAGCCAAGTTGTTGCTGCTGTTCGCCTCTTGGTGATGTTGGCCGTCTTTGTAATTTTGGGATTTGTTACGATCAATGCGTTAAAACCTGGGCCCAGCTTCCTCCGCTGAGTCTAGAGTAAGATTGCATGAGCATTGATTTATCCTTATAATTTAGAAACTATGAATGATGGTTAAGTAAGTGAACGCTTCTTCCTGGGCAGGCCTCAACAATTTAATATCATGAGCCGGGGTTCACCAGGTCAGTTTCATTTTACCAATATGAAGTCAATGATGCTATCTTTCTCACTTGGCGATCCAGTTAAATGCTTCATACGAGCTACAACCTATTTTCTTTCAAGTCGCGAGATATTTTACAATTTCCTTTCCATGTGTGATTGGATGCTTAGCATGCGTCGTTTACTAATACGGAAGTGGGACAGGGTAACAAGTTACTTCCACACCGGGCTGAGACCAGGACTTATAGTCCAAAACCTGCTTTGGTGCTATAGCTAGGAGAAAATCTCCCTCATTGGCGGGATCTCTCAAAGCCTAGGCAAGCCCCACAGGGGTCAGCACACAGCATAATCTTGAGAATTACTCCCAGAATCATACAAAAGTATTGCTTGTTGTGACGGGTTTATTACTTCACTGTCCGGTTAACCATGTATTGTTAGCTCAACCCCCACATCTCATCATGTCTCTCATGTTTTCTCTCCTAATAATCTGGATTTGACCTGTCAGATCGCCTACGCAGCTCGAATTTGGAAAGTTCTAGTGTTCCTGTTTTCAATTTTCCTATTTTACCCTGCGATAAGGCGACAGTCGATAAAATTATCTGCCCATGGCATGGCTATCTCTGATACCGCGACGTTTCTTTCACTTGGCGGTGGTTAACCAAAGCATGCAACATATAGAGCATCTTAGCACGCATTGGAATTAATGCCATATGACCAAATCAACAGCATTCTAGCAAACATTTCCGTAATCAAATCTACAAAACATGAGCCTCGCACCTTTATATCGCTCCGCGCGCTCCCGGGAAGTTAAATATTGCAGGCGGCCGATCGACGACCCGTGGACACATTCTAAGAATCGTCACTAACACCGTCAATACATTTCAAGTCGATGAGAGTGTAGATACCGCCCGCAAGTGATCTTCAGAATGTTCCCTTGCTTGGTGTGAAATGATTCTCCATCACGCCACGCACGCACTTCAGTAAACGTCTGCCGTTACGATAAGTCATGAAAACGTGGCGGTATTCTTATACTCTAGGTCATCACTTTCAATAGCGATAGCAAGCTAGCTAATTTCTATGATAGGTGGAGAATAGCGAAAAAAATTCATCGGAGACTTTTCATTCACAAGGAGTTATTCAAGAAACACCAAGACGGCAGATTGATGATTGCAAAATCATGAACTAAATAAATATAGTGCGTGCAAGGGGTTACTACTCCCTGAGCTTCAGAACCTATATTTACTTCGTGGAAGGATTAGGCATGCCCGAGGTGTGAGGCCACTTGCGGAAGAGATCGGCAAGATGATCGATTGGCGCCGCCAAAAGGCCAACAACCGTCTCGAATGGCGGTTTGTCGGGAGCACTTGGGTGAGAACGAGAGGGAACGAACATTTTAGTTCTTCCAAAGGACGTCGAGTACTTCTCGCTGTCGTCTTGTGACAGGACTTCTTCAAGTTTGGGCAAGTCATGCGACTCTTCTTCCTTGATATGTTGAGACAGATCGTCCATCAAAGCCTTAAGAGTAGAAGTGAACTGAGGATTCGAAGGCTGCATGTTCTGGAACTGCTTCAATTGCTCTTTGACCTGCGTAACATATCATGTAAATGATGTTAATGAAACTCACGGGAGTATGACATACTGCTTGGTGCTCTTTGCGATCCTTGTTTGCAAGATCGACACCGCCGGACACGTATTTCTCGAATGCCGGGTAGACAACAAGCTCCTCTCCAATGGAGTGTCGTGCCAATTCCCAGGTGAACATATTTTGCCATCTCACCTTCTCAGTCTCGTCTGTCGCATTGATTATATTGTTATAATAAGACTCTATCTCCCGGTGATCCTGCTTGATCGTGTCGCTGATACGGGATCCCATGACGATAGGTGAAATCGCAAATGTGCGTCTTGTATTAAATAGTGCGGCGCGGTTGAGACTGGTTGTTCTGAGTTCACGCAGAACGAAGGCCATGTTGGTAAATCGCAGAACCTACCCGGACATGGCACTTACTGTGCTTCATCTTATAACAAAAAAATTTGCCCTGCTTTCCTAAAATCAGCCTATCTTACCAGAAAACTACGCGTTGATGATGTGCAACATCCTTGGAACGGATGCCAGATTCCAGGATCTGGAGGCAAATGGTATCAGGGAAGCACCGTCGCCTCAAGCAAATGGACCAGTCAGAGAAAGTATATTAATAAGCGTCATGGTGACGGGTGGTGAATGCTAAGGAATGTCACTCTGTTGAACTCTAAATACCTGGATTTGACTAATTCAACTTGTATTCGATACTTAAACTTAGCTGCTACGACTAAAGCGCATGTGAATAGTAATCAGCCAGATGGACCCTCGGATCCAATCCCACCAAAGAGGAACAGGCTCGTTCAATCCGGGCGACCGTTAGGCAGGCCTAGCCTTTATCGGCCTAATTATCATCATTAACCAAAGTAGTATAACTATTGATTGGATTGTGTAAGCTTGACGTGAGGATAGGTCCGTGGGACGGAGTTCACTAGATGGTCAACGGTCTAGAATCCGTTCGGGTGTCCAAAGTACTTGCCAGCTGGAAATTTCGATTACTGTTCAACGGTGGTTCGACTTAGTTCCAAATTTAGGGTATTGAAATGTACATATGACAATTTATCGTGCTTCAATCAAGCTCATTTGCTCTCTCTTTTTTCCTCCTCGGCGAGCCTCGCCACCTGTTCCATTCGCTTTTTCAACACATCCTGCAGTTCTGGTCTCCTCGAGCCCATCATTTTCTGCTTCGCTACCCTTCGTCTGCCCAGGATTCCGTAATAACTGCAACTGGGAAATTACTTTGGAACTATCTTCGACCATCTCCAGCCACTTGTCCAGGCTGCGCAAGTAGGCGACCCTGGCTTGGTCAACCCTATCCTTGACGTACTTCTCCCACCTGTGGTTTGCCCGGAGTAGCACCTCTTGACAAGACTTTATAGGTCCTTTAAGTCCCCCTTCTTCAACGCTTCGATGTTGTCTTTTACCAATCGTTTAAGCTTGAGCTCTCCTCGAGATATTGCCGAGACTCCTCGAGACCCTTGCTCCACGCCTCATCGCCAATGATTTGAAGCTTATCCTTCTCATCTTCGATCAATTTCCTGATCTGCTCAGCTGCCTCCTCATTCGCGCCGCGCTGTACAATGCTAGAGATCTGTTCCCAAGGCCTACTCACCTCGTCCACGGCTGGGGATCTCAAGAATCGCCCATCTGCTCCATATCGTCATAACTGCCCCCAAACTTCTTATAATCCACGGATTGTTATCAAGGACATTCTTCGCGGTATCACCGACCGGAAAGAAAAGGTGCTTGGAACGCCTGTTTCCGATTTTCGAGGTTTCGGAAATACTGGACGTTATATGATCGCGAAACACATCGGCAGACCCACGCTAAGTAGACAGGCCAGTGTGGATGATATCTATGCGGAGAACATGGGTCAAATGGCGCACCAAATCAACACCAATTAGAGATTGAGGAAACCACGGTCCGATTCAAACAGCGAGCGCGAACAATGTACGCTCCAGGAAACATGGGAGTGCCTCCATTTTGCTGCCCGGGGGTGCGACTCTGCTCAGTGCTTGAGGGGCCGGAAGCTAAAGATTAAGGATAATGGTTTGCGACCGGGGCCTTCTGGTCTGTCGTATTTCCGTTGGCGGTCAGCGGCTATCACCGTTAACTCCATGCTCGATGACAGCGCGAAGATCTTGGCGATCTCGGCCAGTCCATTTCCGGCGATACCTCACATCGAACCTGCAGATCATGAACGCCCAGAATTATCAGGCAACAAAATATCATGACGTGAATGACTTGGCTCTAGCATAGCCACTGTCGCAGTATAATCTGCCATGGACATTTGTTATAAGACGTGTTTACTGCCTCCGAGGACCGTTCCTTGACGTGTCTCAATATGCTGGCCAAAGATTCGATTCAGCATATTATGAAGCCGCGATCGCCTAAAAAGTTGGATGATCGGAACCTTCGATTTACCAAGAATGGCACTTTTCAGATCTCTGTATTTAGTGATTTGCACTTCGCTGAAAGTATTTACCTCCAGCACCATTCAATTCAGTAATAAGCTTCGCTAACCTGACCCAGATGCGACACTCGATTCTATGACAAAAAGGGTCATGTCACATGTTCTGTCAAGGGAAGATGTACAACTGGTTGTTTTGAACGGAGACTTGATATCCGGCGAAGCTACAGATGGTGACAATTCTGGCCACTATCTTCATGAAGTTGTGACACCGTTGGTTGAGATGGACATTCCATGGGCATCAACCTATGGTAACCATGACAGTGAAATCAACTTGAATCCGATGAAGGATATCTACGATCATGAGATACAGTACAAGAATAGCCTGACTAGAAGTATGGTTACAGGCCCAAAGGCTGGAGTCACGAATTACTATTTGCCAGTCTATCCGCACGAAAGCTCCGAGGACACGCCTTCTCTTATTTTATGGTTTTTTGACTCGAAAGGGGGACATTACGCAACAAATCGAGGTATAAACGGACTTTCGGGTACAAGAGGTGATTGGGTCCACGAAGATGTACAGTTCGTCCCCACTTACAATCATAGGCCTCTAACAAAGTCAAAACAGGTCGTTGAATGGTTTATAAATCAAAATGCCAATTTGACCGCGAAGTATCGCAAAGTCATTCCATCGCTCGCATTTTACCATATTCCTGCACATGCGATGTTTAGCTACCAGGAAGAGGAATTTGATTCTAAAGCAACTCCCGGGATCAACGGGGAAATCGTAGTGTCGCAAGGTTCTGGCGACACCAACTACACTGGGCAGGATAACCAGTTTATGCAGGCCCTCCTCAACACTACGGGATTGATTGCGACATTCAGTGGTCACGATCATGACAATGACTGGTATGAACCTCAACGGAGTGATGATTACACTGTCTAACATATACAGGTGTTTCAAGTGGAATGGTAGTATCGTTGAGCAAGAATTGACGGGAAACGGTGTCAATATGTGCTATGGCCGGCATACTGGCTACGGCGGTTATGGTGATGCCGCCCGTGGTGGACGACAAATCTTCCTGGATCAAAGAGCCATGGAAGATGAGATACAAACATGGATTCGGCTCGAGGACGGCACAACGTCAGCTGCAATAACGCTGAACGCAACCTATGGCCAGGATCAATACGAAGAGGTTGCGCGGAGAATGGTTCAAGCTTCAAGAGTTTCCAGTACACATGAGCAATCTGTTTTGCTCCCCTGGGTCGTCTTATGGAGTCTTACCCTGGTCTGCTTTCGCGTACACCTTTTCTAGAAAATAGATTACGTACATTTGGTCGCACGAGACCAGTTAACAAGATTTCGCGTATTTTCTTGCTCCATTACCTTGCCTTTACTCAGCCCCTCGCCCGAATAAAACACTCCTTTCCGGCTATAAATAGCCACCTTGCGTCTCCATTTCATAGGCATCAAAATCAGTTCAGTCAATTAATCCATTCTTCCTTGGCGTATTTCCAATCAAACCAAAATTTCGGCACAGCAGTGACTGTGAGGGGTTCGCATTACCAAGAGGCTGGGCATCTGGGCAACGCTGTCATCATCTCGGAGTTAACAGCGCCACGGATTAGGAGCATCACCACGCCCCAATGGAGCATTGGGTAGAAGTGTACTTCTCATTTGACTTTCAACATGCAGAAAATAATTCTTATTAACGAAGAGTGGGATAAGTTTCCCAATATATCTACAAACCATGACCAGTACTTAGAGTTTGTGCAGAAGTAACGCTCGAAATGACCGAAGACTGGACTTCGTCAATTCCATTGACTGAAAGCGGAGTTTTCTGAAGGGGGGTCTGCACAATCTATACAGAGTAGGTATTCAAATACTCACTCTCCGGACTTGAGGGTGGAGAGGTCGAGATATCTCATAATCTCTTCCACACACTCCGGTGGTACAACATTTGAACCCATTCTTGCGGTCTGTGCCTGGGTGGTTTTTAAGCGTCGCCGAGTGGATGTGGTGTTATAAAACCAAATTCGATTCTCGGAATTCATGTGGCGGTCAATTAGGCTCTCGAAAGAATGTATCGTTAGCTAGGTACATGATTTACTAATTGAATTGCTTAAGAACAACCCGATATTATTGACTGCCACGGAATCCATCAACTCCCCCTCAATATGATATTCAGATTAAGACAAGTGATCCTGCATGGCGGATCAAATTAACTCTGCCGTCATTCTATTCATCAGGAAATATTACGATTACGTTTATTCTTAACGGCCCAGATATTCCAATCAATATTGAGTAGTTGAGTTTGTAGCAATCGGCGCACAAGTAAAATTCAATATTCGGTCAATGTCACGCAGCCAATATATTCCTCGTAGCTACATGGACAACGTAAATGACGAAAACAATGAACCGAGTTAAGGAGGTATCACAGAATTAAGATGGCTGTATTGAGGCCGATTTGGTCCATCAATAATAGAAGTCAAAGAAAATATGGACTCGAATGTCCAGCACGAAGAACATGTCAACAGTAGCGGATGGTGCGTGAGGATGCCAGCTGTCACCAGTGGATGTCGCATTATTCGGCTAAGAAAGCTTATATCGCGACTTAGATCTGCATGGCAGCTGCGCAGAGGGCACCGAAGATCACCGCGACACCGGACAGAGTAGCACGGCCAGCGGCGTTGAACGCAACAGGGCTGGCAGTGGGAGTGCTCACGCTTCCGCTGGAGACGGAACCAGCGGGAGCAGTGGCGGTCACGCGGCGAATAGAGGAGGTCTTGACACCAGCGGAGCTGGTGGGGCAGATGGTGGTGGTACGAGTAACGGTCACAGTGGCGGCGGCGGATGAGGACGGGCGACCTGTGGAAGAGCGTCCGGCAGAGAAGCCAGGAACGCGAGAGGGTCCGGAGGAGCTCGGGGCGGGGGTGGCAGAGACAGCAGGAGACGATGGAGCAGAGCTGGCGCCAGCGGGTGCAGTCGCAGGGGCGCTGGGGACGCTGTTCGCCGACTCGGTGATAGCGAGGTTCTGGCTGGAAGCATCCTTGCAATCATGCTCGCCCAAAACAGACAGGCACAGGTTGATGGGGATGTTGATCCGGCCGCCAGTGGTATCGGAGCTCTGCTGGCAGTGGACCTCGCCGAGGACAGCCAGACAGACGTTGATCGGCACATTGATCAGGGAGCCGCCGTCGCTGGCGGAAGAAGAGGCCTGGTCACACTTGCTCTGTCCAAGAGCAGCCACGCACCCCTCAAGGGGGACGTTGATCAGGCCGGTGGTGGAGCTCTGCTGTTTGCACTCTTTCTCTCCAAGGATGACGGCGCAGAGCCCAACAGGCACACTGATCAAGTCCTGGGTGGCATAGACGCCCTATAAAAAAGCACGTCAGTACCATTTCGGCTATGGGTACAGGAGTCATCTCTCGGCTTACAGAGCAGGAAGCCGCCAGAGCGACGAGGGAAGTGATAATCGATTGCTTCATTGTGTCGAAAGAAACGTAATCATACGTGGATGGTCAAAAGAGTGTGGGGTGATAAAAGAATGGACGCTGAGAACAGCAAAAAAGAGCGACTGAGAGGACTAACGAGAGAATGAAGCAGATGGGAGTCGACTGAGGGATCAGGAGAGGATAATGTACTGTCGTGTAGGGAGTAGGCGAAGAGCCAACGGCGTGCCTGTGCCGAACCAACAAAGCCAACAAGCATAGCGTCTTGGGACCTGCACTGTTGCAATCTCGGAGAAGGGATAGCGGCAGCAGTGCCGATCTGCATTTAAAGGTCCATAAGAAAAACAGGGAAAACAGGGTCTTGGAGAAAGTCCAGTCCGGCTTATTGACACTACAAACGGGGCCCTGATTGGCGATCACCTGTCGTTCAGGAGCGATGTTGCCCAGTTCTGCTGGAGGACTTTTAAGCTAGCAGTGCCAATACCCCGTCGTCGAACTTTGTGCTGCCCGCCCCGCTTCCGATCCGTTAGTTGAAGGCGCGGCCTTATTGCTCGTGCTTCGTGAGCGGCTCCGCACATGTAGCCGACCGGCTCCATATCTGATTTTTGCGCTCGTGACATCGCCGATCAGGGGGTGAAGACAAAGGACGGGGGTTTGGGAGAATTGGTTTTCTCATCAATAGGACGTTGCATTCCTAGACTCGCCGCCAATAATGGCCACATCCAGACCATCGAGTCACTACATCCTCCGTATTCCACAACTCCTACCATTGGTCTTTCCTGCTGACAGGAGCTTTTATCAAGATGTCCATTACTCCTCTTACAGCTGAACAAAGGATATCTCCACTGCGGCACGATGGCCTGCTAGGCTAATTGAAAGCAGCTACCCATTTCCCACCCCCTTTTGTGCAAGAGCAGAGGGCAGCAAAGTCTGTGGACTAACGCATTAGCGAAGCTACCGGAACTTGGTGCAATTATTGTACAAACACACATAAATAATTGAAGCTGGCCCATGTTTAAGTATGGCCCGGGGCTTGCAGCCACCAACTTCAAACTCTGCGAGCGCCACAAAAGCTGAAGATGCACATGCCCCACCACCCCCTTTTCCCCTCCGCCATCTAGCCGCGACCCACGGCCCACACAGCCTAGCCCTTGAATATCGCCAACCCGAGTCGCATGGGTCTTTTTGAATCGCGCAGGAGATTTGCCCCGTTCCTGGTACGGAGGAGATGCGGTACAGTATTGGGGGGTACAGTAAACCGCAGCTTGGTACAGTTGGTGTCTCATAAGTTTTCGACCACCATTTGCTCTACCGTCTAGTCTTCCGCTCTCAGAGGAAACTTGACAGGTCAAGAAACCGCTATAAACGTAAAGTACGATCATGCTTCTTCATAAAGTTCATCTGGAATATGAATCAAACCCAACCTACAAACTAACAAAGCCATATATTGATGCAGGAGTAAGGGGAGTTGTTTGAACCGGCTGAATAATATGTCATTGTTGGGTGGTCGAAGACTTACGGAACACCAGGCTCCGGAGGGCCATTCCAAAAGTCTTCCATACCCCGCTAGGCTATGAGTACTAGTGCTTTTTGCCTTGATAGTGGAAAACAAAGCCCCTATTCAAATATTTCTATCTATCACCACCACTACCACTACACTACACTACCATGACGGATATTGCTAAGCGCCCCCAGGTTGTGGCTATGAAGGTCTATGCCCAGACCTCTCAACAGATTAAGACTAGCAAGCTTAGTTGTAGCCGTAAGGGTAGAATTAATTGGTATCGATTTCAAAGGCTAATTACTTTGCCAAAGGCGATACCTTTTACTAAAGAATATACTATTAAAAGACCATCGATAGTGGTTCAAGAGGATAAAGCGTTAGTGTATACTTATTCTATTTAGCATTAGATTTTGCGGCTATAAATTGCTTACTTTGCTGTCCTAGATTTTGGGTTGAAAATGATACCAGCAGCGGGTGCTCTGTTGATACCAGCAGCGGGTGCTCTGTTTGACCACAGTCAACAAGTAAGAAGATGTGATATTTTGGCCTGTACTCTGTACTTGGAAACTGGTGATTCTTTCATAGGTCAGCATAACTGCACATCCAGGCGATGTCGGTGAACAATTATTTTTGATCTGTCATTTCATGTCTCTTATGAGTGCTTTACATGTTGCCAGTCGGAAGCCCTACATGAAGCAATTCTGCCACAGGGCCTTGGAAAATTGTGTTCAAGCTGGTAATCAGCATATATTCACAAAGAGCCTCAGCCATACAAAGCTCTAAATCTACTGTTACGCGAATCAAAGAATGTCGAAAAAATAACAATAAATAAAAAGAAAGGAATAGCGGTTTACATACCTCAGGCTTCCAACCGGCGCCTCCGCGGTGGTCACTATGCCTAACAGTACTCTATAGAAATACCGCCTGGCATTGGACCGCAAAAAAGGAACACTAAAATTGCAGTCATGCAACTTGTTAGAGAAATTAGAAACAAAAATAAAAACATACAACAGTCAGGATTCGCATGTGGTCACCCACCATACTACTAACTGACCGGCGTGTGGCTTAAGTACAGCTGAGCGGACGGGAAGCCCTGTTCTCCACACCCTATGGTCGTATGTGCTGGAAATTAGCGTAAGAGGTTTGATGATCATTATAGGGTGTAGAGGTTGCAGGGATTTATACCTTAACCTCAGGTTTAGGCTAATTATAAGTAGAAGTATTCTTGGCCAGCGCTAATATAAATATACCGATAATAAAGATTGCAGAGATACAATCAGAATAAATAATAACGTACAGAGTAGACGTAGGTGAATAAGACATTGAGAAAGATAAAGAAGCAAAAAGGACAATGATGGTCGAGTTCGTTTCTAGAAAGACTAGTCTAAGTGCATCTGAAATCGCCTTACCGCCGAATGTTATTCGATACTCCGTCTTCTGGACTCCTAACTAACCCTGCTAAGGGTCTCATCGTGGTAAGGCAATCATATAGTGACTCTGGGATAGCGTCAGGGGGGAGTTAGCACCAATGAAACACAGTATGGGTCGGATCAATGGACACTAGTTCTCAGATCAGCCAGACACGAGTCTACCAGAATTTGAACATGACGTGGGCAATTTCCAGTCCTTTATATTTCTATTTGTGAGTTTGACGGAATTGGAATCTGACCTTATCTGCAGACCAGCTATTAAAAAGGCATATCAAAACTGAAGCAATAGCGCGGAAGGTATGGCGTTGTGTACTCATTTGGGAACAGTCCTTATTGATGGCCTAGACGCATCAGCCGCCAACGTAGGCTGCCAGGATGGCAAAATGGGGCGTGGCAAAGTAGGTCGAGCAATTACAACAATCACATCGAAAGCCCACCTACCCGGGTAGATAGGAGCAAATGACCTGTTGGCCCAGCGCCGGTACGAGCAGCCCAATTTAGGTAGCGTGGCCAGTATATGTAAGCGCTTTCTTGAAATATTGGCCTATAATCTCCTCAACAGGTATGTGTCGTACTTCTCCCCCATGATACGTTTGACGAGTTCTGCAAGCAAATCCTGTTTATAGTTGTTCTGCGGCAGCGTGATGCAGAAGGTTGTGAGAATATCGTCGTAGTCCTTGTATTGATGAAGATCACGGAGGATTCGTATTTTACAGTGGGGCTCTTTAGTATGACTCCGAGTCAGCAGGGAAGCATCTCAAATAGTACGTAGCTTACTCCTGTGATACAGATCTGGATGAAGCTTAGCTTAATGGCGATCAAGGCAATGAATTTTACATCTGTATGCTCGTGAGCTTGTAGACTATTGACGTCATCTCTAAGTTCAGGTTTGACACTGAATCATGTCATTGCTGACTCTTCTTGGCGTTTGGGGGCGGAAGCATATCATAAATATCATAATGACTGCGGGGCTTAATCACTAGTAATGTGAAACAACAATGTGGATCCAACGTCATTGCCTGCAGCATAATGAGTGAGTGGTACAAGCCCCTTGAAGGGTATACAGTATTGAAAGTAAATGCAGGTGAGGATCATGATATTCTGATATAAAGGGCTCCTGAGCAAGTAGGGCATTTGATATCGTGCAGCATGTCTGGATCCGGGGACCTCTAGTCGGACTCTCGGCCATGTCCGAGCAGGATTGAGGTAGAGCAAACGACCTTGGCCGGAGAGTGGGTCGACAATCCTTCTTGCATTTGCTGAGTACCATTGGCCGGGCCGTAAGGAAAGTCTTGGCCTTCCCGAGTCCCGCCCTGGATCTGCACTAAAATTATCCACATCAGTCTCGTCAGACACAGTCAGAACCTTTGGGGTAGATTTGCATTCTGGACCCCATATTTTGGACGCTTATCAACGGAGTCGTCGGAACTCACCCGACATACTTTATATGGTATTGATTGTCTCTCTCCACTGAGTTGGGATTGGGTGCCTGGGGGAAGGGCTCAAACATCGGGTTTTGTTGAATAATCAACACCTGGAAGAGTATGCAGAAAGCCCCCCCGGCTCCCTCTGCACATTTCACAAGCTGTTCAATCATTGATGTAAATCAATAAAGCGATGACAAGACTCAACAGGAAGGTAGAAAGTGGATCCCGAACCTAGCCATTCCTTCGAAAGTTGTACTCTGCTCTCATGTCTCCACTAATCCATGCAAACATCTCATCAGATCAGGGAATAAAGAGACGCAAATTCCTTGGCATCATCTTTTAGTGACTGAATGCGACCTCGAACAGGTATAAAAGGGCTTCCGAAAAGCAAGCTTGGAGACAGAACAAATCCTCAATTCTATTCAACTCACCGGACTCAATTTGACTGCTGAAAGCATGGCTCCCCTCCGCACTTTTCTCTGCCTGCTGGCAGCCTCCGCGCCAATCTACGCCGAACACCTCAGGGTCGTCTGGTCTGCTGGTGACTTTTCCACCATCTCTGGCCCAGCTGGGGGCAACACGAACGGGCACTATTCCGGTTTTGCCATCATTAACGATGCGGGTGAGGCCATCTACGACCAAGGCTTCCCTGATGACCACTCGCCCTGCTACAACACCGATGACGGCCGCGAGTTTACTATCGAGGGCGACTGCTGGAGCACTCCTCGCAAGTTCAAGTGCAAGGCTGACTTTGCAGGTCACCCTGAGACCTGCGAGGTGAAGGATGGCAATGGCAACAGCCTTGGTACTAGCAATGGACAGACCGACACGACCTTTATTGGTATTGCTATTGGCCAGGACTCCAGCTGCGTTGTCGAGTTCAATTCTGACAGCGACGGTTGCCCAGTGGATGACGGCAATGGCCCCCTTCACGTTACTTCCGGTTAACGAGATGGCATAATTTCTGAAAGGAAGTTATTTGCAAATGTTGAAGATTTCTTTTGTATACAGGGAGCATTTTACGGCCTGCAAGTTGGATCCTGTGGCTTCTTGCTCGTAAATTGATTACTTTATTTTCTACATCTTCGCATCTCTCCCGAGAGATTAAGGAGATAAGACCTAGCATGCACTTACGTATTACCTGGACGAAGATCTGTCACCTCTATTTGCTTAGGGCCATCTTCTTAATGTATAGACCTCTTTTAAACATACAAGTGGAGTACTCGGTGTGGTCAAACACAAGTGCACCTATTCATGTGCCCGACCGCCAAAAAATATCCCTGCGCGCCGAAACTTTCAATATAACTACAAACTCATGACTAGGCACCGCAAGAGAGAGCCACATAGCTAGAGGCAGAGCTGTAAGAAAGTCTGGGGTCAGTCTCTATAGCATGCGATTTGTCTACATCAAGCACACTGCGACCCGAAATTGGACTCTAACAAACGAATTCTTGGCAGGATGTTTTTCACGAACTGCACTGTATACCTTATACCTCAATCACAGCAGATGACTGGTGGTCAAAATGTGGAGATCCATAACACGTGGTGGGAAGAAGCAGATATGCAACTATTTTCAGGGCAGAGAGCCAGTCGAGCAGGTAAGGAGGTACCAGTATAGTCAATTTGGAACAAAGACTGATTTTTAAGGAATAAGGTAGAGGGAGGGGGATGTCAGACTTTTTATACTAGGGTATCCTGCGGGATGTTCCAGCGGGAGCCCCCAATTAAGTGAGAGTACCGAAGTCGGCTCGGATAGACATTTCACCGCTCATGTATTCTCCTGCCGATGTTCGATGAGAACTGATCTCTTTGGCGCTCGCAACAAAGCCTGGTCTTAATGACTGCATGCTACTAATTCCAGACACACAAAAAAACAGAAAACAAAAAAACATACAACAGCCAGGATTCGCATGTGGTCACCCACCATACTACTAACTGGCCGGCGTGTGGCTTAAGTACGGCTGAGCGGACGGGAAGCCCTGTTCTCCACACCCTATGGTCGTATGTGTTTGAAAGTGCTTTTGAATGGATAATACCTTTCTGATTGAATGCAGCGCAAGAACCGACGATTCCGGCCTTGGTCTCATATAATAGCAAAAGGGAATAGATAGCTTCCTCACTCTTCGGGGATATTTGTTAAAAATAATTGTAAGGTCAGAGTATGGGTAAAACATCTCGAATTGCTACTGATGTTATTTTCGATTGCGAGCGTTCCTGGGGTTTAACCGTACCTCAACATGATTAAAATATGTCGCACAATTTTAGGCAATATGACTGCTAGACCAAGGTGCACTATATGCGACACCCTTAATCTGTACTGTTAGCCTCCAGTTCGACAATATATCTCGATTTTGTTACTCAATATTTGCTAAACCAACGTCGGACGCTCGAATCTCTTGCATGATAACCGGGAAACACAAACAAATACCGCCATAAATCGGCCGACGGATCCACAACAGAACTTGAATGTGCTAGATATTTGGACCCAGGCATGGTGCTTGGCAGTTGGCGAGGTCCATATCATGGAAAAAATCCAGTAAATACACTCCCGAGGCAGTGCTGCATGTAGGCAGTCACGCATGCGATTGCTCATATGACTATTTCTGCAACGGGAAGTGGAACCATAGTCTTCTCAAACTCAATAAAGCACATGTCCGCTGGCAACGCCAGGTCGTCGTACTCCTCGCTGGGGAACGGTGCCGAGTCTCCCGTCTTTCGGTAACCGCGGCGCAGATACCATGAGATAAGAGCCTCGCGCGTCGAAAGGGCATTCAGTTCCACGATTTTGGAATCCCATGTGCGTTGACAGTAGTCCTCGGCGTATGCAAGCACCTGGCGTCCTATCCCTCCACGATGGTGTTGTGGTTCTACTGCAAGCATGAAGAGGCGAGCGCGGTCAAGGGCGCGTTTTGAAACTCCAATAGAGCCCAAAATTGCGCCATAATCGTCGCTGGCCACCAGGAAAGCCGTAGCTGGGTTAATAATCACGGCTGAGATGTCCTTGACTTCAATATGAAAGCGTGACGCGAGATCCGAGCTGCCGACCCATCCCTGCCTGCTGTCTTCGGCGCGAAATGCCGATTCTATCAGTTGCTGAAGTTTTACAGCATCCTGCTGGTTTGCAATACGAAAATTGAGGGGCTCGCTGGTCATTTTGCTTCGACGAAAGATGGTAATTTTGCTTCTGTTGGTGGTTGAGTGCACAACTAAATCCCCGTCCGTCAGCTGTCATGTGGTATTCCGCGCCCTATGCTTGACATGCTCTAGCCTATTTAGGTTGGGCTCTCGGGTACCCATTCTGTCTTATCTTATGTGAAGTCGAAAATAACGCATTTTCAGGACACCAAAAAATTGAGGCTCAAGATTTCTCCTTCAAGTTGCCAAAAGACTAGACTCACCGGGTGATCCGCTGCTCAGCCCGAACTTGATCATCATAAGCAAAAATTCCAAGTACTAGCTGTATGTATCATAAAAACTGCACTAATAGCAAATCCGGAAAGAACCGAATAATAAAGATGTCCGAATTCTCAAGCCACATAACAACTATAAATATAGTGGTAGCTGCTCCCGCCAATGCGATCGCAAGCAGTTTGCCACCCCATCCTGCCTTCTCTAGACGGTCTTACAAAATAGTATTTTTTGGTGATCCTCGGCAAAATATTGTTCCAACATTTCGAGTCTGAAATACTGTTATCTTTGATGGTTTCACTTCGCATTTCCTGTCCCTTGTGTGATACGCGATGTTTAGTTTTTCAGCGTGTCACAAGGCGCACGTATTGATTGTTACAAGCTTTCTGAATGGTGAGCCTCACTATGTAAGGCCGGCCGTAGCCGAGCTTCCGTTTTTGCTGTTAGGTTGCCCCCATTTGTGACGGGCTCTTGAGTGGGCGACAAATGTACGCATTTGGATGCATCTCCGCCAGGAATCGTGAGAAACCTGGCAATGCTGAAAGTAAGTATCGCGATAGTGACTGTGTTTTGTAGCTGCGGTATCTCGTGAGGTAGATTGACCAGGCGTTTCTTTGTCTTTCGTCGAGCCTGGAGGGTGACAGTTTAACGGGAGAATTGATACTGAGCGATGAAGTAACCACTAACGTGGTAGGTGCTGACGTTGTTGAGTGATTTTGGGACTATATATTGTGGTTGGAGGTGTGCGTTTCCATTGACTGTCTGTCCGAGGAAGGGTGTGTGTGAGACTGTGTTTGGTGTTCTAGGCGAGGGAGATGCAGTGGTTGAGGTGGACAGTGTGTCGGGGGATTCGAAGGCAGGTTTTAAATTTTGGTAGCTGACCTGCCATATGCACTCGAGTAAGTGTAGTCGCACCTCTTTCATAGGGGCTCGTCGGAAGGTGTGTAGGGTTAAACGACAGTCTCAAGAGGTCTTCAGTTTGATATTATCGTGCTATATATGCCGATTTACGGTCATTGATGCTTTTCTTTCTCATTTTCACACCAATCAATAATCGTCGTTCGATGAATAGTATTCCCGCGGAGCGAATCTCATCTCCGCAGCGCCGACGTCAAAGATCGACACCACGTTCTTCTGGAAAGTGTCGCCGAGAATGAAGACATCTTGCGTCAAGCTAGACCCACCGTCATCGACGCCGCTGATGCAAATTGTCTTGCCATTTGAATCCGTTCCAGCGTTGAGAATCATATCTAGGGGATTGATATAGAAGGTCTTGCCGTTGATAGTAACTCCATGTCGGGGTGCCTTGGCGTTGCAGTCCACGATGTAGACACCGTCGTCATCGCTGTAGACAGCTGGAGGATCAAACGCGGCGTTGACTTGGTTGGCAAATTCCGTGGGGTAGTAATTGAGAGTGGTGCCAGAGTCAACCTAAGGACGGTGAACTGTTAGTAAATTCTGCTGATAATCCGTGCGACAGCTCGTCACCAAGAGGGAAACTCATACAATATATTGAATGCTAGAGCCCCCAGCAGCGGTAATTTCCTTTTTGTTCAACCGGAGGCTATCAATATTGATGGTGTAAAAGTCGTAGGTAGTGGGATATCCCTGGATGTTGGTAATCAAAATAGGTGTACTGGTGAAGTGGGGCACGAAATCTATCGGAGGAAGACCTCCGAGTGTAAGATATCCAGACGGGCCAGAGACATCACGAAGGATGGCCAGACTGAAGAGCGGCAGAATTTTGCCCTCTTCATACATAGTGGTGAAGATGGGGTTGTATTCAATTTGCTGGTTCGTGGAGTTAGAGTATGCACTCGTGCTAGAAGAAAACATCAGCACTGAAGTTAGATGCGTTGGAAATGGAACTATACATACAGAGCAGGGAATGCAAGACCCGTCAGACCGGAAGTAACTCCATCGCCGTCCCACCCAGCATAGTTGACCAGAGCCATCTCCTGGGTCACCTCCACCCCTGCTAAGGTGATCTGATCGGTACCCATGATGCCATTCAGGAACTCGCCATCACCATAGGTGATGCTGAAGAACTCTCCAGAGATCTGCGTGAAGGAGGAGCTGGGGGTGTATGTGGAACCAAACGCACAGTCGGACTCGGAAACAACATCACTGGAGTTGGAGACAGAGACACACTCGAATCCGCTCCCGACGACCCAGGTATCACTAGAGCCGGTATCGACGATGACTTGAAACTTTTGACCCGCAATATCGATCTCTGTGGCAAACTCCTCACCAGTCTCCAGGGAGATGAGCTGGCTGCTTCCGCTAAATAAGTTCCAGGCAGCACTGCGCTTGTTTCCCTTCGCAGACTTGATCTTGGTCAGCTCCAGAACATTGGAGCTGACCTTGTTTGGACTGGCAGAAGTGAAAGCCACAGGCTTGTATGTAGTGGCCTTACCGCTCCGCGCGGCGGTAGCCTTGTTTATAGGTTTGGCATTGGCACCAAGCGTGAACGCTAGGAGACAAGCTCCTGTTACCAAGCCGGCTTTCATATGCATGACGGGAAAATAATTACTGATAGCGATCAAAAGAGGAAATCAATGCTGTTCTGGAAGTACAAGTCGATCATAGGAATTGCTACAATGGAAAACAGGAGATTAATATACGTACTCTCGGGATTTGGAGGTGTTGCGTCGTGCTCTGTTTGCTGCTGCATTCCTCGCCGTTCCTTCACCTATCGCACGGTCGGAATTCCGACGGGGAGATGAACGCGCTATCTCCAGGTCCCAAATGGGCTTAACCCTCTTGGGATTTCCAGCCGAAACTAACAAGATTAATCAAGAACCGAACCCCGCTTCCGGAGATTAACAAGTATTACCGAAAGCTTGATAGTTGACTAAAATTGAACTAAAGAAGCTATCGCGGTGAAGACTCGAGGACTAGTCAGGACAAATGAACTTCATCTCTTCTGTCCACCCGCTGTTGAAATGGGCCCGGCCTCAAGAGATAGAAAGAGGATAATCCCGAACAGGTAGCATTGGGCCCTAGAACTTGCCTCACAAAGTGAGATCGAAGCAAATGGAAGTTTCGTTGTCCAAAAAGGCACAGCCTGAGGGTTAGGTTAGAAGGGCCAGATTTGCCGCATCAGCGTATTGCAAATCAGGCATAGAATTGCATAAATTGACGAGCGCATTGGTGCAGGCTCTCCTATCTGCATTGGGGCTGTGCATCTGGCCCTTGATGCCCACTTCGGCTGCGGGTAATACTAGCAGCACAGAACCTCTTGAGGAGGAGAGGAGCAACAGTCTCCGATGCTATTACTATAGCACGCGCCTAGTCGTAGCGGACGGCGATAGATGCGTCTATTGGGAGGACTTCGATGATGCGTAACATATTATCTTCCTACTTTTGCCCGCGCTAGGCAATTGCATATGATGCTGAACTGCCTTTTTGCCGGCACTCCTGTCCCACGCCTCATAGGCGTCAATCAGGGCTCCGATAAGCATCGCAAGTCGTACTATAATAGCGCCGTACTTTTGGAATTCCTACTAGTTGCTAGCGCTGGCAATAGCGAGGGCCGCTAGTTGCCTAGCGTAGAAGCCTAGTGCTTCGACTTTTGCCCCGCTATTCGAATGTAGTGCGACCAGTTCTTCCCGCAAGTCTATTGTGGTAGCCCCAATATTGGGTGAGCTATATCAACCCGACTAGTAGGCCAACAATAATGCTAGGTAGGGTTGTGTTATCTTGCGATAAATTGCCGTGTCGAAGCCGAGAGTCTAGTTCAGATAGTATATGGAGGCCGTTAACATCGCGAGCCAGACCGGGAATTTTGGTCGCTAGAATATCCTAATGTTGCGGTAACTTGTTAAAGTGTGCTAGGATGCAATCCCTCTGTGAACCTTGAGAAAGAGGCCGTACTAGTTCATTTATTGAGTGCCGAGTGAACGTGCCGATATGCGGGCCGAACACAAGGCGGATGGACTCGCTGGAGCTCTTCTCTAGGCTATTTGTGTATCTCATTGTGAAATATATCGACTGTGCTAGTCTATTGGGAGGCAATCCTTTGATACGAAAGAGCGATACGAAGGGTTAGCGATAGAAATATATCTCTAAAAGTAGGGTGAATGGCTCAAGCCTATATGAGATGTTAGCGTGCTAGTCGGACGATTCTTGATGCCGAACCTAGATCCTACTTCTCTGGTAATAAGCTCGCGTCCAAGACACATTAAGAACGTATTGCAATCTATGCAACACTAAGGGATAATCTGCATTCGCCTACTAATATGATTAAATAGAGCCGAAAATTGTATTCTATAGGCCTATAAGCCCCAAAGAGCCGCGCCGACTTGGCGGCTGATTATTTCCACGTCGGACTTTCGGACTTACTGACCTGGAGCCTCACTAGTCCGAAAGTCCGCCCGAATCCGTATATAAATTTACATATTATATGAAATACGAAAGTGTACATGAATTCTCATACTCTGTTGGACTCTAGATATTTGTTGTATTTCCGTTGTATATCGCCGCTTAGTATTTAGATACAGCTTCACATGCACAGATTTATGGAAGGCCTGCAGGGAAGTCATAAGTACGTTGGATTAGTTCCCTGCTAATGTCAAGGGTCCACCGGAAAAAGCTCTAGCTCTATGTACCCAGCTATCGTTTCCAATTTTACCAAGTACTCTTTACTAACAGCGTTACTGGAGTGTGGCGACAATCTCACAACTATAACTTGATTTCTGATCTCAGCTACCCTTATATTAAGCTAAAGATTCAAATTTGCGACCGTGCTTGAATTTATATTCAATTTCCGTCAAATGGTGGAAATTATCAAGTAAGATTTATGCACTTACCTAATATGCGAACAGGTGCCTCGGCTAACTATCTAAAGAGCTACGTTAAGTCTATGTAATTAGCTAAGCAAAACTATTTAGAAGTGTGTGATGGGAAGAGTTAATCTCCCTAATCGAAGACCATTTACGCTAAGTCCAAAGACCACACAGATCATGACTCACCCGACGTCCGGACTACTAGCGTTGGAGGCTAGCGGTCATCTTGCTATGCGTGTGTGAGCGAGGCTTATTAGGCGCCATACCGTAGCCACAACAACGGAACCAACCACAACAGTAATTCCCAAAGCTTCAGCTCATCCTAGGTTTAATTAATAAGGTTCTTAATACCATCTTGCCTCTATAGACCCTTCTCTAGAGGAAAGGAACCATCACTGTGGCTAAACTAGAACTCTCAAATTGTGACTATTTCCAAGGGAGCCAACTATTCGTTTCTATATCTCTACTTTATTAGAATATTTACTACGTCCTTAGAGAGGTCAAAACCAGGACCAGAGCAGACGGCTATAGTAGCCATGTTGAATTTATTTTCCGTGATCAGCTCCAACCAGGGTCAGCTCAGAGCACCCAAAAAGTAAACTTAGGATTGGGACGCGAATGGGAAGGAGGATTGGAAGGAAGGTTTAGCCGAGGGGCTACGTCAGAGCTTCAGGGTATTCAGGACGGTCGGGTGAAGAATAGAAGGGCTTCAGGACGTTCAGCTGAAGAGGCAAGGGGCCTGAAGGGACTAAAGATTAAAGTGGCAATAGCATAATTACGACAGTCTAAATCAACAAGAAATGCAAAAATATACAACAGTCAGGATTCGCATGTGGTCACCCACCATACTACTAACTGACCGGCGTGTGGCTTAAGTACGGCTGAGCGGACGGGAAGCCCTGTTTTCCACACCCTATGGTCGTATGTACTATGATCTCCTGAAAGGTGAAGCAAGTAGTGATACAAAACAACAAATCATTAGCTAAACTATTCTGGGAAAACATTTTTATTGAAAGAACAATGCTCAACGGCATGAACTTAAGTGGCAGAAGGTGACGGGAATCTCTGTGTTGACAGTTGTAGAGATTTATGGGTGTTTGAGCGCTAATTATACGATCTGCGCCTTCAGCCGTACAGACCCTCCGATTCTTTGTCTCTTTGTAGCGATTCCCCACAGGCGTGAGCTAATTCGGAGCTGGGAATAATTTTATTGACGTGTAACCTTCCACCTCTGACTCCATCTGTGTATGTCGAGTCTCCCGATTATGTGGTTCAATTGCTTTGCCTCATACTGTTTGAGAATCTAAGTGAACGAGATCGTCATTAAAATCATCATTTTCATTCCTTCTGCTTCAAGCAATATTTCCTAAGCTATTGTAATCTCTGAACCTGGTGTTCAGCCCAGCTTTGCGCCACTGGGTGTATGATATGTTCAACTCATAATCAGGGGCCTGAGTACGTGCAGTTTGAAAGATCAAGTGACGTAAGGGTCAGAGTATATGGAGGCCCAGTAGTACCTGTTGTTGTAGTTAGCAAATATGTAACATTTCCATAACGTATCAATAAGTGGCAATTTACTTAGTGCCAAGGTGTAAGCCACGGAACAACTAATAGTTTGATCGGCAGCAAGTCTGCCTCCAAGGTCGTGGGCTTTAAGCACATCAACCACATTTTGAAGTTCAGCTCCGCTTAGTTTTAGATATTTCAGATCTCCCACGGCAGAAGCTGCATTCGCTGCAATGAGGAGAGAAAGGAGAGGCCCTGTTATAATTTGAGATTTCATGTTGACAAACCTCAATTTAGGTACCTTTAAAAATCGATAGATAAAAGATGTCCACAAAGCCTGAGATTATAGGATTTTTGCGAGGTTGCTAGTAATAGTGGAAGGAAGGGGTAGGGAGTTTCACCTTTTATACCTTGGTCTAGAGCAATTTGGTATGTATTTCTTCAATATTGGGATTGTTTTGTAGTAAGAGTTTCATAGGAGTGTCGCACTGTATAACCCAAGGCAACTAACAGGAATTATTCCTGGTCCTAGCTGTGTCACAGTTAGACCATGCTACGCCTTGGATGTAAGAGACTTCTTGAAGTTTTCCATCTTTTATCATTATATGCCAAGAGCCATGCCGGGCATCAGGCTTCCACCGGAGAGGGCATCAAATGGTTAACGTAAACTTGAACTCTTGATTTCCCAGTTACCCTGGTACACTTGGTAGATTGGTCAGATGGCCACATGCGCCTTCTGTAGTTTACTTCGCGTAGATTTGGAAACAAGATCACCACCTACCCTCATGTTGCTTTCGGATGTTGCCCTACAACGGTGCATTTTGGAATCAAATCAAGCCTTAAGGTCGCACTTCCTACCCAGTACTACGTTAGATACAACTCTGCGGTGCTTCTGTCCAGATGTGTACCTAGGTGTTAGTATAGTATTTACAGTTTCAAGTTCCTATGACTCTTGAGTGGAAACTATGTTATCAGTAATTAAGTATGGGATTTGAACCTTCAATTGCTCAAACCCTTCTGCTCGCTCTGCTTGCTAGTAATATACTTTGCAAAATTCTAGGCAATTGGCACATAAATCTTGAAACCAAGTAGACTATTCAGCTAGCAACATATTCAAACGGCTATTCACAAATGGATAGTATTTGTAGGCTGCAATACATGCTTCCCACAGAGTGACAAATCGCTTGTGAATAAGTACTTCATCACACAAGGTCTAGCATATGTCGGATATTGCTAAGGGCACAGGAAGCGAAATTCATCAGGTGCCAATATGCAACTATTACCACCTATAATGTGCGGCAAGAATGAGGATTTGTTAGAGTCCTCTGTACAGAGTGTGAAACTTACTGCAGAATGACCCTATATGAAATGACTCCAAGGTGCAAGGAAAGCTAACGGGATCCGGGATTTCACTTATATCTGCACTCTCCAGGAACCCGAGCAGCTTCTTCAAACCCGCTCCACTTAATTCGGCAGTGGCCCTCTTTTGAGGTAGATTATGAAGAGTAGGACCTGTAGAAACAGCCATGGTAGAGAGTAAAAGAGACCCAGGCCACAATACTTGCAACGCTGTTTGGAGCTTCATGGCTGTCGTCGGGCGTCTTTCTTTTTTGAGTATCGTTTTTGTTTAGTTGCTGGAATGATATTGAGGATAGTAATGCCAATTGAATATTCAGCGGACAGGTCAATGTAGGCTTATCATGGTACTTATCAAGTGAGCGATGCTTATCACTGGACTCGGGCAATTGGGTTTGCTTTTAGTTTGTCTATATTCGGGGGGATCACATAGTCATACGATCAATTCTGGGTGGTACATTCCTCATGTCGTGCTTCATCGGATGCGGACGGATAGCGTGAAGGTTTCTTAATATCGTATTAATGCCACACGGTCCTACTTCAAATGCAGATATCCGTGATCTATGTAATATTGCACCATATAAAGCATTCTGGTATTATTTTGTAGTGGATAATGCTTATCAGAAAGCACCAGGTCACATGCCAATGCAGGCAACAAATGCATAGTCAAAGAAGTCAGAGATCTCAGTCTCTAAAACAACTCCACCCAAGAATTCCTCCACATAACTACTAGCCTGGCGAAAAATCCAGTAATCCAATGCCCTACTTGCCAGGCATCTCAATGGAAATACGGATCCATGTCCGGGTCTTTTTGTGGATTCGGGCATGGGAAGCTGGGAATCAATCAAACTCAGTGCTTGAAATTCCTTTGCTTTTCGGAAGGTCGCCATTATGTTCATAGCCCACTCCAAATCTACGAGTCAATGTCTGTTATGATTATTCTCCGATCCATCGGCGGGTTCCATTCCATTCCGTTCGGCAATGGGACCACCCATTTTCCCCCTCCTTTCCTTCTTTTCTCCGTCCCTACCATCGGTTTACTGTTAATTATTATCATGCACTTTGTTTTGAGTTGCCATGGTGGCCAAAATAGATTCTAACAGAGTTGAGAAGGATTCCCTAAGAGTTGCATGGATGGAACAGTGAGTGTTGCACGATCAAATTATAGCTTTCAGGACTATTTGAACTCAGCTCTGATACTACTTAAGAGACTATGCCTGATCCCATGGTTCAGGTGAGGAAATCACGGCTAGTCGGGTTTAAGGGCCCGAAAAGGATTTCCTAACAGTGGGACACTAAATCCTGACAGCGCTTCGGCCGTGGGAGTGGTTAGTCGTTATGCTCCGAGAAGCTATCTGCCTAGCGAGGCGTGATGGATATTGAATTGCCGTCGTTCCATAGGTGCTGTATGTAACCTTACGACAAAACCATCCCAGTTATGAATTCTCCAACGCCACTTATTTACAGACAGATACACGGAAAGAGACTTCTACAGAGCCCTAGACGACTTGTACGACTGGAATAACTCAATTCAACAATCAGACCACACGATCTGTCTTAACCCCCAGGCTGGGTACTAAAACATCACTGATCCCATCCCGGGAGTGATGATTGCCCCGGGTCGAAGTACTGGGTCCACGACTGCTCCGATAGCTCCCCCGAATGCCACGGTCGCCAATGGCACCAGGCCCTACTGTGCCGTTGGTATGAGGTCAGTAATGCAGATGATAAGTGTGTTTGTATCTGCAGCTCCAACAGCATTACGCTTAGACTGTTCCGCGATGTGGACCCGAGCATTGCCGGAACTGGCTCCGCAGATTGTACGGGTTGTTGCAGGTTGAGCTCACCTATGGCGTGGGGCCTCTCTGCACGTGGGACTGGATCACGGCTTATGACGAGGTGGAAACCCCGGTCCAGCAGATATGCATATCTCCGGATCTGTGCGGATGAGTATAGAACATGCGTGGTGGTGTGGTTCAGCGGGAGAATCTGCACAGGACCCATACAATAGCCGAATACACTGTAATGCCCTCATTCTCCATAGTACATTTATTTACACCGATAATAACTCCGCCTCGATCAGCTGATCCAAATCCTCTTGGGTAGCTGTTCCATCGAAGGGAAGACCAAGCCATACTACCTAATCATTTTCATGATCAGTCCATTCATCATCTGTCTTTCTCTCCCACAGGTCCGAATCGTCGGTGGCTGGCTGCTTGACGGGGGTCGCGTTTTCGATGAATTCATCAATCCCTTCGATATATGACAATCGGGGCAATTTGTTATCCTTCTCAGCGAGTAATTTCTCCAATTGCCTATCAAACACATGGTCCGGAAGACCCTCAACCCGCGGTTTCATCCCCTTTCCGTAACCATAGATACAAAGCGCTTCCGAGTCCGGTGGGAGACAATCCAATATAGCAAAGATGCATCGCCGACCTGATCGGCACCAGTTCCTCGCGACAGTTAGTAGAGGGCATGGATTCCGAGACGCAGATTCTTCACGTTCGTAAGCCCACGAAGAGAGCCAGGCGATGATTGACGACCCTGCTCCAGCTGGAGCCACAGGACGAATAGCCATGAATCGCTGCCCTGGGCCTCCATAATATAACATATTTAAAATTACTCGACATCCAAATCCAGCACGGAGAGTTAACCAGAAGTAGAACTAGAAATGAAATCATGTGATTTGGGGTTCAACGGCCGTGTGCTAAGAATGACAGTAGGTGCAATCCTAAATAGGCTTAGCTCCCTGATCCCAGACAGCACCCGTGCTGTATACTGCTAGCTTCTTGTCCACCTGAGAAGAACCATACTCCTGACTCTGAGTCTGCCTTGCTATTGTCTGAACGTGAGTTAATTACAAACAGGTCTATTCAAGTAGTTAACATCCCCCCAACAGTAATACAGTATCTTCAGCCTTGTCATCAGAGGTCCTGTCAATCGTTTATTGCTTTACTGCATCACGACGTCTCGTTGTATCACCTTGGTACGTGATGTGAGGTCCTGCACACAGAGCCTTGCCAAATGCGGAAAAATGAGGCACTAGAGGCATTGCTGATGTATTGCAGAATTTACGTACCGACGCAATGCCCAAAACGCTCCCACCCCCATCTCTGATGGTGCGCAAGTTCCTGAACCATAGCGCCTCGGGACACGAGTCGACTGAAAGCCTGAGAGCGTCTCCCAACTCTTCTGAAGAGGGCTCAGCACCCGCGGATTTCTTCGAAAGACAATACTGTTTTGTCTACGGGACATTAATGGATCCAGAAACACTTTCTCAAGTTTTGAGAACATCACACTCCCTTCCTATCATGAGCCGTGCCAGAGTGATAGGCTATGAAATTAAGCCATGGGGCCCGTACCCTGCCCTTGTTGATGGTGAATCACGCCAACCGGTCGATGGTATGGCATTCGAAATCTTGTCAAAGACACAACTTGATCGACTTGTGTCCTATGAGACGGAAATTTATCAGCTCCAGCCTTGCCTAATCGACATTCTCGAACATGATAGTAGTGTTGAAAGGACTGTTGATGGAGTCACATTCATGTGGAATGGCCAGCGGGCTGAACTCCAGGAAGGAAAATTTGACCTGAAGGATTGGAAAAAAGAGAAAAGACTTCGAGAGCTGGATTCACTCTGGGAATAATGCGGAGTGAAAGGCTTTGTTATGCCCAGGCTGTATGAAGAGTTTAATGCAACGACTTAAATTTTGATGAGACATGTTCTAAATCATGTAATTTATAGCTTCTTCATGATTAAACTTCTAGCATTTGCTTCACACTCCTTTGCTCTCAAGATTTCTCTTTCCTGTGCTGAGTGTTTCTGTAGGGCTTAGTTTGAGGATTTGACGATGGCAACAAACATGGCTGAATCGAGATGATAAGAAAAGGTGCTCCTTATCATGGGACATATCAAGCACCATTGCACCAGGTAGATTTCTCTTCCTTTTCCACCCAGACTTGATACCTTCGTTGAATGCACCAGGTTATTTCGACTTCCTTTTGGCTGTAAGATTCTGGAGATTGCACGAAGGAACTTGGACCCGCCTGTAGAAACCGACGGTGAAGAAGCCAAGCAGGATAACGACGGTTCGACGAGTAAATCAATAGTCTTATTTCCCCTGATATTTCATACAAAATCTTGCAAGTGCTGGAACTGGATTCACCGGAACATACGCATCGCAAAGAATTATATTTTACGCGAGCACTAAGCAAAGAGTTGAGTGAGGTAGTCAACTTATCTACCACAAAACGAAAAGGGCAGAAGCTCAGCATCTCAAAAGCCTGCCACCAATTTCAAATTTGTGATCACATCGATACAATTCTCCCAAGCATGATACCATAAACAAAGCCTCCGTCAACTCGTGATCTCACTTTACATTCTTTGTCATTGGTGCTATCCGTGCCCAACTACCTACCTACTGTATAAATTCTGGTTTTTTTGGACAGACGAGCTGATGGCCTTCTTGGGCAAATATCCTGCAATAAAGAAAAGAACTCTAGTTGACAGTTTGCCTAGCCTACTCATGGCGGAATACGTTGGTTGTGCAATGATTATTGTGAAGGCAAAATGTGGTATCGGGAGAGACAAGATGTGAGAAATGGATAAAGTTTCTAGCGGCGCTTGTTCCGGCCTTGACACGTTCCACGGAAGCGGATAGAGGCGATAGTGCTATAGCGCTTATTTCAAAATTATGAAACGTGGCCGCCAAAAGTCCAGATTCGAAATTGGAACATCGGGGCGGCCATTGAGACTCGTCCCACGCCACTCTGCTACCTCCATCTGCTGCAAGGTGGCGGGGCGGCCCGCGACGTGACGGCTAATGCCACTGCTTTCGGTTATCGAGATTGGGACTTTGCCTGTGTGGTAACTGGGGTCTGGTCCCGCGACCAAGATAGAACCGAACTCGCTCGAGCTGCCGTGGGGTGGGTATACAACGTCGTCGGAGACTTGTTGCCATTGTGTAGTGGAGTTTACAGTGCAGACCTCGGGCCAGACCCCAGAGACGCCGCGCTGGCAGCCAAGGCTTTTGGGCCGAAACGGCCGCGCCTGGCTCGTCTCGAACATATCTCGGATCCGCGCAATGTGCTGGCTTACGCTTGCCCACTCCCGAAAGCGATGAAACAGAAGCTCATCATTCTGGTCACAGGTGAAAGCTGCGCCGGTAAGGACTATTGCGCCGACATTTGGGTCTCCGTCTTCATCTCGTGTCACAAAAGCCTCATGGCGCGCGCAGTGAGCATTAGCGATGTGGCTAAGAGAGAATATGCGGCGGCTACTGGTGCCGACCTGACCCGCCTGCTTCAGGACCGTACTTACAAAGAGCAACACCGGCCCCGCGTTGACGACCTTTTTCCGGAGCCAGTTGCGGCATCGGCCTCGGCTGCCAGAGGAGCATTTTCTGAATGTAGTGAACGGCGCCGTAGATGTGGATGTGCTGCTAATCACAGGGATGAGAGATGAGGCGCCGGTCGCGGCCATGTCGCATTTGGTGCCAGACAGCAGACTGCTTGAGGTTCGCGTGCAAGCCAGCGAAGAGACGCGGCGGGCTCGTAAAGGCTGCCCCTACGATGATGGTGACGACAATGAGGAAAACGAGGACGACAAAGAATGGCTCAAATTGGAGGGCCTTAGACTACCGCCCAAGTCTGATCTTCGACAATGAAGCGGGAAACGATGCAGTCAAAAGGTTTGCCGATATCTAATCTCCCGACCCCAGCGGGCGCCATCTGTCTGGACTACCGTGAATACATCCTCCCACTTTTGCCCATCATCCAGAAGGACCTCATCCTCTCCGTCCATCCGTACCCCAATCTGCTGGAGATACGATCGTACCTCTTGCAGGATCTCCCGAGCATTTTGATATTCCCCCTTCCAGGCCTTAACCAGAATCGCACCCAATCGCTCCTCTTCTAAAAGCTGTAGCTTGCCCTCCTTCAGCCGTTGCTTATGGTACTCCCATTCATCCACCTCCCCGGGCATCTCCGTCGGATCCAATGGATCGGTAGGCATCGCCCACCTCTTCGCTCCATCACTAGACGCATCCTCTCGCATCAATTGCCAGACAAAGGTCGCCCAATCCGAGAGATCGATACTCGGACTGAGCTCTGGGTGCCCACTTTCGGGATTGGTTGGGTAGTAGATCTCTGTTTCGTATCTCGTCCCGTCGGGAGAGTAGGGCCATTCATCTGTCGGGATGGTTGCGTTCACGAATCCTGATAGTGCAATCGAGAGATCATCGCGTATCCATATTGTGCTCAAGCTGAAATCCATCAGGTAGACCCCGTGTTCATGCAGGAAGGCTAGCATAGCAAGCGATTGCAGTGCCCAGCGGTAGTAGAGAAGGAGGAGGGGCTCTCTGTCTCCATTATCGGGGAAGTCCTTATCATCGGAAGACGTACGCGACATAGGAAAAGTGGTCAGAAGTGGCAGAGTCGTGACGCCCAGTGGGCCGGGGTCTAGCTTCTCCAGCAGATATCCTACAGGGAGACGGCCAAGATATCTACTCCCACCACGCAGAATTGCGGTGTTCTAGCGGCGAATGTAAGAGACGAGCAGGCAGGGAGCTTTTACTCACTTGACGATGCGGGGGTGAAGATCAATCGGTTGGTTTACATCCACATTCGGGGTATTAGTGCTATGTGCCAGATATTCATATACCCGGGGGATTCGCTCAGCAATGATAAACCACTCCTCGGGGTCGACACGGGGATTTTCTTTCTCGCATTGTTGAAAGGCCACGATGCAGTCTTGGTTGGCATGCTGCACGAAGTACATCTTTTCATATAGCTCTTCGTAAAAGTCTTCTGGGCGGTCGCTACAGACCGAAGGGACCACATCGCCGTAACAGCGAGGGTATTTGGACTGGCTGGGTGGATCGGGGGGCTGTTCAAGATCGGCAGCTGAGGATGAGGGCTCCTTAGGGCGGCCTGATGACCAGCTGGCACCCATCTCGGTGACTTGATCTATAAGAAAAAGAAACGTAAAAAAAAAGGAGAGAAAGAGAGGCGGTGGGTGGTATCCGCCGTTATATATGTTGAGCAGGCACAACGTTATTAGCATTCTTCTGGGCTTGGCAGCCACTCTGTCAAACATTTCCCCAATCCTCCTCCTTATCCTTTACGACTTCAACCCCTTGATGAGGTTTCAACAGTGAGAATTAGGCTGTCCTCGGATAATTACACTTTGTAAGTTTCTCCCCGTGCGGTGAATGTATAAGTTATGTACAGTGGGGAGACTCCCGGAAGCATGTGTCTTTCTGCTGGATCTAGATGTCGAATGTGCTGGTCGGCCTGAGCATTAGGGTGAGCGAATAGGCTGCTCAGGGAGTAACTCAGGGTTGCTCAGTGAGCAGCTCAGGGCGGCGGGGTGACTAACTCACCCTGTGCTCCAGAGACGATTAATTCCCGAGGCCGCAGTTTTACCGTCACCATGATTACTTATAAAAAGACTAAAGCTAAGGCTAAGGTATATATAAATTCCGGTAATCCCTTCAACCCTATATTCTAGCACTTTCTAATCATCATAGATCCTCTTAAGTAGATTTATAGCACATACGACCATAGGGTGTGGAGAACAGGGCTTCCCGTCCGCTCAGCCGTACTTAAGCCACACGCCGGTCAGTTAGTAGTATGGTGGGTGACCACATGCGAATCCTGACTGTTGTATGTTTTTAATTTTGTTTTTAGTTTGCTAGCAAGTGCATGACTGCAGTGTGGTAAATTATCTAAAAGAGAGGCTCGTTATAAATACTATAAGATTATTTATCGGCAATCCCTTCTTGCCTGTCCTAGTAGTCCTCAGCGTTTTCGGTGGAGGCTTCTACCTTGAATGGCGGCTTTTCATTTGCACTTTGGAACGCTGTATGATGGATGATGAGATGCGTAATTATTTCGCTTTTGTGACTACAATTGTGATCGTCTCTCGACTTTTTACTCCTGCTTCCGCGTGGGTTGTGAGGGTGACTCTCTAGCCATGCAGAACGTGCGGGATAGGAGACGTCAGCTTCATGACAGTCCGGGAGTTCATTCGCCTGGCTGCACATGATGCGAAACTGCCCAGAGAGATCTGGGCCAGCTGAGTACTTTGGCTTCCCAGGGTGAATAGCAGGAATGCATGGTCGCAGACTTTCCCCCGGTCCACTATTATCATCTGGCGTCTTGGGGATATTTATTCAATATGGGAAGTGGTAGTGCGTCATGTACTGGGGCTAGTTCTCGCGGCCATTAGAAAAACATGGCAGACTTGGGTGAGTTGGGTGAGTTGAATGAAGACAGGCAATATTTAATTCGATAGGGTATCTTGGATTATAATGACAACGCAATGCAACTATCCACTAGGTTCGTCACCCAGATTGATATGTAATGCTCAGTATCTACAAACATCGCGTTAGCAACCATACTCGAGAATCATTTAGATGGGGAAACTCACGAGAACTTTTCACTGTGCAGCCACAACTCCCTCGCGATACCGGGCTTCGTGGAGATGATGCTGTTCTGCACGGCCGAAGCAGCTTCACGGACATCGTACAGCATGGAGGATGGGCCGCATACGACTACACCGACCGAAACACCTTCCCGATCTGCCATGTGGTGCACGGCGGCCGGGAGATCTGGCCTCCCGGCGATGACCTGGAGATTGAATATCTCTGTGGCGGAGGTGCTGGAAGGGCTGGACTCTTTGGAGTCGATGCTCTGCGTGTTGCCTTGCACTTTGATATTCTCGGCACTGAGTTCTTGCTCTCCGCCTTCGGTAAAAGTCTCATGGATGTGAATGGCTAGTCCTGCCACTGGCTTTTCCAGTGCCTGTCGCGTCGCAATATCCTCCAACGCTTGCGTGTACCACGCCCGCATATCTGGATCACGCGTCGCAACAATCACCTTCATCTCCTTGTTCTCCTGGACGGATGAGTACCGGACGAAATCCTCGATCAGAGAGAGCGTGATGCCAGCACCAACTCCTCCGCCTATGGCGAGGTTCCTGTCAAAATCACCGACCCGCCCGGCTGGAATGCCCCCGTAAGGGCCGTCTATCAGAACAGGGATTTGGATGTCAGGGTTCTTCCGGGCCAGCGCCATGAGACGGCCGGTCAGTCCACCACGCGATTTTACATAGAACACCAGTTGGTTCTTGCAATCTCGTCGGGGCACAGAGCAGATTGTGAACGGATGCGCTGTGAGCGCGTGCACGCCGCAGGTGAGAAAGCGGAGAAAGACGTGCTGACCCGGCCCCCATTCCATCCGGGTGTCGATTGTGATACGCAGCGTGTGCTCGGACTCGGGCACGAGGCGGGCTTTGTGGCGGATGCCGTGCTCAAAGTATGTTTTGCACTGGGCGTAGAGCCAGCACAGCGAGTACAGTACTCCTGTGGCGATGAAGTAATCCCAGGAGGACATGCGGAAGTCACAGTGGAAGAAGAAGAAGATGACGAAGACCAAGGCCATGAACAAGTGTGTTGCTTTGAAGAATTCGTAGTACCGGTTCCTGAGGGCACGAGTTCAGTGAGTAGGACATAGATGGGGCCCAAGGGTAGAGTGCCTACCGAATCCACGGAACGGACATGAACGTGAGCCATGCTTGGGCAATGATAGCAACGACCCCGGTGACCCAGACGCCTCCGGTGCTCCACTGTTCGACGATATCGCCCTTCCACACGTGGTAGACAATGAAAGGGAAGGTGTGGACGAGTGCAAGCACGAACATGGCCCAGGCCACCCAGTTATGCCACACATTGAGCTTCTCGTGGGAGATGCCCGTCAGTGCGGTGATTGGGTTGGCCTTTGCGCTGAGAAGACTGTGATCATGTCAATGGCTGGAAGATAGGGAGGAGATAAGGTAGATGGTATATCTCGTACATCAAAAAGGGCATGCACGCCAATGCCATAAATCCCGCTCGGGTTGCAAGGGGAGGGGAGTTGCCGTAGTTGATCTCTTTCGTGTTGGGCCAGTAGTACGGACGCGGTCCAAGGGTCATGGCTACCCGCAGGTGGTTAGCTTCGATCATCGCTAGATTCCCACTCGTATGGGCTATCCCCATCCCCATCCCACATACCAAGAAAGAAGACCACCCCTGCCGCACCCAGCAAGAACACCCCCAACGACTGGGTATTCCACCCGCCGAGCCGCCACCCCTTGTACGACAGGAACCGGAATGCAGCAAGCACCCGCGACAGCGGGGAGGCCTGCTTCATCCGCGGTGCGAATATCCCAGCCAGGATATGTCCCAGTGTGAAAAGTATAATCGCCACCAGAAAGAAGGCCACGGTGGGCAGAGCATAGCGGTGATCCGCCTGGTACCAGAATACCCAGTAGGAATTCTTGTACGCGCATTGCTCGGCCGTCATCGCACACGCGCCGGGGTTGCGATTAGAGTGCAGCATGACTGGCTGGTCCAGCCAGGGCAGCATACTCATGCCCATGTCCATGGCTGCAGAACGGTGTACGTTGGTGACTATTGCCTAGCCTGAGCATGCAGATGGGTCGATATAGGGCTTGGACGAGCGTTCTGGGAGCCGAAAGACGTTGAAAAGAGGATATGACAATATGCTCGAGATCCATGAGATGGGCGGCATTATTAATATCGCACTGGTCCAGCGCAACGACTTCCTCGTGGTGGACGTCTCCACTTTTCGTTTGCGGGACCGATCCGCCGGGGAATGCTGGCTCGTACATTTCCGCCGTATACGAACCAACCGGGGATTATGCGCTCAAAAGAGCTCTAGCCGGAAGATAGCAACGGCTGGGGATAGGGTCATTGCTCGCACGGTTGTTCTTGTTGACTCACGGACATGCCTCGAACCGGGAGGTATCGTGCTCGAATGCCTGCAAATATTCTCATGTCCATTCTGTGTTGGGGCAATCCCCACTCACGCTCATGTTGACGGGCCAATCGTGCTATCAGCATCAATCAGCATCAATCAACATCAATCAACATCATTTCGGGCTGGAGACTTCACCGCTGCAGTGAGCACATTTGCGGGCATTTCGCACGAACTAAAGTGGACTCTCCTGCAACTGCGGCCCCGCCCGATTCGCAGCGGGCCAATCGTGGGCAATTCGAAGGGCGATCATCACACAGTTCCTGGTCGGAGTGCGCGGAACAGGCACACGATTTGGCTCGGCTCGCGTGGTGCTCGTCTGGCGGCACCACACCAGACCCCGTCCGGATGACGCTGTGCGGGGGCTTCCTTCTGGACTGTTCCTCTCTTGTGGCAAGAAAGAGTCGATAAAATTGGTCGCATCTCTTCTTCTATCTGGATCGATCTGTTCTGGACTTTTTTTGCTGCCGGCCCGGTTCTGTCGAGGTATCTCGCGACGTGAAGTTTTTGATACCCAGCGTCTCTCTATTATCTCACCACAATGATGGACATGTCCGATATGACGGCCACGACGTCCACCACGGCCGCTTCCACCATGGCCATGGCCATGTCCACATCTACCTCGACCAGCTCGTCGATGGACATGTCCTCCTCCTCCATGACCATGTCCATGGCCGACATGGCCATGACCTTCTTCACCTCGTTCAAAACGCCCCTCTACTCGAACGAGTGGACGCCATCTTCCCAGGGCCAATATGCCGGCACCTGCATTTTCCTGATCGTGCTGGCCGTCCTGCTGCGCATTCTGCTCGCACTGCGGCCCATCCTCGAGGGCCGGGTGTGGACGGACAGCGTGCAGCATAGTATGCTGGGCGAGCATTTGCCGGATGCCAGCCACAAAACCAAGCCTGTGCCCGGACTGCAATTGAGCATCCAAGAGCTTGGGAGTCGGTGGTCGCGGTGGCGCGTCAATCCTGCTGCCGGTCGGGCGACGTACGAATTGGTTGTGTCGGGGATTGCATATTTGCTGTAAGTGTTGCTGATGCCTTATTCCAGTTGACATTTCATGGCCCCGGATCGATACTGACCGTGTGCCCAGCATGCTCGCGGTGATGACCATGAATGTGGGCTATTTCATGTCGGTGCTTGGAGGCATCTGGCTTGGGACCTTTATTATGGGCGGAGTGGCCTCGCAGAGCTCCATGCTGCACTGTTGATATATCCCACTGGTAATGATTTGTGATGTTGGACATGGCGTCATCCTATACCGAGGGATGATAATGCATACTGCATAATGCAGGTTGAAATAAACACCTCCCCCCCCAGGAAGATGCAAACCATATCTTCGGTAGTAGCGCCCCTTTCCGCTTACTCTCGTCCTCTATTGGTGGAGACAGTATTAGCCTCGCCGCTAAATAGTCGACTCTTGACACTCCAAACACTGTAAACAGCCCAAACACTCCGCCTATCGCCGGCCGTAGCTAGAATATAGATAGAACTATTTTTTTCAAGTTTTGTCTTACTCTCTCTTGAGCGCGACGGTTCTATCGGGACAATTAACTCCTAACCATAAGAATTACAGAGTCTTTCCTCTCTTTTCCTTGATCCCATCCGCCATATCGATCGCATTCCAGACACACTCTGCCAAATCATGCAATAGCATCTCGGCTATCAACACGAAATTGGGCTCACATTAGAGACTGGCTTCCAAGAGACAACATCAAAACTCGAAAGGGACATCGCTTGTGTCAACAATGGCCGCTTCACTATTTGGATGGAAGCTCCTTGCTCATTCTTGTGGGTCAATGGCTTCGCAGGTTGTGGCAAGTCTGTTCTTTGTTCAACCGCCATTGAGCATAGAACCCATCAAAACCAATTCAAAGACCGCGTTGGAATCGTGCACTTCTATTTTGACTTTAATGACGCAGCAAAGCAAAATGAGTCCGGCATGCTCCGTGCACTTTTGCTACAGGTGGCTTGTCAGCTTGAAGATAACGCAAAGGATATCCGAAATATGCACCACCTATACACAGGATTTTGTCCCTTTCCTTTCTGGGCTACCACTCCTTTAATGAGGGCGATCAGGCTTAGGCTCACTAAGTAAATTATCCTAAGAAATTAAAAGAGGGAAACTTGAAAAAGGGAAATATATAGAAAAGGTTGTTGCGACCTCTATCAAGTTAATTCACTCATGGTCATGCTTATCCTCAGCTGCACAAATTTCTTTGTCTTTGGGTGCTCTAACCCAACCAGCGCACCCATCTTCTCGACAACTTCCTTGATCATATCTGCCGCTTGTTCTTTCCGACCCTCCTGAAAGTATATCTGCGCAAGGAGTCCCTCAGCCTGAATGGTCATCGGGTGGTTCTCACCCAGAGTGGAGCCGAGCAGCTGGATCGTCAGTTCCAAGGCCGGAAGGGCAGAGTGTCCATGGCCTTTGTGAAACTGAAGCATCGCAACAGAAGTTTCCATTCTCAACCTGTCAGGGTTGTCTGGTTTGAGGGACGTCTCTGCATCGGCGATGGCAGGTCGAAGTATCTCCTCGGCCTCTTCAGTTCTGCCCTGACATAACAACGCATCGGCGAGTGCTGTCCTGGAACGAATGAGCGACACAACCCCTCCAGGATTACGTCTTTGCCTGGTTTCGAGGACTGATTCCAATGTTGAGACGGCGGTTTCAAGGACCCCTTTTTCCGTGTATAAGATCCCCAAATCCAACTTCACATCCAGGACCTGACCCGCCGCTTCGCCGTAAAGTTTCTGTTGGGACTTGAGGGCCCGGTTCAGGCATTCGAACGCTTCGTCAAACATGCCTTCTGCGCAATTTAGGGCGCCGATATTGTAGAGCGTGCGGAGCTGTGCTGTCTCATTCTCACTGCTGAAGCCGAGTTTTTCTTGGCCCTGCCACGCCAGGTCGAGAAGTTCCCGCGACTCCTTATATTTTCCCAACCAGCAACTCAGCCGACCTAGAGCATTGAGAACTCTCAGAGTTGTGACATGGTTGTGGCCCAGGATTTTTTGTCGAGCTTGAAGAACTTCTTTGAATGTCGTCTCGGCCGCTTTCCAGTAACCCAAGTCTTGCAGTATGATGGCGCGGCGATACTTGACCATCAGGGAGTTTAAGATCTCTCCATCAACATCATCTGCAGCATCCTCTAGTGCACGGTCAAGTAGCTCCAGGGCGTCACTGTAAAAACCTTGGTTTTGATACACCAAGCCCAAAACCGAAGCAGCCAGACGGCCGTGTTTACCAATGCGGCCAGCATCAGACGTGTCGTTATCAAGGGCTCTTTTTAGAACATGCTCCGCTTCTAGGATCCTGGCAGACTGAAAGTATCCATCCCCAAGCCCAACTTGAGCGGCGAGAGTGTCTGGATGGCTCGGTCCGAACAGCTGTGTCAGCGATATTTCAGCCTCTTTGAACAGATTCCGGGCCTCTTCATATCGCGAATAGTAGTTCAAGATTTCGGCAAGCCTTCGTTGAGCGTTGGCATATAATTCAGGGCAAATTGTTGAGGGCTTGAGTTGGACCAGCATATCAAGATACCTTTCGGCTTCCTTTAGCCGCCCTATATCTTGCAGCAGGGTAACAGTGTAAAAAAAGGCTTTGACAGCAACTGCATCTGCAAAAATGGACTCGAATATGTCTTGACTTTTCTCTTCTTCCGCCAAATTGATGCAGGAATCTGCATGGGGTAGAATTTGTTGTCGAAACTCCCAGATTTCTTTTGTCATTGCTTGCCTTGATACGTGTTCAAGTGCCTGTCCAACCACAATCAGAGCATGAATCAATTTCCGAGCACGTCTCTCGGGGCTTAAACGCTCGCGGCCCCAGGTGTGAACAAGCGGATGAAGATAGATGCTGCCGCTTAGGGGACCTCGCTTGGCTAAAGAAACTGAAATGATATTTCCGACAGCATGTTTCAATTTGAGACTGTCTTGACACAGTTGTGATAGCCAAGCAAAGTCGGGTGCAGAGCTTGGAGCGATTGGCCTACCTTTGCCAGGAAAACCTAGGAAAAGACCCTCCCATATAGAACTATGGTGCAGGAATGACATGAGCAAAAGTAGCTCTGCAGCTGCATCATTATGGCTTTGAATACGAGCAAAGGATGCTTCCCATGTAGCGAAAACCGCTTTCTTTGGCGCCAGATTGACGAGGGATGTGGCAGGATTCAGGAGTTGGCTGCGAGCCTTTTCATAGAGTGGGAGATAGTCGTCAAGAGAGATCTGAACGTCGCTGATATATGCACCAGCTTGCTCAATAGCAAGTGGCAGATACCCAAGAGCCTTCGCGATGATTCGGGCATGAGAAGTGTCTATTCACCGTAAGATTGTCTTTCAGCGATGTGAAGAGGCAAGGATTACCTGAAGGGGCTTTTAGGCGCAAAAGAGCAGTATCCATCAATATCGAGACTGCTGCTTCTTCTTCTATCTCATCAACCTCTATCGGTTTTCCAAAGTTAACAGCACCGGTAAGCCGGCTGGTTATGATGACTTTCCCTGTGAATGCCCGGGGAAGGAAATCCGAGATAGGGTACCCCAGGAGCTCGTCCATGTTGTCAATGATTAACAACCACTTACCACTGTACTCAGATTCCAGGAAACTGACTGTTTTCTTGCATATGTCTGGCAGAGCTGATTCGTCCAAGGAGAGAAGGTCCGATGAATTGAGGTACTCTCGGAGAGGAAGATTGGCAAAGAGGAGTTCCCGAGCGTCGTTACCTGTTTAGACGCATCGATATATCGTTGGGCGATGTCTCGGAACCCTAATTGCGAGCTTCCTTTACTGGAACCGTCAAGCCACAGTACCGCAGAAAGGTGTTGCTTCTGTTGTAAGGCATATGCAATAGCAAGTTGCGTCTTACCCATGCCTCCAAGGCCATACAGCACTACCACTCGACATTGCTGCAGCTCGTCGATTCCGCCCTCCACCTGGGATTCTTCTGGGCAGAGGTATTCGTGCATTTCTCGCAAATGAGAAGAGCGGCCAGCAAATACTGGACTCCTTTCAACAGGAAGGGCGAAAGGCAAATTGCATATCTTTGAACTTTCCACTGTACGCCGAATGTCTATATTTGTTATCTTGTTATCTAGTGATCGTCACCTTAAAAGGCTAAGAACCTGCATACCCTTTGTAACTGTCTCAGCTTCAGAGTGGTAAAGCTCACTCCAGTTGATCTTCACTCTCTGTATGCAACGACTTATCATATCCTTCAGGTGAGACATGACTGTTATGTAATCCTCGTCTTTCGCGTTTTTGAATCGAACAAGCTCCGTGTGGTTCTTTGAAAAGCAAAAGCTCGTGCTCCTGGGATATCCAGCAACAGTTGCTGATTCCCGCGGCACAATCTACTGAGAATTAGATGAAAAACAGAAGCAGCACGGCAGAGGGTTAACTCACCAGGACACCTTGTCCGAGGAGAACAGGTGTTTTATAGCTTTCGTAACAAAACACGATTTCGAAATCGGCACTTATCGGGGTGAATTGGTCAAGTTGCATTCCCAGCCATTCCGAGTTTGCCCGCAGGTGCTTAATGACATATGTGTTGGTTTGAGCAAAAAGCGAGCCTAACTTCAGAAGCAGAGTACCCCAAGTGGCGGCACCACTTCCGGCATGAGGAGTGCCGAAGAATATGATTCCTTATGTCGACAGTTTTATGCTTTTATAACCCGGCTTGCTGAGGTTCGAATGAATTAGAGCCTGCGTATTCTGTGAGTAGATGCGTTTAAAAACCCCCAAATCACATACACTCTTTACCAGGATACCCCCGAGACTATGAGCCAGGAAGATGATCGGCCGCTTCTCTGTCTAATCAAAGTCACAAATATGAATATTTTATGCCCAAATGGGGATTGACTTGCCTTGGTATTCCTCCTGAAGATGCACAGCTTTCCCAGGAATGTGATGGCGTGCTCATAGAGGAATTGCGCCGTCAGATCATTTGTCCCATGTGTACGTGCATCGTATCCATATGTGAGTATTCGAGCATTTGGAATGTCGGATGGGAGTAGATCGCGAAGCCAGTTTATTTGATTCGACGCCGTCCAAGTTTGCTCTCGATGTCCGTTAAGTCCATGGACCGCAATCAAGCTACGAGAGCAGAAGATCAGCAGGTGGTACATGTGGTAATGTGGTTGGTCAGTACAAACTCAATCGCTGGATCTTCACCAGCTGCCACGATTCTCAGGCCAAGGTCATCACGAAATGTCGAAGTCGAGCTTTGAGTTGATAGACTATTCGGGGCTGAGGAACTGCCACAAGTTGTATCGCTTTCATCCTGTTATATGTGAGTAGGGGTCTCGTCATGCTGGAAAATAACACGGAGGGCGGACAGGGCATTCCCCCTTGCTCAGGCCAGAAGCGTGAGTCAGGCCATTCGGCGGGGTTGTACGACGATGGATACAACAGTTCATGCTGACTAGCCCACAATCCACATCGAAGCAACCCTGGGCGCATAGCAGTAATTTAAATCGAAGAATTCACTCTCAACCTCCCTGAAGACTGCGAGCAGCTCCCCAGGCATGGTAGTTAAGAACATGTGATTAGCACCTGATCTAAACCGGGTTGTCAGTCGGCTCATGCCATTCTAAATCCAAACGATTACAAGAGTTTTCAATAATCTATAGGCATTTCATCCTATCACAACAACCCACGTAGCACAAATCAGGTGTTTGGTATTGTAGCCAATCATCAAGCTATTGGGGCTCTTAAATGCGGACATGTGACTGGCTCGCAGCGTGCATGTCAAACGTTGCAATCTCCGGTAGGCGCAGCCTCGCCTTAAATTTATCTTTTGCCAATCAACTGCTATTTTCTCTGTCCATCGTAGAGGAGCACATGTCCTGCTGCATACTAATCCTTGTCTTCCAGCTCCCTTGTGACCCTCTCCATTTCCAGAACATATTGTTTGGGCTGATGGGCATTGGCTGCCTCGGATCAGCTGGCCGACCTGAATACGAGGCACATGATGAGTTTATCTCAGATTTTGACAGCTAAGAAAACTTCGTTGTAAGGCCTGGAATTACGCTGACATGTTTCATCAACGCACCACCTGCCCTTGAGCTCCGGATTTCGCGAACCACAACCACCACCTGCGGCGGGCCGCTACGGTTTTCGTTTAGAATAAGAATCAAGGCTACAGAAAACATTCTAAAAGGAGAATGCACTGGTCATTAAAATATTGGAAAGGAAAGGTGATGCATCCTGCAGCTTGCAGCAGTTCCGGAACCTCGTAGCCAGGTATTGTTGACGCTAAATGCGGCACGCCTCAAAAAGTAGGGGTGGGGCTGCTTTAGTACTGGATGCTTCTCCTATCATAATACCCCACGCTACATCATCGCTTTCTGCGTTATGGAGTAAAGAGCCTCGCAGTGGACTCAATTTTTATTTCGCCTTCTTGCTGCACGCATCTGTTTCGGTCCCAGAAGAGTTTACACCGCGAACACCTGGCTTAAGCCGAAAGATAGACAGGAAGATTTCATCCCAACTTTTAACAACGCCTAATGCACATGTCCACGTTATATGCCAGCAGCTGCAGTTTCGATAAATCGATATCAATGCCATGGCTGGTACCTGAGGATGTTCGTGGGAGTAGTCCGAAGCAGGATGATACCTTCAACAAGAAGGATTCCACTCAACCCGGTAGTCACCGCGATCAAGTTATCCAGTGGCTCCCGTCGCTAGAAACACACCTTGCACGCAGTTGTGCTTTGGCAAGCTTGGGCGAACGGCTTCCGACGACAGTTCCTGTTGGCTTTCCAGATCTCATAAAATCCGATCGAGACTGGTCGGGTTCGAATTTTGAAAGCGAAGGCGACTATGTCTATATCCTGTCTCCAGAGGATTTGGCAGAAAGTGAAACTGCACTTCATTCCTTTCTAGGTTCGTACCCTGTATCAATTCATCTCACTTGCTTTGTCTCACAATTTCCATTTATCTAGCCTTGTCCAGCAACCCAGATCTCGATCAAATCTCTCCTGAAACGTTTCCTCTTCCTCAGCTAGGAGTGAAGCTTAGGGAATTGTCGGAGACTGTGCATGTGGGACGAGGATTCTGCATTATTAGAGGTATTGATCCGACACGATACTCTCCTATAGAAAGTATGATCCTATATGCTGGGATCACCAGCTACATTGGCAGCACCAGAGCATGCCAGGATGACAGAGGGAATCGAGTTAGTAAGTCGTTATTCTAAGATGCCCATGGTTTTGCTTGGATATTGACGTGCTCCACAGTTCACATAAAAGACCGCGGACGAGACTTTCCTGGGGTGGACCACAGGCAACCCCCATACTCCAATGTTGGCCAAGTAGGTTGAACAACTTCTAGACCTTGCCAGAAAGCTAACCGTGGAACACAATTAGCCATTCCATTCCGACCACTGTGATATTGTTGCTCTATTCTTCGTAGATACCGCGGCGCAGGGCGGATCGTCGAAGCTCGCGTCGTCTGCCAAAATTTACAATGAAATTGCGGCCACTCGACCAGACGTCATTCACATCCTGGCATCAAACACGTGGAAGTTCGACAAGTGCGTTAACATATTAGATCCTTGCTAACACTTCACGTTTACTGGTCACAAAAAGCTAACTGTCTGATGTCCAAATTCCAAATTCACAGACCCACCAAGCTGGGAAATTCGGCCCATCCTGCTGGATTTCGGCCCCTATGGCCCCGCGTTTTGCTTCTCACGTCGGTCCTTAACCGGGTCTCCTTATGCCACGCGTCAGGTAGAAGTTCCGCCCTTGACCGAGCGCCAGGCAGAAGCCCTGGACCTGGTTCAGTTCACGGCAGCCAAACATGCATTGTCAATGCAGTTGCAGCCAGGCGACATCCAAATTGTTAATAATTGGGCTGCCTTACACTCCCGCGATGGCTTCACGGATAACCCAAAGCCGGGGGGCAAGAGGCGCCATGCCCTGCGTCTCTGGCTAAGAAATGAAGAAAACGCTTGGCCTACCCCTGGGCCACTTGAGCACATCTGGAAGGAGATATACTCGAAAGATTCGCCGTGGGCGAAAGACCCGCACTGGGATCTTGTTCCGCCAATTGACTGGCAGCGTATATTGATGAAAAAGTTTACTTGTTCTTAGGATGTAAATGCATGGTCGTGCGACGGCAAGAAGGAGGTGTGTTGTTGAGATGGATACCACATGTACATCCGGCAGTTTCCCGTCTTGGATATTGTCGGAACGCAGCGGGTAGGTGATCCACCTGGATTCAGGATATACTATCTCCAAGATTAGGCATGTATTTGAGCCCACCCAAATTGCCAGTTAGGGGGCTTCTAGCAATTCAGACCTGTTATTGATCCTATTAGTGCACCCGTATGATCCACTCGCTGCGTTTCCGTAACCATGGAGTTGTTTGGTCACGAGACTAAGGGTATCTACCCACTCTCCGGTAGTGCTAATCACATCAACCATAGAAAGCCGGTCTCCGATAACGGTCAGTTCAACTTGCATACATTTCTCCCCAGTGGTCTCTATGCTAATTGATCATCTATCTAGACGCCTCTAAGCTTGACTTCACCAGCCTAGAGAACTTCTACCACAACGTTAATAGCGTGGCAGGCCTTGTCAAGCAGTTCTTCCGGGACCCGCCTGAGCCGCTTTTCACCTCGTAGTATTACATCCAATTCGTTGATGCTGCTCTAACTTCCGAGTTACCTGCTGTTTCTCTAGTGTGATACTAACGAGATGACTTTGCAGGTATCTAGGAGGATGATGCCCAGCGCCGTGACTTGTGCCACGCGCTCATCAACAGCCTTCCGGACGCCCACTACGCTATTCTGCGGGCTGTCATCCTGGTAAATCGCTGCTCATATCTTATGAAAAGAACAACCTGTAATGATGGCATTACAGCACTTGAACAAGGTCCAGGAGCACTACACCTCGAACCGCATGAGCGCCGGTAGCCTGGCCATCTACTTCGGGTGAGTGAACAACCTTTCTCTCCATCAGATTCCGGAGAAGCTAACTTTACGACAGACCGACCCTGATGAGTGCTAACTCGGGAGGCAACATCGCCGATGCTGGCTGGCAAGTCCGCATGATTGAGACCATTCTCAACAACACCTTCCAGATCTTTGACGATGACTAAATAATTCGCCTCATGCTCATCGGATGATCATATGGTCCTTCCCTTGCGGTCATCGGTTCTGCTCGCGCTGTGATAACCCAACAGCGAGGTCACCCCCATAGTCCCTTGTTTCGGGGAACCCCGGTAATCATACCCGATCTTGTCTCCCATCCGATTCCCAATCATGTTCAAACCAACCGCACCTGTCTAGCCCCCATTGCTATGCTTCCCTTTCTCTCCCCAAATAAAATGTGTCTGCTTCGCTCATCAATGTCCCGCGTATGCCGGATGGAGCTCTAATTTGTTCTACACACGCTAATTCCTTTGCCCTTTTCCCCTGTATATTAACGCCCGTTTCTTCTCTGCGCCAGTAGGACTTGCTTAGTTCTTTTCATCACGCCGAATCTTTGATGACCCTTCTTACTAGCACTGCTGTTGTCTCGGAGAAAGTTTAACGAGGAGCCAACTTTACAGGTATAATCGGCTTACAGCTGGTAAAAATATGGACCTCCAGTCTCAATATGACTATGATACATGAATTGGTAGGTGCTCTTTAGTATTAGAATATATTGGAAAAATGAAATACAACTCAGGTCCATCATGGATTTATGACTTGATGCTAGCTCGCACAACGCTTAGCGAAGTAGGACTATTCGCTCACTCTTTACTGCTTTGTTAATGATGGTGGTGATCATGGCGATAAGAATGGTGTGGATGAGGAGTGGCATCACGTTTGATGACTTGGGGCGAAGGTTGTGTGTGCTGCAGTGTCTTTGGTCAGCAGGTGGAAGCTTACAAAGCATCGCAAGACGAGCAAGGGCAAGGAAGAAGTCACTTACGTGGATACTGGTAGGGAATGTTGAAGATGCAGGTAAGGACGCAATGTGAGAGGACACCACTTCTTCAGGCTCTTCACAAAACCCAGATACAAATAGCGGATTCGAGGAGTGTGAAACAGGCTGCTCGCGATATAGCTGGCATTCTTGTCCAGAGGTGGAATATAGCCAGGCCTGGCATGTCGAGACTTCCATACAGCGATCCGCACAGGCAGTTGCACTGGCTTCGCCATAGGAGAATGTTATAGCTCCATGGCTGAAAAGGGCGATGATGTTGTTAAGGATTGACTTGGTGCAAAGGGTTGAGGAAGACTGCGGCGACTTTGATGCAACTGCTCCAGTAGCGAGAAAGATTGCTAGGGTAAAAAGTGGAAAGACCATGGTGCGTATGATGGCAGATATTAGGAGAAAAAAAACCCCATGTGAGCCCTGGTGGTTTATATGATAGGCGAATTGGGATTAGGAGCTTAGGTAGGAGACATATCCATAACATTAAGCAGGCGCAAGCAAAGGGTGTCCCTTGTATCGTAGCATTCTTAAAGAGTGGGTTTAGGAAAATTCGTACCAAATACGCATAAAGCAATTTCATACCCTTATCTAATGCAGGTAGCATAGAAACTAGTAACTACTGAGTATGGGCCTCGTCCCTTTTTGTTGGGCAAGGCACTTTCCTTGGAGCTACTATTTTCCATATCCGTATCCGTACCTCCAAAACCTTAGTCTATCTTCGAACTGCTTAGCAAGAGAAGTACGTCTAGGTTATTCCGCAATGTTAGATTGAACGCGGACATCGCCTACATAGTTCGTTCCGTCCGACTAGTGTAATTTCTCAACTCCGCGGCTGGGAAGACTAGGAGGGTGAACCTCGTCCTATAGTTCGAAATTCTCGAATGCGCATTTAGCGTCTCCACTAGCATGTGTGGAAAGCCGAAGAACTCCGGACCGGACCCTGGTGGGCTCGATCGGAGTCTTTAGCTAGCAAGTAAAAATTGTGAATTTCCCATTAGTGAGGCTGTTATCTCGTGGTACAGCTTATAATGGACCATAAGTATACAAATCCTAGTACCGGTTTGAAAACCTTTGGGCCGCTACTGTATGATGTCTAACTATGCACTATTGGTATAGGCTAGTAAGGGAGATATCAAATGGGATGATCATGATCGGATTGATTGATGAGGATATAGAGAATCAGGGGAAAAGCCTGATGAAGGTCATCCATCCCCTGTCCGGCCAGGCGTTTCCTGCCTGTCCGGCCGATACTCGGGTGTTACAAAGCCTGAGTTAACGTACGAACCAGAATTACATACGAAAAGATAAGAAAAGTGGGCACTTGATGAAGAATCCCGTTCTTAGTGGTAAGTTACCACTCCACATACAGTGGCCGTTCATTAGTATTTGCACTCTGGTAGTTCCCGTATACACCGCCTTCTTTTATTACCCATACCTTCCTTTCTTGGTAAGATGTCAGAACAAGAAATAACCGTATAGACTAAGAATAAAGCCCATGGATCTTTTTGGTCTAGCGGTATTATGCCCCATATTCTGTGCGACATAAGATAAACCCACGCTCCTCCCCCTTTATTCTCTATCCTCTACCTAGTAACCCTTACTAGAGTAGAGCGCAGGGTATTGGTTTCGAAAGCTGGCACCCTGTTAATTAGGAACTTCCTACGAGAATTAATGTGGAGGAACTGAACGGCAGAAAAAATACTGGGCTCCTTGGCATGCCAAGGTACTACAGTGCAAATACTAATGAACGCTGACTGTATTTCGACATATGATCCTCTTCGCTGTTTCTCATTCCAACACCCATCTTTCAGGTCACCCCCAACACAAAGATACCTTCTCTTTATGAATTTCGACTTCGATTTGTTAATCGATCCTCATCGCGACAATGCAAACCCTAGACAAGATTCCGAGTGAACTTTTATTCAGTATCAATGCACTGGCAGCGGACTGGGTTGGTCTCGAAAGCCTTATGCAAGTCTCCCCTCCGATAGGGGGGCTTTACGCAGGCGACGCCAACACTGCGGCGGACCCTGAAGCCATCCGCCTAATTGAGTCAATCCTCGGGGAGAACCCTATCATGCGTCACGAATTGCACTGTCTATTTCGCATGGCCCTAAAGCTACGCCAGCCTTGCTTGGTAGATACTAGTCTCGCCGAGTTTATCGCTCGAGACCATTCTTCGTCGTTCATGGAAACCCCTTCTTCAATATCCTCAGCCGTGCTAAAAGAGATGGTGATTGTCGCGGCCAACATCCAGCGGTTGGCGTGCGCCTGTTTGACCACCCTTTTGACCTGTGTCCGCAAGGTTAAGCCGCGGCGTTGGAAGGGCATTCGAGAGCCTAGTTTATTGAAAAATCAGGAACCCACCGAGCCATATCAGCCGCGTGATGCTGGCCCTCCTTCGTGGATTGAGGAGTATCGGGTTTACCGTGCGCTCTGGCGCCTACAATTGTATTCTGATTTATCGATCGCTGGGGCCCGGCTAAACTGGCCTCACAGTGATCTCGAGAATTGGCGGATCGAAAGCACGGACTGGAATAGCGTACCCCCAGTGATGAGAGAGGAACTACGCACTATATCAGAATGCCTGGAGACCCTATGCGAGGTTGATCCTATCCTTCGCACTACAAAGTCTCAGGTCACTTCGACCAACGACGGGATACACCTTATTTCTCAGCTACCGAATGCATCTCGACTACGATGTAAGTTTGATACCTGGGCCCCTCCGTCTCCGCCTACGATCCCCGACTACGAGGAGGGTATCCCTATGGATTTTTGGGGCCAGGGTCTTGTATCGATTCGCTGGAATCGCATGGCCGGCTGCTTTAGAGCGTGTCAGGTCAGGACAAAAACCTATCCCGCCCGGCATCAAGTCTGCCGTATCCAGGATGCCCGTCCGTGGCGGGGACTAGGCATGCCAATTTGGGACCTCTGGCGATTATACTGCCTAGGACTCTGGTCGGCAAATTACCCCTTCGCAGGGCGGCATCCTGGACCTATCCCGACTCCTGATGGATCAGAGGTTCCGAAAGGGTGTTCTCCGTTTGCCTCGGGCTCTGAGATAGATTATCGGGTTTCTGTTTTTATGCAGGCATGGATGCAGATAGAGAATCAGGAATGTGAGCAGAGAGTAGCAGAGGAACGGTCGGTTAGAGAATGAATATCAGGTATCTTTCAATCGAACCTCTCCCCGAGGTCTTTACGTGAGCTAGGTTTGAGTATCTAACTAGCTATGTAAAGAATCAGGAACTGAACTGAAAGATCATATGAAACCATGGCTCGTCGTTGCCGTTCTCATCCAATCCTGAGGTCGTCCAAGCTGTGACAGATATCGGGGTTTTCTTTCCTAGTTGCTGCTTGTGGTTGATCAGAAGCCAAGCGGCTCCTCCACCATTGGGGGTTCCCAACAAGGCCAATCCATTCTGGTTAATCAACACCCCGCCGCTCTTCTTCTGATTGATGTCGAAGACCATTCCGGGCCACGCAGGACAAGGGCCACCACACACCGTTTTCATAACACTCAAAGTATCCGCATTGATAATGTGTGTCCGGACCAGGTACTTCAGATTTGCCACGGAGCTGCCGGTAGACCTGGCCAGCGCGGCGTAACTGAGCCAGACCACGTCGGACCATTTACTTATCGGACAGGTTCGCCCACCACTCATGTCCGCGGGACTCCGATTGTTTTCCGCAATGACCAGGCCGGCTATGGGACTCATGGGGTTGATGTAGAATCCATCTGTTTCCTATACCAGGAAAACCAGATCAGCTATTTTCTACAGACTGTGCTTCTTCATATACGTGAAATAATAACAACGGTTCAAGAATATTCAAGAATACTTATATAGTTGGTCGTCCGAGTGACTTTGCCATTGGCATTTACCTCTGTCGTCCAAGGCTTTTCCTGAACCCAGAATTGTCCCACCAAATTGCCGTCTTTCCCGTTGTTTGAGCTGAGCACAGTGGGCAGTCCTTTGGCTGTCAAGGCCTCTTTCAACCACGCCACACTGTCGGGTTCGGTACCGGCATTCTCTCCGTATGCGTGGCTCTCCCAGTAATTTTCCAACTCGTCTATGGTCGTCCAGGCAGACTCGTCGCTGAGTTGCCACTTGGCCCTGCACTTGCAATACAAGCCGTTGCCCTTTTGTACCGCCGTCTCAAAATCGAGTGCCCGCGCTGCTAAACCTCTCGAGGAAGAGACAGAGATGGTCAGATTTTGGCCTTGCCAAACCCTAGGAGTCGCAGAGGCCACGAGATCCCGTGCATGATTCCGACTAGGACTACTGTCGGTGACATGAAGGGTCTGGTGCACCAGAAGCAAGCACAGAAGACCTATCAGCCCTAGAAACCCCAGTCGGAGTAATGGCTGGGAGCCCATATTGAGAAAGACAGCCAAGAACAAGGGAAGGGAGTAGAAGATGACCAAGTAAGTCCGGTAATGAAAGAAAAGAAAAACACAGAAGACAATTGATTGTATAGAAATTGGTGAAAAAGGAAAGTAAATCGAAACCAGTGAATGTCCCCTGGAAGTAAGGATAGTGAGAGACCGGCGAGATTCAATCAGACATGCTCCCTTCCGCTAATTTAACTGCTCGTTTAAGTAGGAGTGTGCCATAACGAGGAGCCGTGAAAGGCTTGTGCCATGACCGATGGCACGGAAATGCAACATATTTCCATCCGAGATTTCAGTAATTTTCTCTTGCATCTTCTCCATTTTACGGTATCCCTATTCAGTCCTGGCTTTTGTGTCAGGATCCTTTTATGGAGATCTTCAAATAAGGCTACGATGTTTTCGGATAATGAAGCGGTGGTAGTGTTGAAATCCGTAAATGTCTCACCACTAGGGTCTGTCTTAACGCTGTACTGTATACAATGGAGCATAGTGTGTGATTTAGCTGCTCTATCTCTTAGCTACGTAGTACGGTCCCAAAAAAGTTAGGGACACCGGACAGTCCTAAAAGTAAGGACCAAGCCTATATGGTGTGGTCCGGTCTCCGGTCTAGTCCGGTCCCTTGCGGTCCTTAGCGAGGTCTAGACAGAACTATATTATCTGCTCTGAATCTTACGGCTAGTCTAATCCTGCAATATTAGTACCTTCGTTGGCCCCCACACGCTTTGCTTAGTGTGTGTGCACCACCGCTTCCTAGGAAGTTGGGAAACACCTATTTCACCATTATACAAACCCATGTATTCCCATCTCGAATACATATCAAGGGACACACGATTGATGTGACTCATGCCTGGACTCGTTGAGGAAAAAAGTAAGCAGACCTCTTCTTTCTCACAACGTGAGTTTTTCTTGTCTCTTTCTGAACAAAATGATACTTGGCAATAAAGCTTGGGCGTTTGCTTATTTAGGCCAAAAGAATGTCGAGAATTACATAAATTTCCACTTTATCAAAGAAACCCTATGTATGTACCGTTTGTATAGGATGCTGCCAAAAAGGGACCGGCGTTAATCGGTACATGAAAAAAGGGGGTGTCAGGGTTCCAATGGAGCGCATCCACTTAGCAAAGCAGGTGGGCCCTGATATCCGTTCCGTCCGTTCGACCCACCCGTATCGCACTCGGATCCAACGCTGCTGCTCCTATGCTCCCAGCCTCTTACTATCAATGAAAAATGAAAAAGAGATAGTGGATATCCATCCATTACCGAGTACCAACGCAGCTACCGGCAACCGCTCAGCAGCCCTAGGGTAGGATTCCAGAACGACAACCGCCCCGGCTCGTCCTAATCCGAATGTGTATGAGTGGACTGGAGAAATTGAGCCCTCTGGTACATCTACGGCAGTGACAATTTACGCAAAGAGCCCACCGACGACATGGCCGAACAGGTAAGCTTCATCGATTATTTGACTTAGGCAGAATTTAAATCCCCGAACATCTAATTCTGTCGAGGCAAGCGCTGTTTCGGCTCGGATGGCGCTATACTAGTCTTTTTGTCGCCGCTATAATACGGATCATAAGAATGAGTGCACACTCTTTTACTTTTTCTTGTGTCTCTCCTTTATGTCCCTTCTTGGTTCCGATTCAACTCACCACTCATTTCCTCCGGGGGCAGACATTGTTGCTGCCTCCCCGACTTTGAAAAATTGCTAGTCCAGATTTGTGTATTCGTTACCTTTGATCATGCATTTTATGCCCATCGTCCTACTCCTGTTAGGGGCTTGCCAAGTGCATGGCAAGGCTGTCTTTGCCCATTTCATGGTATCCAACAGCGAGAACTACACGGAAAGCGATTGGGCCAATGACTTCACCCTCGCTCTCGACGCTCACATTGATGCATTTGCCATGAACATGGCCTATGGGGACCCGGTCAACAGTGCAGCCCTCCCTGTCGCCTTCACTGTTGCCGATTCCTTGGGCTTCCGACTCTTCTTTTCTTTTGATTACGCCGGCAATGGTGCCTGGCCTGAAGACCAGGTCCTGGACTACCTCACCACCTATGGATCCAATGCTGCCTACTATCAACATAATGGCCAGCCTTTAGTCTCGACGTTTGAAGGCCCTGATAATGCCGATGACTGGGTGACCATCAAGGCAGAAACCAACTGCTTTCTGATCCCGGATTGGTCCTCTCTCGGAGCCAAAGCTGCCATGGCTAAAGACGTGGCCGATGGACTGATGAGCTGGGCGGCCTGGCCCTGGGGTGGCCAGGAAATGAACACATACGTCGACGCATCCTACCGAGATTACTTGAATGGACTGCCCTACATGATGCCTGTGTCCCCCTGGTTCTACACCAATTTACCAGGCTACAACAAAAACTGGATGTGGCGCAGTGACAACTTGTGGTATGACCGGTGGCAAGAGATCTGGTTTCTGCAGCCCGAATTCGTGGAGATCCTCACCTGGAATGACTACGGCGAGTCTCATTATATCGGCCCGCTTTACGACAAGGCCATGGCCCCGATGTATATCGGCCAAGCGCCGTTCAACTATGTTGAAAATATGCCTCATGACGGTTGGCGTCTGTTTCTGCCCTTTGTCATTGACATGTACAAGTCCGACATCGCCACCGTCACTGAGGAGGGATTGGTGACTTGGTTCCGCCCCCAGCCCGTGGGTGCCTGTGACGATGGCCAAACGACGATCAACACCGCGAGCCAGCTCCAGATTGAGTTTGAACCGGCGAGTGTGTTGACCGACGAGATCTTCTTCTCTGCTCTGCTCGGTTCCACTGCCGACGTCCTCGTGTCCGTGGGTGGCAATTCGGTGGACAGTGTTTCTTGGACACACAAGCCCAGTGGTGGGGTGGGAATATACCATGGCAGCGTTGCTTATACTGGCAGTGGTCCTGTCCTCGTGACTGTCATCCGGGATGGAGTGATAATTGCCCAAGTCTCTGAGGGTTCCATCACCTCAGCCTGCGATGACGGCTTCCAGAATTGGAACGCCTGGGTAGGCAGTTCCATCTCCAGTACTTCGATCTCTGCCCAGCCTCCTTCTCTGGCCAACGATACCTGCGTTGAGGGCACAGGTACGGGCAACTTTGCCGGCCTCTGTGAATTCTCGTGTCGATACGGCTACTGCCCCATTGGCGCCTGTTATTGCACCAAGATGGGAACAGCACGCACCCTCCCCAATGCGACGAGCACCGTCGGGTACCCGGCTGCTGGAGAGGACGCCAATTACAGCGGCTTGTGCAGTTTCTCTTGCAACTACGGATACTGCCCTGAGAGCGCGTGTGGCACCGTGGACGTGCCTCTATCCACGCCCACTAGCTCGCCGTTCACTCCTCTTGCTTGTGTGGTGGGCGAAGGGGAGGGCAACCTGGGCGGTTTGTGTTTATATGCGTGCAATTTTGGCTACTGCCCCATTCATTCGTGTACCTGCACCGCGGAAGGTGTCCTGATTGATGCTCCGGCGGTCAACTCCAGTCTGACGGGAGTCCCTGCAGCCACGGTCGATTACGACGAGTATCATGGGCTGTGCAGCTTTGCCTGCAGTCGAGGATACTGCCCGGAAGGAGCATGCGTACTATCATCCACCGCAGGGTCCGGCACCACGGATAACGGCATAGTGGTCTATATCGATCCGGGTGTGTGGTCAAACCCGGAAGCTGCGTGCCCCATGCCCTGCACGATGGTTCTGCCCGAGATTCAGCTGGGCGGCACGTCAATCATCAAACGGCCTCCATATACCACCACCGTAGTGGTTGAGTGGACGACTGTCGTTGGAATAACTCAGGACAATGGCGATGTGTCCACCGCCACCCGGACCAGTAGAGTGGCCGAGTCTACAGTGATTCCTTTACCCGACATCACGACCACCGCATACCCAGTTTCCAACCTGGTGATACCTACTGGGGGCATATATTTCCCCACGCCACGGCTTCCCCCGACCACTGTGACTATTGCCGACGATCCCAACCCACTCAACGAGCCTGGCGTCACGCATGCCCCTAAGAACCGGACCATCATTATCCCGCCATATCCCTGGGATACTACTCCCTATGGCAGCAGTGGGAGCACCGACGATCTAAACATCCCTAAGCCCCCCTCAATCGACGTGACCGACGGTCCTAACAACCCTGAATGTGAAAGCGGATGCAGTGGAAAGCTCTGCAATGACCCCTTCTGTCACTGCTTCTGGGGCTGCCCGCATACCGGAGCTTCCTATGATAGTGATACCAGCTCCGATCCGGACGATCCCGATAGCGACACTGTTGACAACGGGCCGGATCCGAATGCCAACAACGATGACACGGACACAAAGCAGACCGCAACGACGACTACCACCTCGTCCTGTACGCGGCAGACTGTCACGGACGCTTGGGTCTCGTGTACTTCGGTGGACTCTACCTCCAGCTCATGCACGACCACTAGCACGTTGGTGGAAGTGGGCTGCTCGGTTACAGCGATGACCACGACGACGGGGGTGGCAGAGTCCTGTTACTCAGTGTCGCCCGATGACGACCAAGGCCAAGATGGCGGAGCCTGGAACGACAGCGTGCTTTCTAGTATAAGCTCCGGCTGGTCAGGACTGGGTAGCGCCTTGGGCATCACCATCACCGAACCGACCAGTACCTACACTGATGTGGTTTACAGTGGTACCGCATCGGTTCTGACAACCACCGCCACCGCCACCGCCACATCCACGAGCACTGCCCTTCCAGAATACGGCAGCTCCTCGGCGTGGGCCCTCTTCATCCGCCAAGTCTATGACTCGGACACCTCGTCCACAGGCACTTTCACCTACACAGGCCTGGACTACAACAAAGATGAGTTGACGATTGATCACTGCACAACGGATACAGACTGGTCACAAAGTGTAGATGACGACGACGAAGCGCCGAGCAGTGTCTCGGATATTACAGCATTTGGAGCTTCGTGTTCGCTGAGCTTATGGGAAAACACCAGTTACACTAGCCTGGTAGGAAAGCTTGAATGTGACAAGTATGCGGATGCAACATGCGAGACACCCATTAATGTCGTGTCGGGTGGCACATGCGGAGCAGCCAATATATACCAAACATGGATCGTGTCGTGCTTTTGGGGAGATGTATAGCTTTACTAAATATTGAATGATTCCGAGCATATTTCTGCCAGAGCGCTGTTGCTGTAGCCGGTCTCGTCTAAGGTTGTGTGGGTAGTAAAGTTGTATGTCTCTACATTTGACAACTAGTATCGAAGTTCAATTGGGACATATATATGAATAAGTCTCTCTACCCGCCAGCTGAATCTATGGAATTGGTTCAGCCTTCGACTTATCTCTTCCTCTTTTAAGATATCCTTTCCCTAGATCCTAGATTTCCTGCAGCTGTGGACAACATTGAATATATCGTCGCCAATACTAGAGTAAGTTACTCTCTGAGCTTTGTTCTACCAAATACCATGGAATTGGCCATATCTATGGCCGCACATTTTTTTTGTCAGAGCCGAAGTTATGCCGCAAATTACCATTTCCGTGATGTAACCCTTAGGTGCTCCACTACTCACTAGCGTGACTAGAATTTCATTCCCAGACTTCCAAATTGGAGGGAAGAGGCAAGTAGTTGAGACTAGTAGAATAGCATCATTTCCAAATCCTCCCTTGGACTATCTCCGGTGTGTACCTGAGCTAATAAGCTGCAGGCGTATCCACTTTCACCACAAATGTCTCACACAATCAACGAACTATCTCCTACCTATGATCAACTTACTGGAGGCTATAGGGTGACAGGTGTCACGAATTGCCAGATCTGCCAATCTACGAAAGAAAAGCAGGGAAGACTGCGCACTGACGAAGATTTCAAAACTAGAGAAGAGGGGAAAAAAGAAAAAGATCCTAGTCTGTAGGTATTGTAATATCCTTACTCCAATATGTGATAGTCAGCCATTACCCCTTAGGCGGGCCCTAGCAGGCTACTGTAGCACGTAAAATGCTGCGCTACGCCTGGTAATCATTAATCTCTTTCGTGAAAGCTTTGAAATGCATTCTCATATTTAGCTTATCGAATTAAGTTCAAGGGACCCCACGGCGTTTGTTTTCTCCTTCGGTTAGACTAAATTACCAAGTGGAAACAGCACAGGACCCTAGCTGAACAGTTTAGTCCGTGTAACAAGACATGGTGAAATCATATCTACTAGTACACTCTGATAAATAAGGATCAGACGGAACCAACCCAAAGAGGATGAATTGATTGATTAAGAAACTACAAGATTGAATCTAGGCGAGGACACGTTGAGTTGTCCTCGCTTACAAAGATGGGATTTGGGGTTGCAATGACCGAATTCCCCAGGCGTCGAAACTAACATAGAAACTATATACCAAAGTACACAGTTGGCGAACTAATTAGTTGTTGGCATAAATGATAGGTCCATTTTCCTCGACACTATATCTAGGTCAATAGATAGGCCTAGGGTAAATGCAGACCAAAGAACACTAGGACGAGCGCGGTGGCAGTACAGTAGTAGTCTTTGACTGGGGGCATCATACTGTATAGTGCTTTTTGAAGACAGATTACCCCTGCATATACAGAAATTGTTTCTCGGCTCGGATCCCGACACCACTTTGTATGTTGATATGGGTACTATTTCTACTGTAGAATGTAGTGAGAACCAGATTGTCGAAACCTGGAGCGATAACTTACCGCTAGCAAGGGGTGTGTCTCACAGGCGACCATATTTGCTAGGGAATGTATGTAATTTCGGATTAGTCATGAACTTCGGTTTCGTACTACAGTATATCTACCGAGTATCGGCCGTATAGACATACAGTCAGAGTTCACAAGTATTTGCACTATAGTACTCTGGCATGCCAAGGGGCCCACTATTTCTTCTGCGTTCGAGTTCCTCCACATCAATTTCCGTAGGAAGTTCCTACTCAATAGGGTGCCACCTTTCCGTATCCAGTACCCTGCGCTCACTATGAGGAGGATAGAGAATAAAAGGGGAGGAGAGTGAGTTTATCTCGTCGATAAAGTAAGGTATAGATAATAAAAAAAGGCTGTGTACCTATGAGGGAAATACCACAGTGCAAATACTAATGAACGGCCACTGTGAGCCAAGGGGTTGCTCTGAACACCCTTATTTTCTTCCTCAATCGATCAATCTTGTTCATCTGATTTTGATTCTACTCGATCTTATTTGTCCTGAATGCGTAATAGGCTATACAGTGACGTTCCATACATTTTAACACCCCTTTTAGACCCACCCACTACACCGCCTATATTCATCCTATACCACCTACCATATTTAGCTAGCTAGAAACCACGCTAATATTCAACTTAGAGATGAAGCACCTAGAGCATCTCTCAGAGACCATCCCTAATAGGGTTCAGGCACTGATTGACTCGGTTGGGTGGTATACGCCATATTAGTGTGTGTAATTAGCCATACATGTGGTAGTCCCTTTCTGGCTGGCAGAATATTATGTAATTAGGGGGTGTTGAAATCTATGGAACGTCACTGTATGCTTTCAGCTTGTTACAATACAGATCCACCCGTGATTATCTCCATATTAGGCTTATTTCAACTAGCCAGCAACCCGTTTTGGTGTGTCCAGGGGTAAATGTCGAACGCAGAAAGAACGGTAACGCCGAGTAAAGCGTAGACCAATAGACCAAGAGAGTGTGTATTGTAGGAAATAGGGGTTACAGGCAGATAATGAAGATTCTGCGCCAAGTAGCTAAAACAGGTTAGTAGCTAGCTGGATAATACAGGTGGAGTAGCTAATTTCAACAGTAAATCTCTTCAAAAATTCCTATCATGGAATTGTACAGGCTCGAAAAATCAAGCTAGAAAACTGTTGTCCTTTGCGTAGCGTGTGCGTGGCAAACAATGCGGTATCCGACCATCGGGCACAAGAGAACCGGACTCAGAAGCTTACCTTATTGATATGCTGATTGAGCACGTCATGGCTTCCAGGTTCGCGGCGAAAAAAAACCACAAATAAGTATAGAGAAGGATTCAAAAAGGGAAAAGGGGGGAGGGGAGATGAAGGTCAAGGACTAAATCAAAACACGCTTAAAGGATCAGAAACACCGCCAAGGAAACACCTATATATCAGGTCGTAAATCATGACTGCCACTCGCCAATGGAGGACGGGAGAAATTCGAGAAGGGATGGGACGCATATGCAGAGGGGAGACAGTTGAAGTGGGTAATTCCAAGAAGGGGGAAAATGGGTATGAGAAAGCATGTCAAGAATCATAAGGCATCAATCGTATAGGGGTGTTCTACGGGATGGCGAGGCGTTGTATGATGCTGAATCTTCCGCTAGAGGAGTCCGCATATATCGCTTTGCGGCGGAGCTTCGAACAGGACTACAGCGGGAAGGGCGTGAGTGGAATCCTGCGCTGCTATACGAGCGCGGTCGTTCCGAGCTGCTGCCACCGCTTCCAGGCCGACTGCCCCCGGGACTCCCGCCGCTGTAGCTACCTCGTCTGGTATCTTCCGGGTCAAGATTAAAGCGAGGGCGGGGCGCGGCGCGAGGTGGGGGTACTGATGAATACTGTGGAGGCTCTGGCGCCGGGGCCCACACGGGGCCGTCAAAGATGGGCTTGCGGAATTGGACGTCGGGCGCTGGTCGGGAGCGAGAGCGCGCTTCTCGGCGCGATTTGCTCGATTTTGAGGACCGAGGCTCATGACTTCCACTTACGTGCGACCGCCGCGGAGCCGTTGGCGAGAGATCGCGATAAGGTTTCCGCATGTATGAGTCGTGAGAATGGCGGCGCGCGCCGGTGTCTGGAGGCGGGGACAAGTTGTGGTGGCGGGATCGGTGTTTGGGGAGGGGATCAGCGGCATCTTTGCGCGGGGAATGCTCTGACGCATCGGCGTCGTGTGAATGGGCATCTTCCATTCCTGGGCTGAGGGGATGGCTGTACCAGGCTGGATGGTCTCGGCCTCGGGAGCGGGGAGGACGTTCCGTGCCGGGCGGAGCACCTGGCGACTGCACTCGGGGCGACGAGACGCCTGAACGGCCACCGTCCGGCCTGCGGCTACTTGACGCATGATAATCGTCCGTGCTCATGCGGCGGCGGTGACTTTTCCGTCTACTCGGTCGATCAGAATCATACTGCGTATGACGCCGTGACTCTGACCGGCGCGGTGGATGCGAAAAGTAGTCCTCCTCATCCGGCAATGGATCCTTTCCACTGAAATGATAGTGATAAGCGCCAAAACTCGGCGGTGACGCGCGGTGAACGTTCCTCTTCACATAGTCGTATTCGAGCCGCTTGGCGACACCCTCATGCCACTGCAACATTTCGGGATCTGGCTCTGAGGGAAACGCATCGCGGGGGGATATCCTTGGGGAATATCTCGCCCTTCGCGTCCGCAATATCCCAGAGGCCCACCGCATTCTTCAGAAAGCGCCAGTGTTCATCCGGGTCCATGAGCACCTGAATGGTCTGCCAGCGCACGAAGCCATTCGGGCATAGCGAGGGGACTGAAGGGGGGTTCATAGGGGCTCTTGGAGGGCTGGAGGCTGTGGAAACACCCGAGCGACTGATAGATGAAGGAGAGGGCTTGGGTTTTAGTCTCGAGGAAGAGCGGATCGTAGTTGCCGCCGACCTTGCGGTAGAACGCTGCGAGGCGGTCCGGGGTGAGGTCGGTTGTGGGGCTCGAGTCAAAGGAGGGCTGTCTCACACAGTCAGTCAAGCCTTCGCGAGAGTTTCTGGGGGCAAGTTTTTCAGTCCAATATCTCACCATCAGCTGTGCGATTCCCAGACATAGCTGTTCCAACAGCGGCGCCGGGCTCTTGTCCGGGTTGATCAGTGTGCCCCAGTGGCTGGTCGCAGAGGCCATGGCAGGGCTGGCGCTGGCACGGTCGGGAGAGTGGCATGCAGGAGGAGAGCCGGGCGAGACGGGAGGATGAGTAGGCGCCTGAACATCCACGTCCGCATGGCCAGTGAAGTAAAGACACAGCGCTCGAGGCTCATCCCCAGGCAGCGAGGGGCGGTCAGGCACAACACACATGGACCCACTGCGGGGAGGGCGATCCACGGAACAATCAGGAGGGGAGGATGAGGTCAGAGAATCAAGAGAATCACGAGATTGGAGACAATCTTCAACTCTCAGGAAGGGACGGAGCCGACGAGCAGGTGTTCGTAGGCATGACTGGGAAGGGTCAAAAAGACTAGCAGGTGACGAGATGACGAGCTGAGTCAAAAAGGGCCAGTCCGCGAGGGCAAAAAAATCAGGCGTCAACTGCCCGCGAGACGCCATTTGCGCGGTCATTCCCGAACACATCAGCAAATCGCTCAGCCCGTCCATCTTACGACCAACCACGCCACTCACGTCCCTGTTCAGCTGCTGTCATCATACGAGGCGCCGACTATCATGTCGTCATCCATTATACCTCTTCATATCGAGCAGATCGAGCAGATCGAGCAGATCGCCCATATGTGCCGACGTGACTACAGACTCTTCTTTTTCTCACCAGCCCACCCAGCAAATCCCCTGCAGCACCTCACGCCGTCCACGGCGAGAAGAGCGGCCACGAGTATACCGCGTCCGCCACGCTGATCGGCACTCCCGTTGGATCTAACAGCCCAAAATCAACGTTTGGCTGCGCCAGAAACTCCTCCATGCTCTCATCCAAAAGACTACTCATGGGTGAGATTCCCTGGCGCAGTAGTCTCGGGCAGCGTAGAGCCTCCGGGCAGATCCACCTCGGTCGCTCGTTGGTCGCTCGTTGTGCAGACTGGGGAAGCGCAGGCAGCGCATCGGCTGGCTGTCGAGAACGCGACTTGACTCGCTGGCATGCGAGGTGCGCGTGGTCGAGCCCCATTTCTGGTCGAGACATTGCTGCACGCACTCCAGGTTATTGTAGAACTCGGGGGCAGCCAGGTTCCCGTGATTGCTCATTGCGCGGAGAATTTCCAGGGCTGTCTCGAACAGACCGTAGTCGCTGCGGTGCTCGTGGATCTGGCTGGACAGCACCATGATAAGCGCCACCGAGAAGAGGTAGAGACGAGGTGGTGGGCGTCGAAGTACCCGAAGATCTGCAGCGATCTGTTGGTCCACTCCCCCACGATCAGCGAGTGGCTGTGCCTTGCAGCGTGGTTGCATGCGTCACTGAGCGTCTTGGGCGTCTGGACATGTGCCTGCGTGGTATTTTTGTCGGCGTGACTGGCGTCGCGAGACTGGATGAGAGTATACAGCAGGATGGGCCGGGTGGCCAAGATAATACACTGTCGCAATGAGACCATGAGATCCATAAATGGCCAGGATTGAGCTATGGCTATCATCCTGTTTGAACTGCAGATGCAGCGACACGACGTTCTCCGCGCTGGGTCCATCTCGACTCAACAGAACGTGCGGGGGAAGCGCCTGCGCTGCCGGTTAGCAAATGAGCTGACAGCGTGCAATACGACCTCTTTCTTCCCATATCTCTCATGCACCTTAATCTGATCCCTGTTCACATAGGCGCACTCGGCAGGACAGTCGACTTGCCGACATTTCTTGCACGACTATCCACCAGAGCACTTGATCCTGTGTGTATGGCATCGTCGGCATCTGGAGAATTGGCATGAGCAACGAACCCGAAGTAGCAAGTGGGTCAACTGGTAGATGAACTACGCGATAGATTTCTTCTTCTGCCGTTCGACGACCCCGTCACTTGGGCATCTTGAATGGGGGGATCTATTTCTGCTCGGAAAAGTTCTCAATTACCCGAAATTGCAGGGCTATGGAGGATTGTCGGTCAACTTTTCCTTGTAGTGGACTGGAGGGTGACTTTGACGGGTCGATTCGGCATGGTTTGAGTGTGCCGAGTGGCAAATAACCGGAGTCGGCTACCTGAACATGCCATTTCACGTTTTGCTTATTATCAAGGAAGAACTAGGGTTCAATCTAGGTCTCAAGGACTTTGCTCTCTTTCAACCTCCAAGCTTTCCACTAGTGATCAATGTATATAATTGTGTTTGGTTATTCCCGTCGCTACATGCAGAAACTAAGCAGCGGGGTTCTTACTGGACGATGTCAAGAGTATCACCTCTTCATCAAGTTAACGATCTTTACCTCCAAGGCTGGGCTGGAGTTTTCCTGACATGTCAAGTAGAACTTTAGCCATGTAAACTCCCTACGCAAATCATGAATCTTCGACTGGGTCTGGCCAGACATATCACGACATCCAAAACAGCCGCTTGCGTTCAACAAACGTCTCCTAACAGCGGATGATGAAAGCGCCCTGTGTGGAGTGGATTGCAGATATATTCCTTGATTTCCAAAATCCTTCTGCTTTGCGGTCAGTTCCCCAAATGATCGACCATATAGGTGTGATATCATTGTGAGTATGAGTGTTCGACTTGAATTTGAATATCGTATCGAGAGTACAACACTAAAACGATCAACATCGAGATCGTATCTTGCTCAGTTGTGGGGGCAGCTAGCGGGTCGCGTCGTCCATGCAGTTCCCCCCTGACGCCACAACGGTTAGAAACGATCAGCAGCAAAGCTGTCAGATTTAATCGAATGCATTGGCCGTGCATCAATGGCCCGGATCACTCAGATTTATATCTTCAGTAAACCCACTAGCCAATACATGCTATACATATCAAATAGATATCGTATCATTGCAGTTCCCGCTCTAAATTACCGGTTAGTCCATCAAGCACCGCGAAAAGATCGGCGATCTACATTCTAGATTCTCGTTCAAACTTTAGGATTGGCTCGGCTCCAGCCACCATCTCCTATACCACCGATAGTCTTTCATCCCTACATTCCGGACCGACATGCCATGCTCGCCAATGGCATTTTCAGGCAATTGGTCTACCCTCTGATTGGGTCTACGGTTACCAGGGCAGGTATTCCGTCTGTCCATCCGCTCGATTGACAGTGCCAGGCACTGGTCTGCGGGGGCTGTCACATAGTCCAGCCCGGCAAAATAGGACCAGGCACACCGAGTTATGGGCTGCCCCATCTTTCCAGCCTCTGTCAACCGGGTTGCGAATTCCACACGCGGCATCTGATCGCACTGCCCTCTTATCTGAGGAGTTAAGTGTCCTGACCCCCTCCCCCTCCTCTATCTAATCTTCTCACCCCAATCTCGCCTCTTCACTCGCTACCTACTCGTTACCACACTTCCTTCAACCACCGTCGCTATTGATCGTTGCCCATTCGAATTTATTCCACCTCACCTGTCGGTCCGCTATCTGCATCACTTGCTCCTTATTTGAAATCAAGTCTCTCTTCGCTGTCGCACGACTGGCCTTCAATCTATCAAGGGGCATCACCACCATCGCAACCTACTTGTTTCCAACAATCCAAAATCGGATATCAATTGCACCCTTCCGCTATTTTCCTGCTCATCGTTAATTGCCCCCGGGACACTTTGAACAACTGCTTGAAGAAAAGCGACCGATCTACACACCCTATCGCGCAACCGTTACAATGGCCCTGGTCCGCGATCCATACTTTTGGAAGCGTTTCTCCACCGCAGTTCATCTAGAAGAAGAAGCCAAGAGCGACATAGAAGCCACGACACCTGTCAAGTACGCATATTCATGATTATCTAATCTCAAATCACCGACAGCTGACATCATGATAGGGAACCTGACTCCTGGCTCGAGCGAGAACGTCGCAAGCGCAAGCGATCGCTAATCTGGGGTTTTATCATATTCTTCGGCGTCATCCTCCTGGTGACTGGCGGTGTGGTCGTCTGGTGGCTCGCCAAGCACAACTGGCTGCAAAAGGTTGAGCCTTAAGACTCTCTAACTCATCTGAATCATGAGAGTTGTTTGAGGGGACCAATAACCTTGTTCGATTGCATTTTGGGACGAAATTGGCTTTCACCGGCGTTATGAGGGGTTTGTTTAGTTGGCGCATGGCAAAGAGAAAAAAACTGGAGATATACCCGCCGCGCCTCCAGGGCGGCTTTTTGGTGTGATCGGTTAAGTAGATAACTTTTATATAGCTTCACAAACATGAAAATAAAATATTCAATGATGCATCACTATCAGTGGTAAAACGGCTGGGTCTGCGATTTAGTGGTTATCTACCGGCGGTTGGACCTGCTGGACGGGGTATAGTGTACAGGGGCCTTATCAGGACAAAGGCATGTCTCGAGTCTCAAAGAATGATCCTAGTCGATAGCTAGCTGGTCGGTAACGCAAACAGGCATTACTATCTTCGTAAATAGGCAGGGAATAGATTGCTAGGTAATGTGTTTTGGTTGTAAGCCAAAGCTTCCCGATACCCAGCGGACTTTGCTCCGCCGACACAAACCGAAAGGCATCGGGACATGCCTATCAGGACGGGCTTATCGCTTTCTCCACACTTCCCCGCACAAGCTCCTTGACTAGATAAAAGGTGCGCTCCGCCGCTGTTCCCTCCGACTGTTTCACCGCTACGCCATCATGCTACCCCCATTTGACTACTTTGCGTACCGTCGAGCACGGTAGGGAGCTCCCATATTTCTAACCTTGTCTATGAACAGTCTGCTAATAACTCTACAGCACCCAGAAGCAGGCGGAACGCGCTACCCGCTTCGCTTCGTTGCCATCTCCCTACCATCTCCGGATCACCGATGCCGATAAGCACATTATCGATCAGCCAATCGAAGAGCTAGTCCGCGATATTCAAGGCTCGACGATCTCGCCCTTGACTGTGCTGCAAACATACGGCAAGGTCGCTGTCAGAGCTCAGAACCGTACCAACTGCATCACCGAGCTGCTTCTTCCAGAAGCGGAGTCATGGCTCGAGTCGGATATTAATTTGAAGGGTCCCCTGGCGGGCATTCCTGTCTCGCTGAAGGACACGGTTCAGGTTAAGGGCTTTGATAGTACACTCGGCTACTCGGTGTGGGCGAACAAGCCGTTCCAGGAAGATGGGCCTATGGTCAGGCTCCTTAAGGATGCGGGTATGTTGCTGTGACTGTTCTTTCTAATGAGTGGACTATATCCTGACGCTGCTGATAGGAGCGGTACCCTACGCGAAGACTGCAGTGCCCATGACGCTTCTCTCTTTCGAGTCCGCCAATGGTCTCTGGGGTCACTGCTGCAATCCCCACGTCCTCGACTACTCCCCCGGTGGTTCCACCGGCGGAGAAGGAGCGCTTCTTGCCCAGGGTGGCCGCATTGGTATTGGATCCGATGTTGCTGGATCAGTGCGTGTGCCCGCCGCCTGGAGCGGCATCTACTCACTCCGCTGCAGCACCGGTCGTTGGCCCAAGATCGGTGTCAGCACGAGCATGCCTGGCCAGGAGGGTATTCCAAGTGTCTTCAGCCCTATGGCGCGCACCCTGAACGACCTCACATACTTTACCAAGGCCATCATTGGGATGCAGCCTTGGAAGTACGATTATTCCGTCCATCCTATCTCCTGGCGTAAGGAGCTGGAGGACGAGGCACAGAGCAAGCCTCTGCGCATTGGTCTCATGACCACTGATGGTATGGCATCAGCCTAACTCCCCTGCAATCTACAATCATTTGTTAATAGCCTTTAGGTGTCGTCCCCCCAACGCCCGCGATTGAGCGCGCCATCTCTACTACCGTCGCCGCCCTGACTGAGGCCGGCCACGCCGTTACCGAGATCACCACCCCGCCCAATGCCGACCCCTTCACCGGCCTCAACCTCGCCTCGCAGCTCCTCAACTCGGACGGCTGCCACCACTTCAACGCGAACCTGCGCAGCTTCGAACCCTCCGACCCAGGCGCCAACCAGCTGTCCCGCTTTGCGCACCTGCCGCGTCCCCTGCGCTATCTGTACTACCTGTACGTGCGCTACATCAAGCGCGACAAGGTGCTCGCTACGCTGATCAAGGACTTCGGTCCCAAGACCTCGGCGGCCCTGTGGCCGCTGGTCGCGCAGCGCGAGGCCTTCCGCGCGACCTGGCATAAATGGTGGGACGCGGAGCCGCAGCAGTTCGACTTCATCCTGTGCCCTGCGAATGCGACACCTGCGCTGCCGCATAAAGCGATGCACGACGCTGTCTCGTCGTGCGGTTATACTTTCCTCTGGAATCTGCTGGATTACTCTGCTGGGGTCCTGCCTGTGGGCCACGTTGACGCTGTCCGCGACGCGCTCGTCACCCCATACAAGACTACACTGAAACGCCTTGGTAACGACAATGCGATCGCGCGCGGCGCCTGGAAGCACTACGATTCCATGAAGATGGCTGGCTTGCCTACTGCGGTGCAGGTTGTCGGTCGCCGCTGGCAGGAGGAGCAGGTACTGGGGTATATGGCGGTTGTGGAAAAGGCGCTGGAGCAGTACCGCGATCCACAGACTGGCCAGAGCAGCAAGTATACCTTGCTGGAGATTGACTGAAGTAAGAGGTTGTGTTGCTGCCGTGATATCTAATGTACTTAAGATTAGCCGTCCCTGCCGCGACTGTGGGTGACCGAGAAATTCGATCGCCATGCATTTACTACCGTCGTACCTTATTACATTCATTGGCCCGCCTCTACTCTAAAACTGCCCTTAAAGCCCTTCACGAGCTGGAGACCGCATCACGCGTTTCATGCGGTGCAACCCGATTAACGCCAGGCGTAGGTGGGGCCCTGCAAATTGCGTCCCACGATCTGGCTGGGGCTCAGACTAGCGGAGGAAATCAGTTTAGTTTCGTGTAGTCTTCTTCTTTGTCTTCCTTTTTTCCCACCATGGGCTCATGCAGACCCTGCCCAAACCTGCGTAGCTTCGATAGTTAATTAGAGGGTGTTATGTCACCGCGAACTCTATGGCACTGATGCAATGCATAAGATCGACAGGCATTTCTCGCACCTCCTGCGAGTCCCGGGAACCCGATCTAGTCCGCCCAGTTGAACCCGGGCGGCTGGGAAGGGGATGGACAGAGAGGGTTAGTCTGACACGCCGGAGCTTCTCCAACTGGCTGAGCCCTCCAGATCGGCGGTGCCACAACACTGTCAGTGCCATTTTTCGGTGCCTGGTTGGTCTACCTGCGCCAATCGCGAAACGGAAATCCGATCGACGTTTCTTGGGCTCCGTTGGTAAGTTCGTTGTCAGCAGCCTGTGCCTTTCTGTCTGGAGTGCTCTAGGCTGTCTTAAGGTTTATCCGCCCCAGTGGATGTATCACGTAGAAAAGACGCGACGACGTACCCTAGTACTGGGGGCCAAGCTCCATGCACGGTGGTATCCTGTGTCCCAAGCCTGGAGACTTGAGGCAGTTAGGAGAAAGCTGGGGTGGCTCATGTTTGGAGCCCTCGAGAGTGACGGTTGGGTTCGCAATGGTCACTTTGTGGAGGGGCGGTCATTGGTGCGTCCCCGCTCACAAATCATGTTCGCCGGCCCTCAAGCCCCCAGACGACCCTGAGCTATTCCCCAGTGTGCACCAAGATGGTGGGTTGGGGTCCCGCCGCAGCGGGTCTGTGAAGAAAAGAGCGTTTCTGAGCTCGATGACCTCCGTAGATCGGATAGGTGGAATCCCAGGCATTCAATTCGCTCACCAATATGAGGGATCGCCGCTGCCTTCGTATCCAGGCCCATGGGTACGCATCGCAAGCCATCGTCCCCCTCTGGAACGCTGCTCCGGGGCTAGCCTACCATTCGGCCTGAGTGGAGAAACTCTCAAACCATCGCAGTAGCTGCTGGCCGCTCGGGCGGGGGCATGTCAGGGCTTGCAATAGGCGGTTACCTTGGGACTGGCAGGGCCAGTGCAAAGGTTGGCGCTGCGCGCAAGGAGAGTGGTGGCCCCATGCGGCGCTAAGACTGCGACGTTGCGATGCTCCACTGGAAGAAGGCAAACTCGGAACTAGAGGAACCTTTCTGCAAGTCACTAGTTCGTGAGTTAGTTGGTTGAGTCGGCTAGCAGAGAGGGCGAAGCATCCGACAGCGCAAGAGCGTGATCTGCGCGGGTCACGGGGCCGCGCAAACCTCCACGACGTCAACCCGTCAAGTCTGTCAGTTGTGTCTAGTCAAATCCCCACTTATCTTCTGCAACTGCTGCTCTTTTACCCAACTGGTTCTTCGTCTCGTCGATTATCATTCTTAAAAATAACCCCCCACCTCTCTTCTCTCTCTCATCTCCCCATATTGCTTCTATTCCCAGTGTGAAAGCACATCATGGTCCACCAGCGCCCATAGGGCGAACCCTTCCACCCTCCCCTCCAATAATCCAAATAACCCGTGTCCCTCCAGCTACTTGCCGCCCACTGATCCTCGACCATCCGTATCTCCTTGAGCTCCCCTGTGCCTCTTCTGTCTTGAGTGTGATCCCTGCGTGTCAAACCTACGGCCCACTTCAGACTCCTCGCCACCCACACTCACACCCGCTACTACAGTCCTGAACGCAGGATGCCGACCCGCCTTGTCTCGCCTTCCAATTCTCGCAACGTCCTGTGCCGGTGATCAGGGATGATCAGAGGGAGATGGCTTCCCGAAAGAAACAGAGCAATGCCCGGAAACGAGATGGTATCCACTTCGTCAATGCCAGGCCGTCCTCCGAGACCGAGCGACTCACGGCCCAACGCCTGGTGCGCGCCCATGTTGGCCGATGGATCTCCGACCAGACCAAGGGCCGCTCGACGACCGATGAACCCTCCTCCAACACCGCGACGAACCCCCTTCGAAACTCAATCAGCAGCGACCATGCCGAGTCGTCTTACCCCCTCGTGTCGCGTCCGTCGCCCTATGCCGCGCACCGCGCACTGGCCATGGGCGCGGGTTCTTTGCGCCCGCAGGGCGAATGGCCACGATCCCCTTTCCCACCCGCGAGCGATAGCAGTGATAGCAGCAGTGATGACACGAACTCAATGACAAACCTGGGGGAGCCTGTTGCCATTTTTACGTGGGACGAGGTCCCCCGCATCGAGCCGCCGATATCAGGATTCTTAGATCCATTCACCCAGTACCCCTCGAAATTCTCGCCAGAAGTGGTGAATCTCTGTGAAAATTACTGTTCGTCCCCCCAATATCTGCAGTCGGGATGGATCAGACTCTATGGAATACTGACCGTACTCATCTAGGTCTGTCGGTGCTGTGGCCGGGCCTTATTCCAAAGTCAATGGGGCATGAGAAAAAAGCGGGCGAGACTTGGTTCCCGCTTGCGCTGTCGGACCCGGCTCTCTTCACGGCATTCATGTTCGGATCGTTATGCCATCAGCGTGTTCAGTGGCTCAAGGGCTGGGTTCCTGGGTCCAGCTTTGGGTCTAACCAGCAGCGCACCCTTCAATTGTGCGAGATGGAGTCGATCAACCTGATTAGTCAGGCCGTGCAGGATCCCACTCGTGCGGTTAGTGACGCCGTGCTTTTGAGTGTCATTTGTATGGCCCATCATCAAGCGTTGGAAGCGAGTCCCGACCAGTATCGGAGAACACCATTTACTCCGCCATTCCAACGCTTACAGTGGCTGGATGTATATGGTCATCTGCCACCGAACATGATTCACGTCTCAGGATTGGTTCAGCTAGTGAAGATGCGGGGGTTAAAGAACATCAAGCTCCACGGCTTGCGTCCGACTATCTGTTTGTAAGTTTTAGCATGCATATTGGGCACTTCGGGTCCACTTACTAACTCTTAATTTCCACAGCTCCGATGTCATGACTGCAAGTTGTCTATGCATCGCCCCATGCTTCGAGTTCTGCGCCATCGACGAGAGTAGAGGTGACAAATCAGTACAAGAACTGCTCGGCTTCGGGCCCTCTGATATTGAGCATAGCTTCGGGTGGCTACAGAACATCGGTGTCACACCTCAAATGGCAGAGGCACTGCAAGCAGCAACCACCTATGTCAACATCATGAAAGGCTGCATGGAAGCCGGGTACGAAGTCTCTTTACTCTCGGATCAGCGCAACCTTGCGCAGTACACACTCCTTTCTGTCCCAGCCGCCGCAGATATACAGAGCGCCTTCTCGCACCCTACCGAGGAAGCCACCTACGAAGCCTGTCGCTTGGCCATGTTGATCTTTTCAGTCGGCGTTGTCTTCCCTATCCCCGCAAATAATACCCCACTGTTGCGTCTGGCGCAGTTGCTCCAGGCTGTTCTGCGCCAGCCGAATGCTTCTGTCCTCTGGTCTTCTCCGAACCATAGCATTCCCCTGATCTGGATCTTGACCCTTGGGGGTATCGCTGCGTTCGATGGTGGCCCCGAAAGGCCGTTCTTTGTATCTGCTCTGCGCGAGACTACCCGGCGCAATGGGCTGTCTTCTTGGGCGGATGTAAAACGTGCCTTGGAAGTGATGCTTTGGTACGATATTGCCTGTGACGAAGCGGGTGAAAGCCTTTTCTCTGAAGCTTCAAGATCTTACATCATGGAGTGAGCGTCTCCTACCTCCATGACCTTGACTGGCTTATCTACACGAAGCCGCTCATCCCTCTCGCTGTCTTGAACCATGGCAAGGCCATGTCTGGCTTGATTCATCGAACGCCGTTTTGAACCTCTCTATTCACAGCGTGTCAAGGGTTATACCCGACGTATACCTACTCTCTGATCCTATTGATCAGCCCTACTACAATCATCTGCCTTTCCTCCACCCTGTCGCCATGAAAAAAAAGCCTCTGCCCTTGAACCTTGAAATGTTTCCGGACTCGGTAAATATTTGGGGTGTCCCCCCCCCGCACCCCCCTTGTTTTTTTTTATTTCGATGAAATATTCCGTGCTGGCCAACAACCGTCCCCGGGGGGAGCTTTCGGCTGGCCAGTTTATGTTAGAGATAATGCATTTATGAACATAAAGTCACATTCGTGTTATGTACGCACTTAACTTATATACCTTCTCTATGTCCTGTATAATTTGCATTCACCTTTGCCTTATCTAGAACCATATGTCCTCTGTACCTGTGCATTGTCATCCCCGGATGATCCGATCAACAGCGGCTGACGCTCCCAATCCCTCGCGGCAACGCCCTGGTGAGCATGGTTCTGGCTACGACTTGTTTCTGCCGTATCGTCGCCAACAATCACGGCATTGTCCTGATCTGCGCTTATAACAGCAGTCTTCCAACTCACGAACCCAACCAGTATAGCCCCAACGACAGCAACCAGCACCGTCAATACAGCATTCACAGGCACAGGATTCCCGCCGAACACTTTCAGCGTGACCGCGTCCAGCCCTGCCTGCGCGAAATTGCCCACCCCAGCTAAACAGATAATCATCCCGTACACCTTGCCGAAAGTCTGGAACCCGAAGACCTTGGCCGCATAGTCCGAGACAGCGGTGTAGTAAAAAGGCCGGTATAACACGAAGAGGACGATGTTCGCGTACGCGGCGGGAATACTTCCCGGTATGCAACCGAGTATCCCGATAATCGTGGCAGTCGAGACCAGGATAGTTAGTACAGTGCGCGTCTTGAATGTATCTAGGAAAGTGCCGATGAAGGGGATCGAGAGTAGACCGCCAATAGGGAGAAGGATGTCGAAGACCCCGTTGATGTTTGCAGCTTTCAGGCGTGAGTTGAGGAGGAAGGTGTACTGTGAGCGGAGGGTGGCGACGAAGTAGTTGATGCGGAGCATCATCAGCACCGTGAAGAGAGTTATTAGGATAAACCAGGGCGTTTGGAGCTGATACAATGCGCTGTGTCCGTGGAGCACACCCCAGACACCGCTGGTGTGGGTGTTGGGTGTGTTTTGGGGTACAGGTTGGGGTTTGGGGGATTGTCCTTGGCGTAGGTGGGAGGGTTGGTCACGCGGTTGGTCTGCCGGGCTGGAAGGAGAGTTGAAGACGGAGTCGTCAATTCCAGCTGCCGAGACCACCGAGACTGTGCCGTCGTCGAGGAGATCCTGGATTTGGCTGACGATGTTCTGGCGATGCTCGCGCCGAACGTTCCGTTGGCGTTCGCGCTCGTCGCGGTCGTGGATTTGATGGTCTACGCGGTCGTGGATTTCGTCGATGACCTGTGCCTCGGCCTGTTGGACCAATTCGCCGGCCGTTTTGTAGGACGTGGCCGGCATGATTGTCAGTTGTACTGCAATGATAAAGATCGGGACCACGAGGTAGGCCAAGAAGAATGTCTGGGTAGAGACGGCGCCATCTGTGTGCTCATTTAGAAGCCGAAATATTAGGAAGAGCGCGCTTGATGCATCAAATGCACCTGTCAGCATTGACAGGATGAGCCCTGATCGAGTAGGAAATGTATTGGACAGCTGGAAGGAAGAAATGAAGACAAATGGCCCGCCCAGTGATAGAAACAGGTACCCTGGGATGTAACCGTCGAAAGGTAACCGGTGGGCTAGCGCAAAAAGGACGGCGCCGACGGCCAGACAGGAACTGCCAATGATACCACTCACCCGGGGACCATATGCATCCAAGATGGTTCCAACTGGCAGAGCTGAGACATTGGTGACGACGGCGGCAATAGTAAACATCAAGTTCAACCTGCCAGGAAAGCATCAGCATATATCCAGAAGCAAATTTCTCATGCTCATACTTAATTTCTTGCCCATAGCAGACGGTGACATCGTTATCAAGCTCCTCCTGGGAGCAGAGATTACGATATACCTTCTCACTAATAAGGACCGGCTTCAACGCCGCAAAGCCAAACACCACGCCCGCGGCAAGGAAGCAGTACACAACTGCCAGACAGACCTGCGCTAAAAAAAGCAGAAGAACATCAGCAACCAGATCTATACACCACCACGGAGCTCACAAGTGGCTCTGCATACCGATTCGCCTCGCAGGGCTCACTTCGAAAGCACCCCTTGTGTCCGTAAACCACAGTGGCTCTTTCTGCTGCACTGCCACAGCAGGAGGTGTCGGGGATGCTAGTCCCCGCTCGTGTTCCGCACGACTGTCCCGCGTTGTCGTGGGGGAGAGGCCCAGGGATCCTAGCAGCGAGGGTCGATCGTCGCGATCGTCGACCGCGCTCTCGCTCCAGCCGGGCCCCGCATACGGATTGAAACTGAGCCTGCTATACATGGATGGGAATGAGGATGCGATGGATGCATCCTCGGGCAGGTCCTGGTACGTGTCGGACTCGGTGTCTGACTGGGCCGAGTCGTCCCCTCGCCCCCGCAGGAAGGCTGCAGCTGGGGTGCGCTCCCATCCCTCGAGGAAGGAGATGCGTGGGAGGGACATGGTGGATTATGGGAGGGAGGAATTGGTATTATACAGTCAGCATCATCATAGTAGAAATAGAGACAGGGTCATTGTATTGAGGTATTGAGAACGAAGCTAGAAGAGATAAGTCGCAGGGCCGAGTGAGGGGAAATCGGCAGGGAAAGCGGATTTCCTGCTTTCGGGGGTCAGGTGACCCCCCGCGCTTGAGTTTGGGGGGTTGATTGCAATTGCATCGTTTGGCTTCTTTCTTTCTATTCCAACTTCCCTCGAGAAGAAGTGAATATCAAATATCAAAGTTCCCAAGTATTCCCCTGTCGCATCGATTGATCTCCCGGAAACTGACTAAATACTGTTCCGAGTTTTGACTTCGGCACATATCGCTGAAAGAGGCAGCTGGAATACTCGGCATCTGAGAATCCCCACATCGATGGACGAACATATACCTGTCTGGCTATTGCTCCGGGAGCATCTTCTTTAACTTTCTGGCTGCAGCAGCCCTTCGGGGAGATTGGCATCGCACCCCCTCCCATTGTGCAAATGCTCGAATCAGAGCGTCGGCTTCAGGTGCGGTGCTCGGGGACTCCTCTCAGCCCGCCAAGATCGACAGGGTTCGACGGGTCTGGAGTACGCCATCCACGGGTCCAGCGAAATTAAACCGAAAGCAAATCGCGGACGGTGCCGAAATTTCCTTTCATATCGCTGCCCCCACATCTTGCGGGATTTGCTGGGCACTACAGTCGATCCCGGCCTCGCCGATCCAGTTGTACGGGACTGAGTGCTATCATCCAGGGGTCCTTTTGAGTTTGGGCATGGCGAGCACCTTCGAGACCGCACAGGACCACAGGAGAGAACCTGGCCGACTAGAGTCAACCGTTCCGCGGCGCCCTGCACCAGGCAGCTCGGTGAGGATGCGGAACACGAATAGTGGATGGAAGCTTCGGCGCTAGTGTTTCCACCGCTAAAGCTTGATGCAGTGCCGCGGTTACTGGAGGCCATGCGCTTGACACAGCCAGCAGCAACGGTACTTCGAATTGGACTGCTGCCAGTTGTCCAACTGACTACGGAGTTAGGATGCATCACTCGGATTTATAACATCTCCGGCACAACAATTCCTAGGAACCTTGCCGCCCCGCAGTCCCATATGATTGGTTCTGGTGCCAGTGGTGCCTGGGCATTGCCAACGCAGTCATGCCCACATAATTCCCGCCGAGGGAAAAAAAAATTTAGAAACACGATGTTGAAAAGGGGTCGCCATTAACATATCACGTAACTACCACCGCCAACCACCACCACTACCACCACACTACGGACGTTTACGGGGGTCATGCAACTCGCTTGTTTTTGCCCCCCTCGGCGCCCGGGTTCCCGAGCCAGCCGCTTGTGTTTCGGCCAGAGCACATCCCAGATCTGGGTGGCTCGGGGAACGATCGGCCTTGATCGGGGGAAAGCAAAACTCTTTGTCCAGGACGCGTGGGGGGAACGTGTGCCGTCCAACCAAATCCAGCAGGAGACTGTCAAACGCCGGGCCAGTGGGGAGCGTTGCACCTGGCGTGATGAAGCTAGGCCACGCCTGCCTGTCGGGGTATGAGTGGCAGCCAATTCGATTTGAAACCCAGTACATCCGAATCCCCACTCACCCGGCACCCTGCTCCTCTCCTTGTCGAGCTAACCCCCAACAACCCAGCGCAACATCTGGTTGTACTCCAAAAAATCTGCGCAATGTCATGATGATCTACCCAATCTTGGCCAGGCCTATTTTTTCTCCCTCTGAATGGCTCCACTCTCTCCGCCTCAACTGTTGATTTAGCCTCGAGTCTCCATCAATTATCTGCATAATAATTCGATAGTTCCTGTGCAGGGCGAGGCTCTTGGATTATATCTATCTAGTGCCCTCGGGTCTGGGATACCGAGTATGTTTTCTTTCTGGAAAATTTCCCAGTTTGTCATTTCTTTCGCCCTTGTCGCTGCGTAATGAGGGGATGGTCAGTCTCCGCCACCGTCTCTATTCTGCATTGTCGAGCAGAGAAAAGCTGACGAAAATAGCCTCACCTGTCGTTTGCGCCATTTGAAATGTACGCCATACCACCACGCGTCTGCAATTACCTTTCTTCAGCAATGCGAATCTAACTCTTCCTAAGGTGATAAATCCGGAGCAAAATGTCTGCGCTGCCAACGATCCGGCCGCGAATGCGTGCCGGCGCCTGGAAAGTCTGAGGAGGTTTCCTTTCGGCATGGTCAGAACCCATCCTTACGAGGAAAGGGGCCCCCGAGGTATGGGGAAAGCGACCTGACTTTCCCCGACGATCAGGTCTGGATGGAATCTTCATCTGAATGTATGTGGCGGTGACCCAGGGAAATTTGTTCCTTCCTTCAAGTTGAAAGGGTGACTTCTGACTTTACCTCAGATTCTTTCAAAGATGAAACCGATCAGACGGCAGCTGAGTATCACGTTGTGTCAGTGACGGGACAATCGGCCTCCAGATCTCCCTCGGAAGCTCGATCCACGCCATCGTCCATTATGGACCCGTCAGTGGCTGGGCCGAGTAACACGGTCCCTCTTTATGTCACAGAAACGCGTGGCTCTCGTTCTACCTCTGCAAACTCACCCCAATCATCCAGTACACCACTGTCCACTCCTCGACTAGCCAACGTTAATGAAGCCTACCTGCTCCGACATTTTCAGCGGCACTTAGCACCATGGGTAAGGACAATTTTCATCAACGATCTGTGAACGTTGCTAACAGGTTAGCTTGATGCCGGTGACCCTGAGCGACACTTTTCAGCGGATGTGGCTGGGAGAGCCAGCCAATCTCCACTCCTTCTCTACGCCTGTCTAGCAGTGTCGGCATGCCATCTATCTCGAACGGCAAATACGATCTCGCCTGATGTAGCGGATAGCTACCATGAGCGCTGTGTCTCGATTATGCTCCCGGTCCTCGACAAACCAGAGTTTGAAATCGGCATCGACATTCTTCTGAGTTCGACCGTGATCCTTCGCTTCTTCGAACAAATTTCCTGTACGCCCTGAAAAAAACCCTCCCCCTCCCAACGTTCAAAGCTCCAGAATGGACCTCACTGACACTCCGTTAAGCCCACACCCCCTCCAACGACCCACAGCGTCATCTCCTCGCAGGCTCGGTATATATCAGTTCACATGTGGATTCAGCGATTTCCGGCGGACTCGCATCAGCCTCCTTCTGGGTCTTCGTGATCCAAGACATCCAGTTCGCGCTTACGTATCAAAAATGTCTTCGCCTAGCCTTCGCACCGTTTGATGACCGCCTGCGGCGGTGGTGGGTTGCCAAGCCGGCCCTAAGCGACGGCGACCGGGTGAACCAGGCGATCTGGATACTTGCCGAGACAATTGATTTCTGTTATAATTCCTCGGGCCGAAACTACGGGGGCCATTTGGGGAGCGCGGGGGAGAATGCCCTGAAACAACGGATCCGAGATTGGGAAGCTGGTCGTTCGGAGACATTTACCCCGTTGCACGTTTCGCCGCCGGATCCGAGGGGTGGAAAGCCCTTCCCTGTGGTTTGGTACACAACTCTATGGCATTGTGAGAGCTTTCGCGTTGTGTGTTTGTCATGTGAAGATGTTGGCTAATTTATTGGTTCTTGGCAGCTACCGCTGTGCAACATCTGTGCCTTGCCAAGGCGCTGATGCTGATTCGTGAAGCCGAAGTATACGACAACAGCATGGAGCAGCGCGCGAGATTAAAGGTATATCTAGCATCTATATATTAGATATCACCCCATCAGTCTAACTAAGCTCCTTTGCAGGAACAAATATCGGAGAACCTGAATTACCTCTTCGGCATTGCCTTTTCCGCAGACGACGAGCCGTCCTTGCGGATCATGGCCTGCCATGCACTATGTGCTTGCAGTGCATGGATAGATGATCCACTCGCCCAGAACTTGTTGTTCGACCTGCTGCGCCGGACGGAAAGAGATAATGGATGGCCGTGGGCATATGTGGAGCAACGCATTCTTCATACGTGGCAGGGAAATTCGCGATAAATATAGTATATACCCCTTTAATATGAGATTAAAAATGATACCACAAAGCGAAAATGACAAAAGAAACGCAGTCTCTGTTGCCTTAGAAGTACCCTTGGCCAACATCACTCCAGTCAAAATCGTTCAAAGGATCTCTCTACTCTCGAGAGTATCCGTTCAAGATGATACTTGAGGGCCGCATTCAAAATCTCTGATCATATCCTTCACCCACCGACGTGCCCACCACACCATCTCCTGTACTTTTGTTTTCCGTTTCCTTACTACTTACTTCGATTCGCTTTTCGGTTTTGCGACGGGAGTTATCCGTATCTTCGCGCTCTTTCAGTGATTCAACTACTTACTCCGGCCTTCAGCGTTTGTGACAGTATCCCGGAAACAGGTCTCAATATTTTCTCTCGCAGCTAACGTTTGATCGAAAATGCTATGACCACTATACTGACTCCGGCCATACACCGGGATGCCGACGTCGAAGTTGGCGATGTCTTCAAGTCTCCTAGCTCGCAATCCCAGCACGGCCTATGCCTCCACCAACCTCTTGAGACTCCCTCCTGAGACTCGTGTATGGCATACTTAGCCAAGATAGGGTGCCTAGGGTCTTGCCATGACTGAGACCGAAGGTCTTTCCATGTCCCGCGCCGCTTCTTTGAGAGCCTTCAGTAATTCTGTTCACATCTTCGTTGCAAAGCCCTTACTGAAATAGCTTTCATACCAGCTCTCTTCACTTCTGGTATAGCGTACCAACTACCAACCCAAGAAGGTACTCTGATACGTCCTGGTGTAATGCCACGAGGAGATGCTTTTGGTTGATCGTAGCCCGTTTGTAAAGTCTTACGGGCTCGTTATCCCGACCTTGCTTGTCGTGGGTGTTTGCAAGCATGTAAAGCAAATCCAGTGTCGAGTTATTCCTTAGCCTCCTTAGCCCAAGGGTCTTTCGCGCCTTTCGGCGGCCCTTGTAGACACAATTACAGCTTCATGTAATTCGTTTGCTATATCTTCCATCGCGCGTGAATAATATCCGATTGCGCCAGTAACCCACTAGACTTTCAGGCTTTGCTGGGGAGGAGCTTTGTTACCTGGATTTTCACTTTGCAGCAGGTGATCTGATGGCCCATTTGTATCATTGGCATCGCCCGAATTGTTCGGTGCAGCGCATTTGAATCAACCGGTTTTGATACTCTATACGGAGTCTCGGACATCTGTTTGAGATCTCGATCCGGTTAAGATCGCCTACAGGAGTCATATTTAAAAGCAACCCTCAACCCAGGCGGTGCACTTGTGTTGAGGTTTTGAGGTTGGGCGCAGGGCTATCTGCCAATCGCATAGATCATCATCCATGCCCACGTAGCACGGCAAATAGATCCAGTACCCTGCCAGGACCTCGAAAGCCAGCTAATGCAGGTGGAGACGTTTTGGAGCGATCTGAGCATATTAATATTTAAATTAAATGAATGGCAAAATCCGGGTTCTTTGGGTGGCTTGTTCATCATCGGAGGGGATTATAGATGAGATAACTAAGTAGCCAAACGCCAAACAAATCGGACAAACAATATACATTGCGGTACCTCCCTCTAAAACTGGAAACTCCCATCAAAGGCCAAGGGAAACGTAAACAGTCCCTCATCCATCATAGTTCCCAGCGTGAACAGGTTATCTGGATCAAAACTAGTCTCGGTGCCCATCTCGGGCAACATGCCCATTGGCTGGGAGAGCGAAATGACCATGTTGGACATATCAGCATATCCCTGCTGGCCAGCACCACTCGAAGATGGCATACCTGCATATGCTTGCGATGGGCCGGGTGATGTAAATGCCGGGTAATATTCAGGACCTGAGTTCCCAGGAACGGGTCCCGAGAAAGGAGGTGTAGAGTGCCAAGTAGTACCTGGTGGAGCGTGTTCGGATGTAGAGGTCGTGCGACTAAGTGGTGTGTCTGCAGTGCCGTAGGCCGAATGTCCTGGTGTATGGCCGGGATCTCGGTTGGATGTTGATGCGGTGTAGACGTTCTCTTGACTGGAGCGGGACAGGTGAGATTGGGAGCCAGTGGATGGGGCACGGTTGGCTGGATCGCCCATTGCAACTTCGCTGAGGAGGTGAAGGGGTGTGGTTCCCGTTTTCCTCTGCACAAATGTGATTAGAAGTCGAATTGGAATGGCAGAAGATGAGACCTACCGACTGCCTGTCACTCGGGATGTCTGTGAGCGTCTCCGTACCAAAGAGCTCTCTCAGCGCAGGTCCATTCTCCTTCTTTTTGATGAACCAATTTCGCAGCATCATCATAATATTCCCAAACTTCGATGCTGCCCTGCCGCCATCAAGCGCCGCAGCGGCACGGTAGTGGGCGATAACCCTCTCCAGGTAATACTCAACCTTGAGGCTATGCGTATCGATCATTTGGCCAATGCGGGAGTCTGATGCCACAAGTAGCGAGTATATTTTAATCAGACTGACCACTGGATAATTTGTCCGGGCAAGTGCCACAGTCGGCAAGCAAATGAGACGATCTGGTTCAATTTTCGTAATCATGTCCAGGGCTTGGTGGATAGAATTGATGCAGGTACTGACTGCGTCAATGAGCGGAGCAGCAATCGAAGTGGGCAGATCTTTATCACGTGAGGTTAGAAGGCCGGCTTCTTTGCAGTCGACACTAATCGCACTTTCATGGACGAAGAGGTTGATGACATGATAAGTATGGGCAAGGGGCGCTAAAAACAGTATTAGAAACCTTCGGCCAGAAAGTCATGATAGGAGTCGAACTTACTGTTAAAGAACTCCTCTGGAATTTCCCTCCTCCACTGGGCCAGTTGGTTTGAAAAAGCCTTGACTGTATACCGCACCTTGCTATCAGCAAAGGAGACCATGTTCTCGGAATCGTCGGCTAGAAGATGTACGCCGGACTCTTCCATTATGAGCCCAAGCTTTGCCCACCAAATAATGCTCTTGTCGGAAGGCAGGGCATCAGGATGGGTTTCCAACGTATGAAGGGACTCGTCCATATATGACTGCCACCTTACGAGATGCACCCTCCGTAACGCCGTAGATACTCTGATAATATTAGCAAATGGCCGCTCGAATGAGCACGTATAGACTTACTGAACCGACATGAAATAACACCCTACCCAGGTGCGCTTTGCCTCGGGGCCATCAAGATCAACAGGTGATCCCACTGGCTTCTTGTTAAGCACTTCTCGTAGCCGAGTGAGGGGCCTATCATCCTGTCCTGTGCGGCGATTTAGCCCAATATCCATGGCGAGGATGACCGCCAAATGGATGAGCTGGTAGAACTTCAATTCTTCAATGTTGTCCGGAGGCGAATACCAAATCACACAAACCAGCAACGTTTGAACAAGCTCAAGGGATTTCTCGGCTCTAACTACCACGCGCTCTGCAATCAGACGGTAGACATCATCGCAAAGCTTGGCTTGAACCTCCTTTTGAAAGGGTGCAATGGCGACAGCGAGGATAGCGAGGAATAAGGCCGGTTTCTCACGCCGCACGGACCCCATTGTTGTCCCAGGTGGAAAAACCACCATGGGCATCTCTGGTGCCATCTTGGTGACATAGCGATCAAATGCTGCCTGGGCTGACTCGACGTCCACCACGCCCCTATCGATCACGTCAACGAATTCATTGTCCACTTTAGGTGGTGCTGAGTCGCCGGCTGCGGGAACACGCCAGTGTTTAGATGGCTGCGGTCGAGGTATCTGCACTGCAGAAGGGCTATTTTGGCGAGGATATTGCGACACGACGAGCCCGTCATGGTGTCGCTTATTCCCTGTCAGATGCGGATCTTCTCGCAGCCACCGCCGACCTGGAAGATCGGGCGAATGTGAAGAACCTTGCTGCGCCGGCTGTGCCATATTAAATGATGCACCGTGCGACGCCTGCAGGGTCGCAGTCAATGCATCGATCTTGTGCTCAAGCTCCGTAACACGGCTATCTGTCTTCTTCTGACGCTTCCGCGTGGGCGCCGTGACAATACACGCGCGCCCAGATTTCGCACATCTCTTGCAGGAGCCATTCGGATGTGTTGGATCCGTATCGCACCGGACCTTGAGTTGACGACATGGTTCGCAGGCGCGGGCCCGTTTGATGTCCCCATGGGAGTCTCCGGGGTCGGTAGAGGTCCTAGCTGGGTGTGACCCCAGACCATAATCGTCCCCACCACGCGGGGACACGCCATAGACGCCGTGCGACACCCGCGAAGGGGGTTCCGGGTATTCGGAACTCATGTTAAATGCCAGTCGGGGGGCGGCAAGTATAAAGACCGATCGTTGATCACCCCGTTTGCCCCAGCGAACCAAAAGCGGACCTGTCGCCGGCGAAGACTACGAGCCGAATTGATCGGCCTGTGGACCACTCCCTGCGAAATGTTAGCATTCCAAGCCCCTTCCCCTTAGACCCCTTGAACCGACCCCTTTTCGGAAAGGAATATCTCTTCAACGTACTCGTTCTGGCCCCAATGCAGGGTTTTTGTTTGCCCCTCGCGGAAGAAGATAGGACGGAGAACGGTGGATGCAAGCACCGACCGCCGACTCAGAGACTCGCGCAAGTCGCACGGCGATATAAGTGGGTGCAGGGTTCGTTGGCGCTCGCTAGATGAGCCCCAAGTGGAGACAATCAAGTGGCCTCGTTTACCTTGGAAAGAAGCGGGTCTTGCATGATAAAAATTGTCGAGTTCACGAACTTGCCGCGCTGTTTTGGCGTCGAACGATGGCCCCCACAGGGTGCGTGCACGTGACCACGCCCACCTGACGAACGATGAGCAGCAGTTACTGTCTGATTTGATTGTGCCTATATTGTTCAAGTGGAAACAGGCTGTCGTTCAACTCGCAGGAGGAGTATACTAATTGTTTTCTTCAAATGAGCTATACCAAGGGAGGCAATGAGATCGTGCAGGCTAGAGAGCTGCACCATGATGGATAAGCTGACACCCTGATTATACCGTGCTATCAAGGGTTTACTATACACGGTTGCCACGCAATGGAACAGGCTTATGAATATCGTGTTCTCATTTCCCCGTAACATGGGGACATCTATAGGGGGAGGAAGCTAACGACTCAAACATCTGACATCCCCCTATACATCGCCGTGAAAATAAAAGAGAAGGGGTTGCACAAACCCGTTATTTCCTTCGACCAAAAGCTTTCCCGCTCCGTCTGACAGGCAGCATACCACCAGGTTGGTGGGCCTAAGATACCTTGTGCACAGGGCACTCCATCTTCCGCTCGAACCAGTCAACAATGCATGCCTTGTGGAACCTGCAGAGACACTCGAGGCGAGCCAGGCTCTGCCCGACTTCGTAGTCCTCCATGCAGATCGTACACTCGGCCACACACCCATCTTCGCCGAGGCAGTCCTTCTCGGTCGCCTTGAACTCAAGCATGCGGGCGGCTACCGGCGGCGGTGGCAGTCGGGCATCCGCATGCTGGGGCTCGCGCTGAGAAGGTGAGGCGCCGTAGCTGGCGATGCAACGTCGGACATGCTCTTCGCGGGCTTCCATCGGCTGGTCATCGCTAAGCGCTGGGAATCGCCTTCCACAAACGGGGCAAAGGTCTCGTTCACAGACGGCTGAGCGAGACGCGCTAGGTATTGATGAGCGGAAGCTGTCGACTCTGGCGAATGTGTCGGCAAACGCGGCTGCATGAACCATGTGGCTTTGGTCCTGTTCGTTGTAGTCGAAGTTTGCCATGGCATCGTGGGCGGATCGGTGGGCTTGCTGGCCAAATTCCGGTAGAAACGAGGGTCGGTCGTTGGCTCCGACCGTCCGTCGCTCCTGGCGAGAGGAGGCATGCACTCGCTGCAATGGAAAAATATTGTATTAGTCCAAAACTCCATGATATAGTAAATGTAGCAGCAAAGGAACGAAGGGCCAGGCGGAAACTTACCGCTGTGGTGGAATAAGCCGATCCCATGGTAGACGACAGCGACTGGGTAGATCGATGGCCTTGGGCGCGAGGAGAACCATAGCCCAGAGGATTGGGATTCGGGTCAGGTACACAAGGATTGCATAGGCGTACTTCTTCACCACCTCCGAGGGCAGGGTTGATAATGGAATTGAACGAAACGGGACCGTCTCCAGGTAGGTCGATAACGGGTGTCAGAGATACAGGAATTGGCGAGGACGTAGGCAGAGAGGTGAGTGATTCGGGTGGGCGAACAATGTACTGCCTTGGGATGGTAATCCGGTGAGGCGAGCACGAAGCACACACCACCCTTCCACACTTCCTGCAATGGTGCTTCCTGTACCAAAAACTGAAAACAGTCCCACAAATCGGACAGCTCGTTACTTCTGCGTCGGGTTGCCATCTCGGCATGTCGACATCTTGATATTCTGGATATCCTCCATATCCTCCTTCGTCTTCGCCGGCCCCCGATTGAGGATCGTTGCGGTGGCTCCCGAATGAGACTCGCCTCGCATGCATGTTTCTATCAACTATCCCGCCCTCTCGTCCCCATCTCGCGGTTCTTTCGAAAGAGGCCCCCTCGCTATTTCCCACGGATGTCCGTGAGGACACAGACCGTTGAAGGCGGTTCTCACCTTCATGGGTACCATTCCACGAAGTTCCGCTGTGATCTAAGGATCTCGACACGGAAGGTCGGCTGCTGAGTGCTATATGGCCCACGTGGGATCTCCGCCTTGGCCCCCTTTCAAAATCATTTCCGACGTTCCTTTCTCGTCGGTGCTGCGAGGCTTGGGTGTGGTCGGTGTGTTGTGAATAGATGGATGCCCTGGCCTGTGGCTGGCAAAGTTCACCTTCACTAGGGCTGCCGGTTGAGGCTTGAGAGCTCGGTCCAGTCCATGGTTCCCATGGAAATGGACGGCTGACCTGATTCTCTTTTGGGTATGTCACAGTATCCGCGCCAGCTTCCGATGGAGAGTGCCATGTCTGACGGCGGGTTCTATCGTCAGCTCTCCTAGGCTGATGTGACAGTGATGAAATGCCACTAGACAGCGGGACATTTCTTGGAACTCCATGATCAGCAGACAAACGGTGGTCAATAGGGTGATTATGCGGTGATGAACTGGTTTCTATTGCCGCTTCATATGATGACCCCGACATCTTCGGGGCGGCAGTTCGCGAAGTTGGCACAACCATGGATACCGATCGATGAGGCAATGCAACCTGTACATTGGCCTCACGCTGGATTGCTCCACCAGAGCGAGTTCTCTGGAGTGAGGAGGTATTGCCGTTGTTTGTCACCCGGCGCTTGCGATCCTGTGAATGTGAATGGTTTGTCGAATTGGCTTGCAAAGAACCAAGCATGGGACTATTGTCTGATGAAGTCGCCATGATGTCCAACATGGAACCAGCCGATGTTTCACCAATGCGTATATTCTCTATCGAAGAAGTCGGTGTTTGTACGGCTTTTCCGCTTACCGGGCGGACAGGTAGCCGCGTCAGAGTTTCGCTTTCTCCAACATTTGGCCCAGCATACTGTTCAGCAATCTGTCCAGCATCGACTGCTCTGATGAGTTGCTCCTCGGGCCGGGGCCGGCCCGTCATGGAATTATCTGAAGATGCAGCGCTGGAGCCGGACATCATCAAGTCTTGTTGATTATCTTGTTGATCCAGGAGCAGTCTATGGAGTGCGAAGCGTGGGCAGCAGGACCAGCCTTAGCCAGCAAGGGCGTTGATCGTCATGGGATTTGCAGGCAGTGTCATTCGATGCAAGGTACTCAGGCACGGTCGACCAAAGCCGGCTTTGTCAGGGGCTGTGAAGGAGTTGTCGATAGGGGTGACGCTAGTGGGGGGCCTGGATGCTCGAAAAAAATATGGCCCAGGCAATTATACCCTAGCTGCTGGCTAGATAAAAATTACTCCTTGTCAGCTATTTATCAGAAATGATAGCAGCCAGAGAGTGTTTTCATCGTTATCTGAAGCGATAATAACCGACGTTCAACGGATGAAGCTCTTACCAAGGACAAGCGGCCTTTGTCTTGTTGAACCAAATACCACCACACAGATCCTTGGGGCAGGCTGTTGGGCACTTGCACTATCGCAACCGTGGGCAGGCAGGTGCCGGCCTATCTCACAGAATCACGCCAAGAGCTTCGCAATCACGGCCACGAAACAGGCAGCCGAGAGTCTCGTGACACAGTGTCCAACTGCGCAAGCTCCCGAAAACCAAATGAATGGGCAGGATAATAGCCTAATAAGCAAACAAGACACAGCGACTTTGCCACCGATCAGAAAATTGAGCGTGGACTTCACGCAACGCGGAAAGGAGACTGTTGACGAGGTGGGAGAGAGGTTTAAGCGCAGGAGCGATCGCCCTTATCAGTGGGGCCGGCGGGTGGGTAGGGCGGTGAGGACCCGGCAGAATTAAGCCGAAGTTCGCCACCGGCCAGTTCGGCCCGTTAAGCCCATACACCATCACCCGCTCTCACCCAACTTCTCACCCTCAGCCGCGCGACTGCAGTGCAGAGATCGGGTTTGACCCCACAAGGCTAGGCTAACCGACTAAACCAACTTGAAACAAATTATCTGTTCTGGAAAATGGTTTGTAAGTAGCGTGTGCATTGTCTTCATCCTTAAAATCCTCGAATTACAGAAGCTCCCATATGACTAGATACCCAGAGAGCTACCTTGGTCGGTCCCTCTGGCTGGTGATCTGGAAATACTTTGTGCTTACAGCAATGGTTGGGGAACAGAGTCACGGTTTTTTCTTTTGCGAGAGACATTGACCAGGGAGCTTGGGTGCTTCGTAAAAGGGATTCAGGGCTGACATATCTTCTTCAGAAGTTCATCCATAGTTGTATTCAGCGTGAGATAGCAAGTCTACAGTACCGAAGGGCCTCGGCTATGAACATCATGAGATGATGGAGAGCGTCATTGTGAGAATGGAATGACTTCGTGTTTGTATTTTTAAGACCCCAATGCTTTGCGCGTTTATAATGGTCATTGAACTTACACAAAATATATTGTGTGAATTAGAAAGGCACCTATTAACGAGAAGAAAACTTCGACAAGTAGACTCGCTGGAATTTTCAATCTACCTTATATCAACCTCTATCTTAGGGCCTAAGATAAGCTCAGCTCAACAGTGCTCCTGAAATGCCTGAGGATTTTCGCAGCAGCCATATGCCCGTTCCGCTCTGCGAGGTCTACAGCCTTATGATAATGGCGCTCAGCATCTCCGACAACCAACGGCCCTTTATCAAGAAGCATGTGCAGCATATCAATGCGACCGTACTCTGCCGCACCTTGCAAGGCTGTTCGCCCATTAAGCTTCGCAGGACCTTCATTCACGTCCGCACCTAGATCAAGCATTCTCTGTGCGATGCCGATATACCCACGAAGGGATGCAATCTGCAAAGCGGTCGCGCCACCATCCTCGGCAGGAGCTCCATCGGCTCGAGCTCCGCGTTTCAAAAGCATATTGACCAGCTCCATATTGCCGTTCTCAACAGCATGTTGCAAAGGTGTTCGGCGACGGGCGCCGTTTCCCAAGAAATTGACATCCGCGCTCTTTGCTAATTCAGTCGCAACTTTGATGTGCTGGTGCTTGACTGCAGCTTGAAGCGGGGTATAGGTGTCTTTGTTTCCACTCACCGTCCCAAAATCGTCGGAATCATGGTAGGAAATCGTGATCTCTTGCGCAACATCAGGGCAGAATTTCATCAGAATATCCAACAGCTGTTGCTCTTCAAGAAGAATGGCGAGTGTCAGAGCGCGGCCAACAAGATCTGCACTCCAGGGAATCCATTCAAGTAGAGAGAGCAAACCCTCCTTGTTTCCCATCACGACCCCAAGCTCAAGAACCGACTCAGGAGATGGAATTTCAAAATCACATTCATCCAGCTGAAAATAAGAGGATTCGAGTTGGGGTGTACCTCTGGGGTCCACATTCGCCTCTTGGAACAGCCCCAGCGGGTGTCCATAAACGATTGCGGCCCCTACAGCACTTGGAGCGCTTTCATGGAAACCAGCCAGAAGGCGTCGCTGGAACCTGGCATCAAAGTGTGACGGTCTCATAGCTCCTGCTAGAACACCATCCGTGACTTTTGCGCCTCGATCCAAGAGAACTTCCGCGAGTCGTAGATTTCCTTGCTCTATCGCAGCCTCTAATGGACTTTGCTCCACAGAGGAATTGTCTTCTCTCCCGAGCTGGTCTCCAAGATCAGCATCATGATCAAGCAGATATTGGGCTAAGTCGAGTTGGCGATAGGTGATAGCGGCGGCCAAAATCCTGCTTCCAGAAACAATTAGCAGATTTCGCAGAACTCCATTTCCCTGTAGGAACTGTGCAGTTTCTAGATTTCCTATCTTCCGGATTTTCATCCCAATCAGTCGAGCACCGGCTGTTAACAGCATGTGGATTGATGTCATGTCTCCCATTTCGATGGCTGCGCCAAGAACAGAACCAGGAGGCTTCGTGTAATAATCATTGAGACGTGCATGTGCGGCAATGAAGAGCGCAACGATTTCCGTCGAACCACTCATTAAAGCAACGAGAAGTGCCGAAGACTCATTCGCAGAACTGGCATTTTCGCCATTAAGCTTGGCTCCGTAAGCCAGCAAAGCTTCACAATAAGCTAGATTTTTCTTGCTGGCTGCTCGTTCAAGTAGAGTCTTGTCTGATCCCTCATCAATAGCCTTCACATCCACTCCCTCCTGCAGCAAGAAAATGACGATATCGATTCTTCCCACTTCGACAGCCAATGTAAGGGGGGAGATAAAGGGAAAGCCATCGAAGTCAGGGTTGATGTCAACGCCGTGATCCAGTAATGATCGTATGACTTCAAGCTTTCTAGTTAGCACCCCAAGCCCTAATATTGTTGTAGTGGCAGTATCTTGTTCGAATTCGATAGCGACTAGCTCATCCATCTTTGCACCTTTCGCTAGCAGAAGCTGAATCATTGGGACATTCCCAATCTGCACGGCTTCCGCAAGAGCACTGTGGTCCTGCAATCCTGCTCGTGCATTCACATCGTAGCAAGAATCGACTATCTCTTCAAAGGCTTCAAAGGTATCCAACCTCGTTGCGGCAGAAAGGCATGCTGGCGTTACCACGGCGCGCTGCAATAAAAGCTTGTCCATGCATATGGTGTTGTTTGCTTGAATTGCGTAAAACAATGGGGGATATTCATCGACGGATGGATTTACGTCGGCTCCATGGGCTACCAAAAGGTCGACCAATTCGGCACCATCATCATCTGCAAGACTTGCGGCAAACTGCAGGGGCGTCAACATGCCGTATTCGACCGTTTCAATTTTTCCATTTGGATCCATCTGAGCCTCTAGCATCATTCTCACTGTCTCCAAATCTTTAAGTCTCAGTGAACTTGCGAAGACCTTCTCCGCAATAGCTTCGGCTGATGGCTCGTGTGTTGATAACAAGATCCTGAGATGTTTCGAATCACCCCAACTAGAATCCTTAAGCATCTTCATCACTCGCTCATCTTCGGATCTCATCCCCCTTGTAGATCGCCCTTCACGGGCATGCGGGATCAGGTTGTTGGAGAGAAGGAACAGTTCCACAGCCAGAAGATCTTTTCCACTGTTCCTAGAGCTGCTCAATTTCGATGATAAACTCTGATGCTGCCCCTTGAACTGCTCAGGCATCAGAATTGTCAATGCAGCTGCTGTTTTGGAACTGCTTTGTATGCTAGGAGGGCTGTTCAGTCTTCCCCAGGGTATAATGGAGCTTAATCGCTGGAGCAATTCTCTGTTGACGGCTCGATACATTGCATAAGACTTTCCAGGTGATGATATAGCAAGAGACGAGGATGGAGATGGGGCAGGAAAAGTCGATGAAGGAGAGGACACAACGAGAGGCGAGGGCGAGTTTGGACCTTTTATGAGGTAAGCAATATTAAAATCAAAACGAATAGTCTCCAATGATACCTTGCGCATGCGGAGGGTGTAGAAGCTGGAGGAATCGCAGCCACGGAAGTGGCGTATTCCAATTGAGACGCATTCCTGGTGATGCTGGGGTCCATACTAGAACACCTTCTGGGGTCTCCGGTGACGGCGCTTGAGATCAATCAGCTCACTGTCTTGAAGAGGGTTGAAGAGGGCAGATCCCCATCTCACCGTTCGAAATCAGGTCTCTGGTTGGCACATAGGCTTCCCGGTACAATTTCTTCCTAACATTTTCAGGCTGAACTTGCTCCCCTCGAATATGAATTTCACTTTCTTTTTTATCATCCCGCTTTCTTTTCAAGATTTTTCTCCCAATATACGGCCATTCCTCCGGGCGAGTGATGAGGTTCTTTTCAATTCCCCAGGCGTCGAGCAGTCTATTCAATTTTGCCCGGCTACGAGTTTGTAAGCTGAAGATGTTGGCCATTCGTCGCGACTTGTAAGACTTACGATGTCACCATTGAGTACTTGGTTGCCATGTACTCCAGGACAGCGGATAGAGGCTTGCTCTCGTAAACATAAAGTCGCTCAATTTCTGGCCTGAAAGCATCCCATTCTGAGTCCGCCATGATTTGATGTGGTAAACAACGCCTGTGTGAGAACTTGAAAAATTGGGGCTTGAACGCCGGAAAGCTCCATCTTAAGGAAAAGCAGAGTCGACGTACCCTGACTCTGCCACAGTAGGCGGCATCTCTCATTGGCTCTTTCACAAGATTCACGGACAGGGTTTGAATTAGGTGTGAGACGACCTGTCCCGCAGATCTTGCACCTTAAATTCTGGATTTTCAGTGGTTGCTCACGAGCTGATATCTGGAGTAGCAGGGTCTGGAACAGCTGCTGTCACACTCGCACCCCTTTCTTTGCTTCATTGCACCCTCTCACTGGTCAATTCACGAATTTCACGCCAATGGCGAGCTCCACTGTCACCAGGGGCACGACGCGGGCCCCAGCATGGATCATCCCAACCTGATCACCTATCCACAACAAGGCTCTCTGTCCACTGGAGTCGGAATAACGCCTAGTATATGGGATATAAGATCGCTTGTCTGCCCCAGATGAAATAGACCCTTTCTCTAGGTATTCCTCTGTATCCCTTCATCAAGTATCGCCTTTACCAACCCTTGCTCCTCGGCCTTCGAGACACGCGGTGCCTTGGCTCACGATGGCATGGTCCGTTGACTCAACGGGATTGGAAGCGGACCATACCCATACCCACGCATACGACGTGGTAGACACTTCCCTGCAGAACTCGGGCCGGCAATTCAGCTGGGCAGCATCTACAGGGGTACGGATAAGCCCTGCTGGTGTATCTTCCGCCTCGTACCTCGTACCCAATGGCAGTGATGCTTCACTGCCAGAAATGCACCTGGAAGCTTCACAATTGAGCCTTGCCACGTCACCTTGCGTCCACCACTCACACGAAAACGAGGCTTCATGGGAACAGTTTCACGCACCCTCGTATTGGAACCTTGGCAGTTCACCTTCTGCCCGCCATGCAAATCAGAATGAGGATGCCTTTGCGACTATGAATAATTCGACCCGACGTGAACGCTTTTCCCTCAATTCATCCGTGCGAGTCCCTAGTGACGTTACAAACACGGCGGCCAATCACGCATGGAACCCTCCAGATATCCGACTGGCTCAAAAGAATGACCAACCTTATGTGTAAGTGACTTTCCAGCCACTTCCAGACCCTAAAGTAGACCATTCGATTAGGCTAAGACTACACAGTTCCAATTTACAAAGCGATATGTCTACCCCACAGACATTTTGGTGCAAATGGGAAGGCTGCCAGTACAAAGGTTCTTTTGGAAGGGAATCTTCACTTGTTCGCCACGTCCGTAAAATCCACATAGCTCCTCATGGACATCCCTGCCAAATGGTAAACTGTGAGAAGGTGTTTAATCGGGCGGATAACCTTGAGCAGCACATGCGCAACAATCACAGATTGAACTAGAGATGTCGTGGGTTTTCTTGGCTATTTAAAGCACTATGCTAGCTATTATTTCAGGTTGTGTTAGTTTCGTTCTAAATGAACACGCTTTTCATTGACATCTCATCTCCTTCGTATGTAAGAGGGTTGGGAACTATCATCGGGTTGATAGCGAAACTGCTCGTCGCTGAGATTGTGGGGCTTCTAAGCTGGTTCCTTCATATCAGCGCATATCGAGTCTAAAATATCTGTTTTGATGGCTATGGAATAAAGAAAAGACAGTTCAAACGGAAGTTATATCATAAGTCTGCAAAATAAGTTTTATAAGCACACACAGAGCCCGAAGTCCTCGGTTTGCCTATCCCTAGGTACACGTTACGAGTCGCGAAAGCTTCGTACTTGTTTTCACCCGGACGCACGTATCTGACCCTCGCTGTTCGCTGCAAGGCGCACACTGGCCACTTTTGCTAAAATTTAGCACCCTACACCCGGGCGCATGTATCTGACCGCCACTTACACACCCTTGAAGACAGTGACATCCTCTCTAAGGTGTATTTCAGACACGTCTCGCCAAAGCCGTGTACCCTATTTTCGCTTGGATAAGCATATCTCACCGCTACTTACATATCAATCCAGGCAGTCAGATTGCTGTCAATCGTGTCGGGCAACAGTGCCTACCAGGCTACCCGCCCGGTCGGGATTTTCTTGAGGCTCTTGACTGCAAGAGAGACAAGTCTATATATAATTTATGTGATAGGTCGCATGGCTACGTACAAAATCGAGAAGCCACCACCGTTTGAATTCATCACGAGGTTCCGAGAAATTATGGTACAGAGTACTAGAAGCAGTGGTTTACGTGTGTGGTAGACGGGTATTAAAACACAGCCGCCATCGCAGCCAAACACATCTGGTATCCATTAATTTGCACGAGAGCCAGATCCAGCCATCCAAGTACCAGAATCACATCGCACCAGTCGGTCCCAGGTAGGTGGGCTGGGCGGGCGAGTAGGTAGGTACTGAAAATTATACGCGAAAATATTAAGTAGAAAGTAGCCAGGGAGAACGCCTCGCAACAATTTTGGGGGAGACGTGTTAAATCAAGGTGAGGCTCAAGGCCCGAGGTTCAATCACAGTCACAAAAGCGGAGAAAAGGACAAGAGAGAATAGAAGGCAAGACAAGAAGTGCAGAACAGGAAGAAAGAAAATTCGTGTCTGGGGCATCAAGAAGTCCAAGCCGCCTGAATGTGGAATACAATAGGGTGGGAAGGGTGCTATGTGAGTTGAGGAGTTGAAGAGGGCAAGTATGGATTTGTAGAATAGTGTTTTGCATGTACACACTAGGTTTAGTTGTTTTAGAGAGGTTTTTGGTGGCCACTGTGAGCGTGTTCGTCGACTAGTTCGGCTGCACTGCCGGTGAAGGAGGGCTCGTCGGGACTGGCTTCGTGGATGTTGTCGCGTGTGCGATGCTGCGCGACATACCCCATGCTCGATGGGCGCTCGGTGCGAGTGCCATCGCGGTTGGTGTTGTGACTAGATGCCATGGAGCCGGAGGTTGATGCTACCGACAGGCCCCGTTCGCGGGATGCCGAGCTACTACTGCTGAAAGGAAGTCGTGCGGTGGTGGGGGAAGAGGCCTGGAGATGCTGATCCGAGTGAGATCGAACGCTTTTTGATGGGGGAGAGGAGGCCTCGGTGACAGCGGACAAGGCCTGCGCAACTTGCTCCGTGCCGTACTCAGATGCTGCCTGTGTGCGACGAGATCCGACACGGCTGGGTAGCTCGATGCCGCCGACGGTATTTACCTCAGGCAGGACCGGAGCCCCTTGGGCATCGCTGGACTGCCGAGGTTCCCGCTCGACCCCATGTTCGCCGTGATCGCCTTCAGAATCACGATAGGGAGCTTCGCCGGCGGACACATTGCGAGAGTGAGCCGCAGCACCAGCCGCAATATCCTCCGGGTCATCGTGATATGGCTCGTTGTAGTCGGCCTCCGGGAAAAGCCCCGGAGGAGGCGCCCTGGCACTCCGGACAACCTCGAAGCCCTTGCCCTTATCCTTGGTCTTTCCCTGGAATACGTTGCGGAACCAGCCTGTCGCAGAGGAAACGGGCCCTGTAGGATCGGCAGGTCCAGTCTTCAACTTGCGGGTACCGGTATGCGAGAGCGGAGGCCCACGAACGCGGTAGTAGAAGTCGACTTCACGAACGGCATAGTCCTTTCCTTGTCCCGTGTCGTCCATCTCCATATCATCCTTCGGTGCTGGTAGATAAGCAGGGACAGGCGTGCCACGACCAGACATCGGGGCCATATCGCCGATGTGCTCTTCATCATGTCTGCGATTGCCCTTCAAGAACGACCTCGAGCTCCTCTTGCCCCGGTCGAAGGAGTCACCTTGCGAGGTCCGTCGACCAGGCCTAGGCGGCCGATAGTATGGATCCCGCGGGTGTGCAGCAATGAACGTGCTACTATTCGGCGATCCGCTGGAATACCCACCAGCACCTGTGTAAGCGGTAGGAGAATTCGTATATAGATTACCACTTGGGGCACGACTGTGTGAGCCACCACCCTGGGAGCTGGCATAATCCAGGATTGCACTGGCGCGCCCCTCACTGGCTGTCGCACGGTTCAGTAGGAGCCCAGAGCTGCCGGACAAGCTGCGAGGCCGTGAGCCTTCAAACTGGGAGGACAGTCGGTCATCAGCATGTGCCAACATCGCCGCCTCCGAGCCCATGCTTTGCCGGGCGAGATCCTGGCGCGGCACACGCCTTGACAGCTGCCGCATGCCAAAGACCTTCACCAGACCACCACGGGTGGCGCCACCGGCACCCGCGAGTCGTGCCAGGACCTCGATCAGCGTCTGCAGGGCATTGAGGAAGAATCCAAAGACGAGAACTAAGGCGTGCAGGAGGAGGATCACATAGCCGATCCAACCCCGTGCGGTAGAGGACACGGTGAGAGAGGGGACGAAGACCACGCTGAGAAGGATGGTAAGGAATCGGATGCATGAGAAAATGCTGTGGTACAGATTCATATGCGTGGGCGAAGGGAAGGGCCGGAAGGCTATCAGCGTCAGGACGGAAACGACCTCGCAGATGGCTAGCATGACGACCTGGGCGATGCCTGATGGCTGAAGAGCTCCGATGGCAACACCGCGAGCAAAGTTGAGGAATATGGGAATCATAGCGAAGGCGGCGGCATCGTCGCAGTAGGTGTTATAGAGAGGTCCATACAAAAGGACAGTCGGGAGGTCGTCGAAGAGATGGGATTTCGGCCGAGTGGACACGATCACGCGAATAAGCCAGATGGAGAAGCAAATGACAATAATGATGACCACGGCCGCCAAAGCAACGCTGTAAGCGGGCGAGCCTTTGGCAATGACAAGTTGGAAGAAGGAGAGAGAAACGATGGGCAGAAGAAGGTAGTTGAAGACGATGCGAATGACGTTGCCAACGGTAAAGGGCATATTCTTGGCGCGCAGGTCCTGCTCCGTGTTGTGTGCGAGTTCGCGGTGAAGCCAGCGCAGCCCAAAGCCAGCCTGACAGAGGACTGTTATGATGGCCAAGATGACCACCGTCCATACCATCATGCCCGGCCAGATATCGCGGGTGGTGGCCATGCCTACCAGCTGGTTCATTCGGTCCAGCCCATATGTGCCATTGATTGCATAGACACCATCCACAACGGGATTATTGCCGCCGTCCGGATGAACAAAGCTCTGGTTGAACATCAGGACCGACCAGGAGCCGTGACTGACTGCAGGCTGAAAAAAACCAGGGTAATCCAATGACAGTGACCCAGTCAAGACGACGAATTGGAGGTACTGCAGACAATCCGCAAACCCCGGAGTCACTAATCGCAGCACGTCCTCGTCGCGGCCGTAATTGCTCGTCCACCGGAAGATATCTGTTGTTCCCCAAGGGCTGTAAATCGCCGCCGTCACGGTGGCAATCCCAACCAACAGCAGGATCACCAGGGGCACATAAGTCAAGGCATCCTTGAGGGGCGAGCCCAAGTCTGGTGTAATGGCGACCGTGATGCAACCAAGCTCGGCCGCCGACGCGTCGCCAGATCGGATGGTAAACGTCGGTGTGATGGTGGAAAAGCGATACGTCGAGGCCATATCATGTTGAACTGAGAAAGCCCGCAGGGTGCTCAAATCACTCCTGGAAAAAAGAAACACAGTTCACGTTAGCTTAGGCCGAAGGAGTAGCTGGTCTGCCACAAAATTTGGACTCACAAGTTATAATTGAAGACGGGGCCCAGCGGGCATTCGCCCTGTGACAGCGATTGGCAGAAGCGCGACGCATTGCTGAAGGCCGAGAAGCCCAGCACATCAAATGAGGTAATCAGCGTGCTGTACTTGTTGTTGCTGCTGCTCAAATCCACGATCTTCCCCTCGGTCGAGCTCTGATTAGTCCACGACGAATCTGTCCACGCGGGAGCCGTAGAGCCGTCGGCCGTGCCCGACACATTTCCATAGACCGTGACATTCAGCGGCTGTAAAGGGTTGGACAGGTTGAACGTGACGGCGACGTCGAGCGGGATGTATTGCAGCTGTGGCGGGTTAGATTCGAGGATCGTCTTGCTCAGGCAGTTGTCGAAAGTCAGCAGCGCTGCTGTGGCCGGCGAGGCCCACGATAGAACCAAACACATCAGGGCCACCCACCAGGTGGAGGCGGAGCTCCATCGATGACGGGGTGCCCATCCCCGCCGACGTTTGGAGGTATCTCGCCATCGACGGCCCTGGGACATGGACAGCTGCCCGCGCCGCGAGCACTTGGTTGCATCTGGACCCGACAGACCTGCCCCAGCTGCCTTCCGCATGGTGCGCGTCGAGCCGTGACACATCTCGCCTGTCTCAGACATACGGGATGACCTCCAAGGGGGAGGTCAACCCCCGGTGTGGGTAATCGAATCCACGTTGTGTTGACGATGGGGGTGCCAGGGATCTCGCGGTCCACCTGCGCGCGTCCTCCCAGGATGGACCGGGCTGAAGGGGGGGGGTGTAGGGCTCCGTCGAAATGCCGGTCGGGGGATGATTGACAGGACGGGATGTTGATGTTGGTGGCTGTGGGTTGGGGTTTCGGAAGAGTGTATAGGGGGGTTTTGTTGGTGAAGGGAGAACCGGGGATCGGTTCCGCAAGGTTGGATGGATTGGAGGGAGGGGAGAGTTCGGAGTGAGGATTGCGAACGCTGGGTACGTAAGTCGGCAGCGACTCCTCCCTAGTGATGCTAAAAGGCTAGGCAACGGCAGTCCCGGGCCCTGCAGAATTCAGGTCGGCAAAAAGAAAAAGAAAAGTTGTGCAGCACGCAGCTCACGGCCCGCCAGCTCAGAAAAGTGGACTGATGGCCTTTGTTGTCGCTGCGCCTTGTTGGGTCTGGCCCTGTGGAGATCCGAGGAAGAGTTTGGGACGTGCAGAGGATGTGACTAACACTTGTTGAGGATGCACACAACTCCTACTGAATCATGAGAGTTCGCTTGGGAAGGATCATCATTCAGGAATAGCTTCCTATGCTTCTAATGATCTACGAGCTAGAAAGGTTCATCCCCCTGTTGTTCATGGTTCACGGTTCACGGTTCTATAGTCCAGCGGGACAGCGCAGCCTCAGGCCGAAAATAGTCATCGACGAGCCTCAGCTGAGCCTTGACTTGTCTCCTTCGTGTTTAACCTGATATTGCCCAATATACCGAAGCCAATCGCCCCTTTTCAGTCCTCAATCATTCTACGCGTGTAGCGCCGAGTCTGGCCGGAGAAAAAGCACCTTTCGGTGTTCCCGCTGGATCTGTTTCAGTCGATCCCATCAGCTACCGAACCCGGTCCAACGATTGTCTCACCCGCTGCTGATCCTCTCCCACACGCTCCAGGAACGGAGTTATACGATGTAGGTACGGAGTTCTCTGTTCTTGAGAGACATAGGGAAGGGTTTGCTCTCCCTCGTGCTGGCCCAGCATGGCGTCTGCGGCCCAGCAGAAATAGCCCGCAATCTCGATACAGGCGTTTTCCTCGCGAGGTCACTGGCCCTGTCTCAGGTGGTCTGTGGGGAGCAGCACCGTAGCTATATCCCTGGCGGCTGGTCACGCTAGCTTGGCCTTCGATGGGCCAATGGCAGGCTTGTGCTGGGTCATGATAGTCGTGATAGTCATGATAGTCGTGATGGTCGGGATAGTCGGGATGGTCGGGATTTCCCTGATAGTTCGGCCTGAGAGCTACCCTCGACGCTGCAGGGAGCGGAGTCCGGACCAGGCCGGAGAGACACTCTCGTGGGTGATCTGACGACTGGGTGACATGGGCAGGTGGGCAAACCCGATGCTATCGCGCGATAATGCCAACCTGCCTTAGTCCCCTAAATGTCTTGGCAAAAGAGAGAGGGTGTGTATAGGTATGTATGTAAATAAAATACGGAGTACTCCAGGGTCCTGGGGAATGAGAGCAGTGCCTGGCCAATGATCTGCTAAAACATCTGATGGCTCTCAGGAAACAATTGAAAGGTCCTGGGGAAATGAAAATGTAGATTCCACCGGCACACAGGTCTTTGGACAGGGCGGTCTGAGGTAGCCTTTGGGGATGGTTTGAGGAAATGACCGAAGTAATCTGGCTCGCCAGTGTACTCGCTCCCAGGTAGAATGGTGGACGGCCTAAGCTTCGTTGGTATGAGGCAAGGGCTGCGTCGGCACGCTGTATTCACCACCGTGTCTTATCTGTGCCTCGTGGGTGTTGGTATGAAGCCCAACTTCACAGTATTGCCATATTGCCATGTTGAAGCCTACCCAGAGTACGAACTTACTCGCCAGAGTCCTTGCTACGAACTAGTATCTTCTCCACTCCACACATCAAGGTGAAGCATGGTCAAAGTGATACACCACTTTCCCTCGCCCCCCAGGGGAAAGAAGCAAGAACGAGATAGATATCGCGCTGACAACAACCTACCTATGCGACGTAAGACGCCGATCCGGCTCCCGGATCTTCCCCAGATCCAGACAGAGCACTCGCTCCGTCGCCTCTGCGTCCCAAATGCCCTGTTCCATCGAATTTGGCGATCAACGCAGACGACGGGTACATCTTGCCCAGCCGCGCCCCAGGGCTGCTGATGACTCGGAGAGTGTCACGTCGTCCGGGGTGAATGTAACTGTGGCTAGGCGAGCTGCGATTGATGGGGGAGGTCGAGGGGTTTACTTGGACGTGGGTTGTGAGGATGCGGTGGGCTTCGGCGGCTATGGTTGGGCAGGGCATGGCTTCCATCAGTTGGCATGGGAGGCGTTATGTTCGGTGATTGTGGGGGCTACTGTACGGTATAGATAGGCCCGTCGAGCTGGTCGGTAGACTGGAGTCTCCAAGTCAGGCGGTATTGTGTCTCGATGTTACAGTAAATATACAGTAAATAACTATACACATTATGTGATATATGTCGTGTATTGTACGCTAGAGTCGCTGATGAGCAGGGGTGAAGCGCCCCGGGCCGACGAATTAGGGTTCAGAGGATGATATCGATTGGTGAATTAGTTGAGTAGAGGGAAATGACTATCTCTAGTGTGGCCTTCGAGCACGCCGAGTAGCGGAGGTTGGGGAACTATGCGCGATAAGGTCTGGTGAGATAGCGGACATGACCGGATTGGTGTCAGCGGGATATCGCCTGAGACCATGTATGGAGTACGTGGGAAGGCGGAACCAGCCATCATGCGAACCCCGGCTGTGTCGCATGTCAAGTATGGGTGGGCTGAAACATCTCAGGGACGATAACTTATTTATAGAACCCTATCCACCGCGCAGAAACAGGCCAATGGAGGTTTCAGACCGGGGATCCTCTTCTCGTTAGTCTCGTTCAACCGAACTCATCGAGCCAGCCCTACACAGCCATGTTCGGTGGGTAGACATCAAGCATGGGCTGCGGGGTGGCCTAAGCTGGCGATCATTCGCCGGGAAGAACAAGAACGCCTTTTTTCCTTGCGTGGCGGTGACACTCCAGCCGGTCGGCGAGGGTCCGGATCAATTGAGGTCCACTTCCTCGTCTGGAACGCGGTACCTCGGCGCAGCGGAATACCAATAATCGAGAATTGAGAATCGAGAATTGAGAAGTGGGAATGGGAATTAGGAATTGGGAATTGGGAATTGGGAATTCTAGATCATCGCCTCGGAGTCAAGACCGGTAGGAGATCGGTCGGTATTCGTCAATGTAGCGGTGTCGCAGACCTAATGTGCCCATCCAGTGAGATCCAACGGCATGGTCGGTGGCTCTATCTGACAGCGGCGAATCAGAGTGGGTGGGCCCAGGGATTTGCATGCATTCCAATCCGAGCATCCTCGCAACGACCCAAGTATGTACGGCGTACCTCGCCGGGCTGCTGACGGGCGCCGAGAGGTGTGTTCGTTCAATCCCCTGCATGGGCATGGACAGGGGCGCCTCGGGAGGACCGAAAGGGGAAGCCGGCTGAGCTGGGCAGAGTATAGATGGAAGTATGGAGTACAGAGTGCATAGTGCAGAGTGCAGGGTGGACATTTGATCAACTGCCACAAGGAGAGAGGGCCAAGCCGGGCGGTGGCTGTTTAGGGTTTGATGACCGGACAGGCGAAATGAACGGCATAGGGAGGCATTGATGGTGGCAGGAGAGGGCAGGTTGCGGCGCGACCCTGGATGATCTACACCTCCTGCTATGCACACTTTATTTGATCGAGGGATCGTGGCGATCATCATATTCAAATCAGAATACGCCGTAGTGCCCGTACTACACGTGTAAATCCCCCACGGAGTCAATCAGGGACGATCGACCGCAACAGCAAGACCGCTCGATCCCGCCACGGTGGTCAAGGTGGTCAAGGTCAAGGTGGTCAGAGTGGCCTGCGAGGGCCGTGATCTCGGGATGCTCAATGCCCCCCGACACTCGTCAGCGGGACCCGCCACAGGCCCTCTTGCACTGCTATAATCGGGCTAGTTGAGTTTCATGATGAGACCCATCGCGGGTGCTCATGGTCATTGGTCGTCCATGGCACGCAGTGGGCGGCGGTGGGGCTGCTTTGGGAAATGGTATGGCCGAGGGAAATTGGGGGATGTCAGTGTCGCGACACAGTGTCTATGTAAGTCCGGCTCGAGCATCGCGGTCATTTCGTTTTCGTAGCTGACGGCGTGGATCCTCTGTGGTCGATCGACGGTATACCGGGAGAGGATGTTCCTGCTGAGCAGAGACTTGGAGGTCCTCCAGAGCATCGGGAGGGGCGGTACGCAGTACGCAGTACGGAGTCTTATACTGCGTACTGCGTACTGTCACTCCACCAAGCGCTGGTTCTCTCAGTGGTCACGCAGGATTGAGGCAGTACCCTCGATTGACCCGCGCCCTCACAGCTCCACTGCGGGCTAGTTGGTACCTGCGGAGTATCCCAGCGGTTCACTGGCTGCCCCCTACTAATCTCGAATACTAACGGGCTACTCCATACCAGACTCCCAGAATCCCAGAATCCCATAATCCCATAATTCCATGATTCCATAATTCCTTAATTCCTTAATTCCTTAATTCACGACTGCCGGCCGGAAAGGCATTCCTCTTCTCCTTGATCCATCTGGTCCACCATCTTCCAACCCCAGGTCTCACGTCGCACCGCTGCTGGCCCAGCTCCATTGTCAACCCCTACCAAGCCTAAGCCGGTCAGTGACATCCCAAGTACTCCGTAAAGTTCACTCCCTTCCCCTAAACCCTCCACCCCCCCCCCCTTTCTCCTCTCCTTAGATAGCGCGCTTTCTTTCTTGACGATCGTGGTGACTCCACTAGGCGTAATCGCACTTCCACCCAAGCTAACTACTCGCCCAGCTGTCCTAGCTTATTTCGTTGGTTCGTCTCGGGCACGGGCGCTACCTAACCACGCCCCTCCTTCCTTAGGCGCTCTCTTTCTTCTTTTCTTTTTACATTGTCTTTTCTTTCTTTTCTCTTCTCGGGCCTCCAATCGATCCAATCCAACCGGCGCTTCATTCGAGGGACTGTGTGTGTGTATACTCCCTGCACCCTGCAGGATCCCACCTGCCACCGCCGAAGCGCCCTCCCCCTTCCCCGCTATTGCGCCGCGCAACCGTCCTCCCTCAACCACCTGCCACTCTCCTCTGCGCAGGTGGAGCTGGCCCCCAACCAGAAAGAGAACCAAATTCAGCAAACCGGTCAGTCGATAGTCTACACGCGCCCGGCCGCGGGTCGACTGCACTCGTCCGTTGATTTGGAGAGGGGGACGACCGCCCACCACGCAAACCGCGCCTTTCGATGAGGACTGGTTTCCTTATCTGCTTGTGGAATTGAACGCACCCGGGCGTGCGATGTTGACAGCAGTCTCTCTGCTTCTGCGTCCTGATATCTGCCCTCATCGACATGCCTGCCGATGACCCGTTTTCGTTTCTGGCTGCGGAGCAGCCGAAGCCCGTTAAGGAAAAGAAGCCTCACTGGAGGGGCAAACTATTCTCCAAGGACAGGAAGGATCGTTCCACCCCCGACCAGCAGATGCAGATCCAGGACTTCCTCGCCTTCAACCGTCCTACTCAAGACAACTTTGCCTGGACCAAGGCCGACTCCAGAGACGGCCCGCCCACCGTTTCCACCCATCAGGTCCCGTCCGTTCAAGATGTCGCCCATATCCCTACACCCTCAATCCCGCCCCCATTGAACGAGAATTATTCCGCCTTCAACTTCGCCAGCAATGCGCCGCCAGAGCCCCGTGAATTGCCCCAGACACCGACGATCCCCTATAAACCGCGCAAGGGCAAGGGACTTCGCGTGGGCTTCTCCGATCGCGCCCCCGAAGTAATCGGAGAAGGAGGCGATGAGACGGAGACCCCCACTATGGAGATCTCCTTGTCGCGCAAACAGTCGCGCGATAGGCAGGGGGCGCAGCCCCAAAGAGCTCCGTCGCGCTCGCCGAACCCGTCGCGTTCGCATCTGCCCGCGCTGACGGTCAACACCTCGCTGGGCGATGGTGATGTGCAATCCCGCCGGCCAGGGCCCCTGCACGACCGGCGGGGCGGGACAAGTCCCAGCTCGAGCGGGAAGCCGCCACTCATGCACCACCCGCAGGATGAGGCCCTCCTCAGCACCCTGCACATGGAAAAGCCCGGATCGCGTCTATCTTTTCGAGGATCGCCAGACTCGCATTCGTTTGCGGAGCGCGTGCGGGACCAGATGCAGGCTGAGGAAGGCCGTGCTTTGCATCATCGCTACGACGACGATGTCACATCCCCGGCGGATGACAACGACACTGATATCTCGAGCCCGGAGCCACCGCCATCGCACAGCCCCAGGAGTCCCAATGAGTCAATGTACGAGTCGATCTACGAGACGCCGCCCATGGCGGCCATGGCCCCCTCTGTCAAGTCGATGGTTCAATCCATTCGCAACCCTCCCAACCCGGCTGTACACCGCGGTCCGCCCACTCTCAGTCCAGTCGATCCCCGCATACCTCCCAATCTCACGCCAGGAAGCCCGGCAAAGGCTTCGTCCGGAGCTCCCAAGGTTCCTACGCACGAGCCGCAGCCACTAGCTCCTCCGATGAACAAGCTAGCATCTCCATCGACTCGGGAGCTCCCGCGCAGTCCTCAACCACCATCCGTGAGCCAGCTTGCTTCTCCATCCAGCGGATCCAGCCGAGAACCGTCCCGAAGCCCCCAACCGCCCAAGTTCTCTTTGCGATCCGCGGCCCATCAGGTTGGCGACAACTCCTTTACCGAGTTTAAGGATTATATTGCCAGATATGACAGCCTCCTGCGCATGGCTGCTGAGAATGTCAAGCCCCTGGTCGAGACTTCTCTGGCAGAATGGATCCGCGCTGCGGCGTGGTGGTTCTTACGAGGCAAAACGCGCCTGGAGACTTATGCGCGCGCGCGCGCAACAGCACCCGCGAGCTACGCCAAACAGGCGGTTATTGACCTGGGCAAGGCCTTGTGGATCAATGAAAACATCGTACCGGAGCATTACGAGCTCTCTCGATATGGTGCGATGGGCATTGATGCCCTCTTGGCCGTGGCCAGCACTACCGGTGATACAGAGATGGTGGATCTGCTCAGTTTCCACCAGACCGTCCTCAACCACCTTCGTTCACTTTCCATGTCCATCAAACGCAACAACATCCTCTCTCTCATTCTCGCCGACGACCACTCCCCCAGTCAGCTGGACACCAGTATGTGGCTACGGTACCCCTTTTTCGCCCCCGATGTGTCCGCTGTTCTGTCCGGTAACGCGTCGCGGTCCATGCTAGCGGACGCGCCGGGCAAGACGCCGAGTATGATGTCCATGATGCCCCTGGGAGACACGAATCGGTACTTCAGTTATGGCACCATGTTTGTGCAAGCGTGTGTGAGTTCCCGCGACGACGAGGGCCAGCAGTATGCCATGCCCTGCGCGTTGACGATTATTCGAGAGCGCTCGGATTGGTATGTCCATGCCGCGATCACGAGCCAGAGCCAGCTCGTCAATGTCATGATCCAGTGCGACCGCAAGCAGGGCCCCACCTGGGACGACGTGGACTGGCAAGTCCGGTCCCATTCGATGCGCGTCAAGCTCCCGCGTGGATTCGAGCTGGACGTCATGTTCAAAGAGGATGACTTTAAGACGCTCTGGAACATTGTCAAGTATACGCAGAAGTCGGAGGCGAGTCTGTCGCCGGAAGCGGGGAAACCGTCGTGTTTGAAAACACATTGAAAATCTTCCAGTATATGGACCCTGGGACGCCGAAGGCGTTCCCTCAGATCCTATGGAGCGTTGTCGGATTCGTTTGTTTGAACGGTCGGTGACGGTGACGGAGGGAACTGGCTCGCGAAACGCGCATCGCGGATTCAGACTTGCCGTGTTGACTAGTCCCAAGGTCAAGACGCTCAGCAACGTTACGCACGTGCTGGGTTCTGGCTCACCGGTGGTGTTTGGACTGCTGCGCGGTGAAGACGGCGCTCCCGCTCTACTTTTGAAGGTTACCGAAGATGGACGCACCCGCTCTATGCTCATGACTTTCCACGAAGTGGAAGAGCGGACCAAAATCCATTCCGTGCTGTTGAGTATGGTTCCTCGTGACGGCGAAACCAAGACGCGTGAAATGTCCCTTCGGTCTTATGCTATTGAGGAGCCGGGGAATCAAGCCAGTGGTCGGGCCCCGACCACCCACCTCCGATTCCCAGCCGGCAATGCTGCCGTGATTGACCAGGAACATGCCTTTGTGGAGCATGGGTACGGCCCGACTATTCTGTCGGAGCATCTGAGAGCATTTATCGCCACGGAGTGGGGGTCTGTTACAGACCGTATCAATTTAGGTAAGGCATTTCTTCTTTTGGTGGAAATCTTTGCCCGCTCACAACTTGTCTCGCAGGACCTGGTGAGCTTAAGCTAGGGCTGGATGTAAATCGGATCACTGGCATGAGCGTGTTCCGCCCCGCCCAGCAGGATCTGACGGTTTCCCTGGCGGATAACCTCATCCCCTCCGAAATGCCGGAGCAAGTGTCAGATTTCCTGCAAAAGGTCACTGCTAAACCTATGGTCCGCCGGTTAGAGTTTGGTTCCATGCAGGGTATGTTGATATTCACCGTGACTGGGGATGGGATAGCCAGGTTGCTGATGCCGTGTAGATCTCCATGCCTTCGAAGAAGCGGTAACTGGATTCAAAGTTATTTTCGATGGGTATGGTCATCTCACCCCTTCAGACATGATCCACAGCGCTAAATTGACTAGAATCGCCTCTTCCTTCACCATCTCTCGCCGGCGTATGGTCGTCCCTATTTACAAGAAATGGGAAGCCAGCCTGGCTCGCATTCAAATTGTGCAGCAAGAGAAGATCATCCAATTGATCGCTTTCTTTGCTGATTTCCAGCATGGCACCTGCATGAACTTCGTACTCAAAGGCACCGACCATATCGAGTCCTTCGGGCGGTCGGGCAAGTTTGGCATTCGTATTGTGGATGCTAAATTTGCGCTTCCGAAGAAGGACGACGATCCCGGGTCCGACTTTGTGTGTCTCGATATGCCCGATTATCCAATCGAACATGACGATATTACTATTACGTTCGATAAGGAGCTTGGTGAGTGCCTGGCAGTGGCTGCTGGAGATGAGCCTTGCGCTGTTCGTCTCATCTTTTGTCTCATCTACTAACAGTTGAATTTACAGACCGCACCAATTTCAAGGTCGCACTGCCCGGATCTGTGCGAGAGCCATCACGCATGGGGTCTCTGCGCCGATAGCGTCTTACCTCTTTTTCTCACAATCCCCCGCCCTTTCATCCTTCCTCGTCCTCCACCCCCACGCTGTCACAGCCGCGTTGTCCAGCAGATGGCATTTCCCCACACCACGTGACCCAATTACGTGACCACCCCTCTTTCCTTTCCACCCCCTCAAGTCTCTTCGCTTGGTTGTATCATACCTTCGCCGACACACCCGCCCTTATTTTCTGTGCATACCATTCCAAATATTACATAGCTTCACCATGTCGCATAGCGTTGGCACCTCTACCCGCTCCCTGCACGCGGACGACCTGCTCAATGTCGTATCCGACGTCGCCCCGCCGTTGCACCTGTCCACTACCTTCCGCTACTCCAACGATCCCGAAGCACTCGTCCCTGCGGCAGACGTGAGCAGCGTATGCATCGCCCCGTGTTCCATCCCCCTTTACCTACCTGCCTAGCTATCTCCGTCTCAGTGACAATGTCCGTTATCTAATGGTGTCTATCGTGCCTGTCGTATGCTGTAGTCCGACGCCGACCACACCTCGCACATCTACTCGCGCCTCTCCGCGCCCAACCCCACCCGCTTCGAAACCATCCTCACAGCTCTCCTCAACGGAAACACAATCTCCTACTCATCAGGACTGTCCGCCCTCCACGCCGCACTTACCCTCCTTAACCCACGCCGCATCTCCGTTGGCGAGGGTTACCACGGCTGCCATGGTGTCATCGCCCTCTTCACCCGCCTCACTGGCCTGCAAAAGCTCGACCTAGACTGCGCCCCCGACCAGCTACAAGAAGGCGACGTCATCCTCCTCGAGACGCCCGTGAATCCCAAAGGCACAGCCTTTGACATCGCCGCGTACGCAGAGAAAGCCCACTCGCGCGGCGCATACCTCATCGTCGATAGCACCTTCGGCCCGCCCGGCCTGCAAGATCCGTTTCTCTTCGGCGCAGACTTGGTCATGCACTCCGGCTCGAAGTACTTCGGCGGCCACTCCGACGTACTGTGCGGCGTGCTCGCCACGCAGCGCGCAGACTGGCACGCGCAGCTCCTCAAGGACCGCATCTTCCTCGGCGCTGTGATGGGGAACATGGAGTCGTGGCTGGGCGTGCGTAGCTTGCGTACCCTTGAAGTCCGCGTCCAGCGCCAGAGCGAGAATACCACCCGCCTAGTGTCGTGGCTGCATGCCGCGCTGCACGCGCCTAGCCCCGCGCCGGACTCTGCCGAGGCTGCCGTGCAGGCTGTCCTGGCCGAGGTTTTCCATGCCTCTGTGCAGGAGACGCAGGGCGATTGGCTGAGCAAGCAGATGCCCAATGGCTTCGGGCCGGTCTTTTCGATTACGATGCGCGACGAGCGGCTTGCGCGCCAGCTGCCGAGTAAACTGCATTACTTCCAGCATGCCACGAGCCTGGGCGGGGTCGAGACGCTGATCGAGTGGCGGACCATGTCGGATACGACGGTGGATCGGCGGTTGTTGAGGATCAGTGTGGGCTTGGAGAATTGGGAGGATCTGAAGGCGGATTTGGTGAGGGCTTTTAGGGAGTTGGGGAAGCTCTGGCGTGAAATTCGATAATTGTGTATGTATTAGGATCGAGCATAGATGAAAGTATTTTTGGTATTTCTAAGTGAGACCCTAGTAGATCTCCTTCAATGTGTTGGCCCGCAACCCATCAGAAGCGACGGCCGACATGAAATCACAGAAAGCAGCCGTACTAGACATTCGTCAATCAGCTTCTGGAGGTGATGCAAAGTGCTGATGACTCGACCCATTGCGACCTGCTCCTTACCAGAGCCGCCATTCAAAACCACAAGCAAGAATGACTGAACCAATCGATGATCGTGCCAGATCGTTAGATTTCTGATTCGTTCATGGACGTCCCTGCACACCGTCTTCGTCGTCTGCGCCCAGTCTCCTGGGAATCATAATCCTGCATGATAGCTCATGACGAGTTCCTGGCGTTGGCCGTTTTCCTTGTATGCCAACTTTGCATTCGTCTAAGTTCGTCTAGGTGCTTGCAGAGGACAGGCCACTATATTCCGGCTATTATATTCCAAGGCTACAGAAACCGAGCGGGCTATAAATCATCATGGTTTCCGGGATATCTCCATTGCAGGCATCCTTACTACCTACGTGTTAGATCTAATCTACAGAAGGTTGAGTAGGAAAGTCACGAAGCTCGGTATCTGGCCTTTGTTGCTAGCTCGGCAAGCTGGTCTGCAGGTCTAATAGCGAGATCGTGTCAATTCTTACGGGTGAGGATTTCGTTTCTTTAACCGTCAGTGTTGTTATGTTTGGAAGGTTCTAGTCGAGTCTCAACGAGTCCAACCCAACTTCATGCCGGAACGGCATTGGAAAATATTAACTGCTACACTGATTTGGCTTTGTGAAGGTCCAAGGCCCTCTGCATGATAGATGGGTAGAGCGTGACTGGAATGGCGACACCTCGGCCTAACAGTGTTAATGGCAATTTGGATTGTCGATCATCAACACCAATTAGATGGGTAGTGTACTTCTTCGGCTGGTCTGTTGGACACTGGCGGTCCTGCTCAATTTGCGAGTCTATTGGTGAGCAGGCTAGTGAGGTACAAACAGAGATTACGATGAGATGAGTAAATTGAATATTGAACCCCTTTTGAACTGTAGAGTAGGGGGGAAAATCTGATTCATCTCGCGTTATTTCGCATATAATATATCCAAAGAAGCTTGCCCAACGCACACCTGTGCACCAAGGCCTAGTATCAAGGTCGACGGGACCTACTCATTCTAGTATATCCACGCCGCGAGCGTGAGGGCAAGTATAACCCGATCCAAGCAATCCAGCGCTCTAGACCAGATATCTGAATCCCTTACGCATGCGCAGCGACTCATCTGCACTCTCCATGAAGACAACATCACCAGTCTGCGCATCAGCATGACCTGCATCCCACTCCGCCTCCTTCTCTTCAAGCCGCTTGTTAAGGCGAACAAGAATCATGCGGAACGCCCAGAAGCCGACAATCGTGACGCCATACATGGCTGTGACGATTCCATAGCTCTTGCGGTACCCGTTCTCGGAGAGGTTCCACACGTACGAGCCGGCGACGTTACCGAGTTGACTGAAGGCATTGACGAGGGCCAGTGCGACGGCACGCTTGGCGGGGGTCGCGGGAAAGACGAACTGATCCACGAGTAGAAGACGATGAAGCCTGCGTAGGAGCCTGCCTGCAGGAAGAGGGCGAGGTAGCGGGCGGCGACGTTCAGGGTCGACATGCTGATGATGAAGCCGACGAGACCCATAAAAATGGGCCCGTAGATGTGCCAGATCTGAAGACTGTTAGTGGATTTGTGGGTGTAGTATTACAGAGATAGAACTCACCTTTTCTTGGGTTCTGTCCGCGTGCCAGGCGTTGATGACGGAAAAGATGCAGGAGAAGACCCATGGGGGAGCACTCATCAGCAGCGTGGGGACGTAGGAAAAGCCGAGAGTACCGGTGAGGGTAGGCTATGAGTGGCGGTGGTTAGTACCAAGGTGATCAGTAATTCTCTGGGTCGAGTGTCAAGACTTACGAAGAAGGCGTTGAAGGACAATCCCACGACGTAGGCAGTGAAGGACAACATCATTATGTAGATCTTGAAGTCCTTGAGGGACATGATAAGACCGGCAAAGGGGCTTTGCTCCTCGGAATCGGTATCAGCCTCGCCGACATCCTCCAGAAGTCGCAGCTGCGCCACGAGAAGCTCCTCTTCAGTGAAGCCGCGTGAATTGGTGGGCAGGTCCGGCAGGATGAAGGCAGAGGAGACGGCAATGGCCATGGTGATGGCACCCTCGATCCAGAACAGCCAGCGCCATGCGGGATGGCCCAGCACGCCCTGCATGTTAGACAGAACACCAGCAGCGACGAGCGACGAAAAGGCATTTGAGATGAGGTTTCCACAGAACAAAATGGCATTCCGGGTGGTCAGCTCCTTGCGGGTGTACCACTTGGAGAGAATAAGGAGGGCACCGGGAAGGAAGGCAGCCTCGACGAAGCCCAGCAGGAAACGGATAGCCGCCATCTGGGAGAAGTTTCCTGCGAGTCCGGAGCAGGTCGAGACCAGACCCCACAGAGTCATCGCGATGGCAATGTAGATCGAAGGCCGCTGGATGCGGTTGATGAACATGTTGGAAGGGACCTGCATCAAGATGTACCCGACGTAAAGAATACTCAAGCAGGTCGAGTACTGGGTGTCGGTGAGGTTGAGGTCAGCCTGCAAACCCTTCAGACGGGCCGCCGAGATGTTGTTGCGGTCGAGATAGTTCATGATATAGATGAGCACGAACAGACTGCACCGGGCGTCCAGCTTGCGTTTGAGGCTCTTCTCGACGACGGCTCGCCGAGCCGGGTCGATATGAGGGAGGACATTCTGCTGCTCGGCCACATGCTCGAGGTTTTCGATGCGTTCCTTCTCGACCTCGACCTCGATGCGGTCGTTGTTTCGTGAGATATCGTCCGCCATTGTTTCTGTCTAGATTCTCTCTGCAACCAGGCCGGATTCTCACACCGAGAAGAAAAGTAGCTCCAACAGGGGGGCAGATTTTTTCCTTTTCTCTTTGCATTTCCCCAGCCCCACTAATCCGGTTGCGTACAAACCCCAGTAACCCCCACGCTAACATTCTCGTAAGTTGCGGGGGGTTGCGGTGGGGATCGTTGGCGTCGGGACGCACCACGGCAGGTTTCCTCGGTTGCGAGGTTCTCCGACCAGCGGAGAATGCCCGTGAGCACCGCGTCGCGCCTTCTGACTGGCTGGTCGGCCCGGCACCGTGCGTGGGCAGTCGGCTTTGACTGTTTTGACTTTAGGAATGCGCCAACAGGGGAACGCAAGAATCCCGGAATTTCGGTCCACGAGGTGTCTGCTATGGGTATTCTCAGCAAGCCCTGAAAGGATAGACACGTTTGAAAGCGCAGCACAGACTGCACCTGTGTAAAATGGTCGGGATCCTCCCTTTTCCTCCCAGTGCTCGGGACGGAGAACAGGGCGGGTTTCCCGTGGGGGTTTTTTGAGGTCACCTGCCGGGAACACCCCGTGAGTCCCGTGCTTTCTGCCCCGGAGACCCGCCCTCGCTCGGCGATTGGAGCGTTGATTGGAGTCCCGAGAAACGTGTTCGGCCAATTAAAAATGCACCTCCCCTGTCTCTCCCGACTGCGAGCCATGGAAATGTTTAGCCGAAATTATACGTCAGGCCTTGGGGGCAGTTGTGGTGGGGGTTTGGGGAATTCTAGATCAAGAGGCTTACGAAGACGCCACCAAACTGATCTCATTTGGCTGTATGCATCACTCTGTCACCTTGTCCTCGTGACTCCCACCTTCTTGCCATTTGGAGCACTACACTACGATCACGTTGAGGATCAAAGCGTGTTGCCATTGGATTAATTACTGCGATATACTGCGGACAGATTTATAGACACTAGCAACTGAAGGTCAATGACTGGTAACCGATGCTTGTAAGAATGATCAGAATTCGATTGAAAGACAATGTCCTACCAGCCACATCGAGTCATAGCTAATGGTAGTTGGCGCCATCAAGGGGCCAACGCGCAGTTCACCACAACACCTATTAGCCTTCCACGACGGTGTCATCGCCAGCCGAGCTACTGAAATGCTGGGGGTGGCAGGTGTACTGTGGGGGTGTGACGGAGATTGAATCCACACATCGCTCATAATCTGGAGAAACACGGCCACTATTTCCGCATCCTGAGCGCCGGTGAACCCCCAGGTCCGGGTAATCGAACTCCACTTTTAGATGTCAGATAAGAGTAATGCCAATAGCTAATGAAGTGTTTTCTAACTCATCTTACTACCGTGGCTAATACGGTAGAAGTCGAAAGTGGTGCTCTCCGGTGACAGGCTGTTGATTCCATTGGGCTCTGTTGGGGCAGGAAACGAGATCAGGTGGAATGCTTATACTGGCTTTCGGATCCAAATGAAACCGTGAGATTCTGGAAGGTTCTTTTCTTTGAGCGCTATCGCCAGCGACTGAGCAAGAGCGGATGACAGATAGCAGGAGCCAGGGACAAGAACTTGCTTGAGACATTCTGGAAGTGGTGGCAACAAGTCGACAAGGTCGATGTCGGGTACGGGTTCAGCAAAGACACCACTGCGAAAATCGACGGTGCGCTACTTACTTGTATTCTGAAAGCGGCTTGATAACGGCGAACTGTCTCTAGGTGTTTGCGATTATTGCTCAAGAAAGGAAGCTTTACCTCGGTCGTTTTGTTAAGGTAATCTCAGACCTCGTTTTGTCACACAGAAACAACTCAAATACCATCGCACCAAGTTTGCGACCTTCAAGAGTCGACACCGCCGTCTCAAACCCGGAAATTCGTTTACGAGACCAAGGGAGCCGGCACAGTGCGAATTCAGGAAATCGAGTCTAGAACTGGCAGAACTGTGTCACTCCAGCTTTATCAGGTCTTTTACTCTCCAAAATTCCATGCCAACCTGATTTCCGTGAATTCATTCCAGAGCAGAGGACACTGGTGGTGTATGAAAACCGACTGCAGCATAACAAGGCTTGTTTGCCGTTGCGAACTGGCCTCGGCTGTGGATTCATTCTCGCGCATAGCCCACCTACAGTGCCACGTTCTTGTAGCTCTCTCGTGGATGGGCTAGTTATGTTCCGAGTCACAACGCGAGGCGAGAACATTTTCGAAAGCAGTGCGTCGAGTATAAAATTTATGACGGAACCACCCTGCTGGCCAGTGGTACCAAAAATAGCTAGGATCTTGCTCATGGTTTCGAGTTGTAGTATACTTGGATGGTGATGATATGTGAGCTCGAATCCTTTCAATTCTCCGGTTGAAGCTTCCAGTCGGGTGAATGACCCTCTTTGTATCAAGTCTAGCTAGCTTCTATGCGGAGAGTCCTGTCCCAGTCCTTCTTTCTTAGGCCTTGGCATACTACAATTTTAGTTTATACTGGTAATGTTTTTAACATATTGAAGTTCTCAATGGTTTTGTCATGCACTACTAGAAATTTTTGCAAAGATGAAAACATATCGCCAACATTTCATTTACTATCCCTGCTAGTGTCATCTACGTGCAGGGGTCACGTCGATTTTTCTTATTGTTTTACTATGACAAGCACGCTGCGTATCTCGGGTTTACGTCACTATGTGTAGATATTTCCGGTTGAAAGCACCCTCGACCCGTCGGAGACCAATAGGCCCTCGCCACGAGTGTCCGACGTGGCCACTAGTCAATTATGGGGCTGGCTGAGAAAGCGATCCGTGCATTTCCCCAATTAGAGTCGCGGGAGTACGGTATGGTGTCATAGTACCCCATAGGACTGATGGAAATCTTTCAACAGAACCCGACATCTTCAATACATCTCTGAGTTTGTTTGGGAGGCCGTCAGTACTCGCTATATGCATAATCCACCTCCTGGGATAGTAGTTCGACTATTGGTATATTTACTGCTTCGCAGATTTTCAAAAATTTGCAAATCTTGAAGCGTATATTGTGAGGAGAGAGTTATCGTATACAGACCCCTCTTCAAGGAATATGTCGTGTACCCCTCTTCAAGAAGATACGTCGTGTAACAGGTCCTGCTGTGTGGGATGCCTGTATTACATTTCTTCATTGGCCCCATCTACTGGTAGATAAATTACTTTTTTCACGTGTATGAATAACGTCTACAGCTTGCAGTTCAGTCGCTTACCTAAATTACACCAGGTAGGGACACGGCGTACCTGTGGCCTAGAATTGCATGTATTCATTTTGATCAAATACCAATGCTCACGTAATAAAGTTCTTCCAAATATTATAAAATCGTATCTCCGCTCCGGATAATGTGCAATTACTAGCCCATATACAAGTGTTATACGGCACCAAGGACCAGTCATGTCTTTAGCCCATAACGAGCTGATTGGAACTAATCTCTCTGTCATTGGGCTTTTCCTTTTTTATCTTTTGTTTCTTTCTTACCTCTGCTCCGTTTGGTTCAATCCAGACCCCACCAGAGCATGGGTCAAATTCGATCTCAGCTCCAGAAAAGCCAAGAACAAGTTCATAACGGATGCACTGGGAGTCGTCGAGGCACATTTACGTCTAGTAAGTGACTATAGTCAGGCTTCTCCCTCGAGGCACTAGCCACTGATGAAAATAATCTACTACCTAGTCTGACGTTGCCCGGATAAACACCGATAATGGATACAAGACAGTTCTCTCGCCTAAATTTGCGAAGGAAATTGCCAGAGCTCCTTCGCTCAGCTTCGGCAAGCACATGGACGCTGAATTCCATACCAATATTCCAGCCTTTGCTCCATTCAAACAGTTTCATCCAGACAGCATCTTCCTAGAGGTAATTAGGGTTAAATTGAAAAAAGCTTTAGGTATGCACTCGTACCAATTTTGTGTGTTTACTTCTGATATTTTAATCAGGGAATGCTATGGAACCGCTCTCGGATGAGGCCTCAGTCTCCTTTCAGAGTTATCTTTCAGAAAGCCCAGGTAACTCTCTCATGAAATACTATAATATCATCCGGTCTAATGCGAGATATAGAGTGGCATAATATTCCTCTGAAATATACAATGACTAAAATCATAGCCCAAGTGTCATCCAGAATAATTTTGGGTGAAGGTATCTGCCGAGACCCTGAGTGGCTCCATATCACGACCAACTACACAGTGGACGCTTTCAGGGCGGCAGAAGAACTGAAACTGTGGCCTAAGGCTTTTCGCCCCGCGGTTGCTCGAATGTCTGGGTCCTACCGGAAGGTTCATAAAGGGTTTCAAGCTGCGAAAAACAAAATTGGCCCTCTATTAGAGAAGAGATATAACGAAAAAGCTAAAGCATTACGAGAAGGGGGGTGATACCTTATTATAACGATATGCTGGAATGGTCAGAAGAGACCGCAAATGGCCGCCATTATGACCCCACAGCAGTACAGCTGGCCTTTTCAGTTGCTTCTACACATGCAACAGCCGATATGATAACACAAGCAATCTTTGACCTTGCCGGAAGAGAAGAGCTTGTTCAATCCTTACGGGATGAAACCATTTCGATTGTATCAGGGGAAGGATGGACCAAGACTTCGGTTTCGAAGCTCCAATTGATGGATAGTTTTCTAAAGGAGTCTCAGCGGCTGAAACCAGCTCATATCGGTAGGGGCTACATGGTCAAAGCAGAAATTTGTTGCAATTTCACTGATTTTAAAAATTCTAGCCTCACTGGAACGCGTTGCTGAAGAAACCGTTAAATTAAGTGATGGAACGAAGATCTTGAAAGGCACGTCCCTTATGGTAGCAGATACCTGGATGTGGGATAAGGAATTCTACGAAAATCCGAAGACCTTCGATCCTTACCGTTTTCTAAAAAAGCGACAAGCCACTAGGAGTGGATTTCATGTTTCTCTTGTGTCCTCGTCTCCGGAACATCTTGGTTTCGGTCTCGGCATCCACGGGTGTCCGGGAAGGTTTTTCGCTGCGAACGAGGTTAAACTACTTCTCTGTCATTTTATACTGAAGTACGACTTCAGGCTTGTAGATGACACAGTCCCTAGGCCAAGGAGGTATGGAGTTTCGCTTCTTTCTGATCCTGAAGCAGAAATTTCTATTCGTCGACGTCATGAGGAAATATTGATTGGGAAGATCAAAAGCTAAAAACGATTTCGAGCAAATTGCCAACTCTTTTGTATTTCGGGAGATTTGAGCCAATTAATATCCTGTGATTGATTGTATCTAATTCCCGCCTGAGCCTTTCATCTTCTATCGTTCCAAGTTGCCTTTTCCAAGGAGCCATTGCACTTAACCCACTTGGTGCACTATCTGACATGTTCTACAAGATAGCTCTATAGACCCGAGCCCGTCTAAAGCAAGCTGGGAGACGGTTCAATTGCAAGTTTCAGTCTTGTGATTCGCAGCCGGTACCCGGAAGGCCGAATCCAGCGGTATCAGCACAAGAGAAGATGGCTCCAGCGACGATATTATTTTGTCAGAATTCAACAAGAGATCAAGGGCAATACCACACCAACTTTTCGTGAATCTAGTTGCTGCTTTGGATAAGATTACATTACATTGCTAGCTCAGGGGGGCTGCTTCAGGAATCAAGGCCTGGGAGGCCCTAGAATTAGGATGTAGCTACTATTTGATAGGATGGGTGGGAATTCTGTAGGAGCTCAAGATCTTTGGCGTCAATATTGTGAGTACCCGAGTTTTCGGTATGGGATAAACCGCACGGTCAAAACCATCATCTCATTTTGAAAATGGTTGCCTCGGGTAGAGAAGTTCAGGTGATATGGCTCGAACTGCGTGCTCTTCCAGAGGGATAACCTCAACAAGAGCGATGTGAGAGACCAAACGAAATTCTTGATTACCCTTCCCGGTATGGGAAGGACACTAGCTAATACTAGCTAACGTAATTTAACGTTAAAAGTACCACGCCTTCCAACATGCTTGAGATAATATGTCGGACCCATTCAGTCGGGAGTGGAAATAACCCCAGCACTTCAACCAACAAGTCCATTGCTTTGTGGTCGTGGGCTGTATCTCGCAAATAGAAGGTGGTCAGGTTGAAACTAGCAAATGAACTTGGAATAGTTGTTGTTCTGAGAGAGTGAATTTGTCAATTGATTTACAGTGTGGTCTGATACTTTAGCCCGAACGAGGCGGAAGATCGGTGTGTCATGTAGCACTTTCTTGGTCCGAACGACATCAAGGCCGGCTGGCCCAATGGCAAGGCGCTTGACTACGAATCAAGAGATTGCAGGTTCGACCCCTGCGTCGGTCAATTTTTTGCTCTTTTTTCTTTTAGATGATAAAGCATTTTTGCTTCTTCTACATCTGAGTGTATGTTGTGAAGGTTTTTGGGGTATGATAACATGACGTTGGTTTAAGAATCTCCGAGGAACTGTCTACCAGCATTCGTTCCAACATCAGCATCAGATATGTACCGTAAGAGCTAAAAGGGTGATTATATGTAGCAATTAGGCCTGGGATTACAGAATTAGAAAATCCGTTTTCTATTATTGGCTGAACTTACGAAAAACCAGGCAACGTAACGGACTTGCTCAAGTAGTGGCGAACAAACCATTTCGTCGGTGCGGCACCATCCTCCTCAAAAGCAGAAAAGCGACAAGCATTGTTGCTTGCTTTGAGGATGACTTCTTCGCAGTATTTTGGTTTATCCGAGGCATATTAACCGGTTATTTTAGCAAACGTGAGGTAATTGTAATGGTGGTTGGTGAGAAAATGACAGCCAAGGCGCCATGTAAAACCCCACTCGTCGATGGATATATATTTGTCCTCAAATATTCTGCAAATTTCTAGGTCGGAGTTCCCTGCACCAGAAATGAAACCCTATACTTAGAGGGGTCTTCTCATATTTATGGATAACCCAATTGGTTGATTATTTTCCCACTGAAAGTATCGAGAATACTCGGTCGGATTTTTTTGTTCATGGATTTCCGTTATACAATAATGTCTAAAAGCATTAATCAGTCACTAAACTGGCTTCTCTTTCCATCTAAGATGCTATGGCCGAGTGGTCTAAGGCGCTTGACTAGAATTACGACCCTTTGGTCTGATACTACTTATCAAGTCCGTTCGCGGGCGGCGGTTCAAATCCGCCTGGCATCGATTTTATTTTTGCATTCCTGCGAAAATTTTTGGTACTGAAATCTGCAGCCGCTAAGCGAGTGGTGTTGTGGGTCAACGTTGCGGATAGTCCGAGGTGGCTAGAACATGAGTGGTGGGAAAATCAATAATCCGCCAACGGTATAAATATGCAGCTAAGAGCACAAGGGCGTGAGGGAAAGCACTAGTTTCTTTATCATCATTATTTCAATCACAAGAAAGGCACCTCTTGCAAGGCCTGAAAAGAAATACCTGTGGAGAGGGCCGTGTTCCGCACGGAAACTTAACATGACTGACCATAAGCTCAATTTCCGAAGTAGAGATGGGCTGGACACCGGTTACGGCCGCTAGAAAAAACAAATATAGACAGTCAAAACCATCAATGGCGATGGTGGAAACAGTAAATCAGCCGGAGGTGGTCAAAGAGCTCAAGTAACAGCTGTGGTCGACAAAACGTGCGTACACATTTTGCATCCGATGAATGCTGGACTAGCGTCGTGGAAGGTAGTGTTGCACATAAGGGGGAAGTAAACGCGACAAGAAATTTATGTGACCAGAGACCATCTGCCAAGCAGTGCACAAAAGCAGCGTTCATTTATCTCCCAATGGAACTCTAAGTGTATTTCGTATTTTGTCGAGGTGGTATTTGGTACCTCGTCTGGACAGGATTACTCAAGCTTACACACATCCACTTCTTTACTCTACTGGGCACTAAATTTGGATGATTGCACCAAGAGAATCCAGTGGTCATATCTCATTATTCGTAGCAATAGCATCTCAAGAATAAGACCCCAACCAACACTTGGCCTTATTGATTCCATACATGAATGGATGCTCATTGGTACTGCGATGCAGTAATGCAATAGGAATGCAAATAGAATTGCAATGCAATTGAGTCCGCGGAAATATGCTCTGGCAGAGAAATGCAGAGATCCACAGGACATACATTGTCCATGAAATAGAAATCCATGTTCTTATGGCTTGCAAATGATCTTTGATCTTCATTGTCATGTCATGCAAGATAAGCTTATCAGTTCAGTCCACGGGTCCAGAGCGGAGATCTCATCTGATCTAGTCTGAGATCAGATCAGATCTTGACGGAAGTGATCCAGCTCCAGGATGGACGTTGTCGGGTGGTGGCATCGGGGTGCGTTCATCGATGTCTTTTTGGGCTTCTGCTCTCCTCGCTCCTCGTCTCTCCTCAACTCGTGCATCACAACTCGTTCTCCCTCCCCCCTCGCCGTTCTCTTCTCTCTCCAAAAACATCATTATCACCCCCGCCCTGCCGCGGCGCGAAGCCGGCTCACCCGCGGCGTAGGGCTTTTTTTTAGTATTTCATATTATTTCGCTTTCGCATCAAAAACACCCCCACAAACTTCGGTGAAAAGCAAGGCATACAAAAAGGAAGCGATGACCGAGTGCGAGTGCAAGTCCCACGACACCTCGATCCAGGCGTACAGCGTGGCAGTGATAGACACCAAGTCAGAGTCTAGGTTTTAGGGGTCACAAAAACCTCAACTGACTCTCTGTCTGCTTTTTTACCTGCGAACAACAATACCCTGGCGACGGACACCGCTGCGTGCGGCGCGGTACTCCTCATCACTTTCCTCAGACTCGGAGCAGCTCGCCTCACTCGACTCCGTGACGTACCCGCAACGCGAGCCGCCACAGTCAAGCTTGACGCGGTCACCCTTGCGGGTGATCCCGTAGCGCTCGCAGCGGCACTGCACGGGAGGATCGCTCATAGAAGACAGCGACGAGGGCGACGTCGAGCCTGAGGAGCGGGACGACAACGAGGACCCCGCCGAGCTGGGCGGGCTGTTGGACAACGAATACTCGTCCGACAGGCGGGACCCGGCAAAGCGGCGGGTAAGGTCATCGACGGTAGGCGTGTACTCTGCCTCACGAAGTTGGCGCGAGGCGTAGGGCTTGCTCGGCTTGGGGTGCTGGATCTTGGAGGGCGAGAGGGCGCGGCCAGTCGCCACGCTGGTAGAGCCGCGGCGGGTCTTGGGGGCGCTGCGTCCGCTGCTGGACTTGCCGCCAGGCACGTCGAGGATGTTGAGCTTACGGCCGGTGGTCGGCTCGACAGTGTACTCGACGGCGGGGTCGTGCGAGACGTGGTATCCGTCCATGATGTAGTAATACCAATAGCGTCCGCCGAGCTGCAGCATGGAGGTTTGGAAGCGAAACTTGCCCATCCAGGCACCTGGCTTGTCTTCAGCAGAGAGGGGCAACTGGCGCGAGTAGTTGTCCCAGGAGCCAACGAGGTGGACGGTCTTGACGTTGGACGAGGTCCGGAGGGAGAACTTGAGTTGGACGGCGGCCATGGTGAATGATGCCAAAAAGACGAAAATGGGTAATAAATATGAATATGAATAAGCGTGAATAGAAATATAGACACGGACGTTGTCGTGGAAATGTAGCGGCGCAAAAGAAGAGTCGGGCGACTCTGGTTTTGATCTGTTCTCGGTGGAACCAGCCCACAACAACAAGAAAAAGAAATAGGAATCGAAATTCCGAGCGAGATTAAAATTAACAGTGGATTTGTTGATAGAGCTGAAACAGCAAGGCAACACGATCGACCGGCGAAGTGTTGCGAGAGGCGGAAGGCACTTGCTGTGGGGGGATTGAAGGATTCGAGAGAAATCCGAAGCACAAGGCAGAATAGATCGGGGCAGGGCACAGTACAGAGAGAGCACAGCTCGTTCTGTATTGGACGGGGGATCAAATTGGGGTTTTGGGGGTTGGGTTGGTGGTGGCTTGGGGAATAGAATTAGAATAGAAGTATAGAGTGGGCAAGAAACAGAAAACAAAGAACCTAACAGCCAGTGTCAGGATTTCAACTCGAAGGGGCAGCTCTAACAACAAATGCTCGCTGGAGAAGAAAGGAAGAAGTCTGCCTGGGCGGCAGGGGGGATCTTTTAAGAGAATCGAATGGATCAGCGCTGCAGAAAGGCCGGGCCTGCTCTGCTGGCCCTGGCGGGGCCATGAAAGTATGAACGCGGGCGGTTAGTTTGGCGATGTGATTGGCGGGGCTGGGGGGTGCGTCGTGATGGGCCATCAACAGCGGGCGGGCCAACCAGCACGCATCATTTGACGCTGGCCGTGAGACGTCGGGAGGGGCAACGAGGACAATCAAGTCACATCAACTCGGGTCCAGTCACTACCCCCGAGAGAGCTAGTCACATCTGCCCCTCTCCTCGAATCAGCCGCATGGATCCCCCATGGTCTTCTGCCGGCCATTCCTCGCCATCATCCGTGCAGGAGAGATACCACCGCTACCCACACCTCGAGACGTGGCCGGACGTCATGCTTCTACACGACGCCTCCCAATATGATCATGACCATCATCTGCATGTCGTGCGGGCAGCCTCTGCACCGAACCGGCCTCATTAGAAAATACCCGGTTCACAGCGCTGCTCTACTCCGCCTTCACGTCTCACACATCCACCTCTAATCACCCCTCTGCGTCTGCTCCTGGTATGGCAGTGAGATCGATAAACAATCAGCCTAGGAAGGGTGCGTCGGCCGAAGCCCTCGCCGACGGGGACTATACGCAACTCCCGAGTACCCCAGCGAGGGTCAGGGCCCCTGCGCCCGGCCTGCGCACAGTCCACGATCCAGACGGGCGGGCGCGCTCATAACCGGGAAAATTCGCCGACTTGCTGCAGCTCCAAAAACGAACATGGATGTGGACATCCCAGCACGTCCAGACGACAGGTCTTGGCCTGATTCTCCCTATGTTTATCTTCATGGTCGATTCTATTTCCCGTCTGACACGGTCAGTGTGAGACATGCATCCCTGAACCTCCCGCATGCACGGGAAAGAATGCCCGTGCCGGGCTCTCCGTCGTCCCGCCCGCCCAGCTTGGTCTGATCTGATCCCTCGCCAGCCTGCAGCGTCCTTCACATTTGCATCCACGCGCGACCCCGGGGTTACCACAGGAACTGACCCGCATGGGGCGAATGTGCCGATGGGCCTGCCCTCATGCACGAAATCCCCAATCTGCCGCAAAACGGTCGCTTGGGGCCCTCATCCACATCCGGTCCTCCTTCCTTACGCGTTTCTCTGGTCTGCTGTTGTTAGTAAATCCGGCGCCAATGCCCATGAGAGGTACGGGAAAGATGGGTCAACGATCCCGCGTATTGCCCCGCGTTGGTATACCCCCATTATGGGAGGAGCTGCGGGGTGATTTTGACATTGATTATCTGTCAAGAGCTGAAACTGGGCGATTAAAGCGATAGTAATGTTGACGGCCTGACCGAACCACTACCTACACAACGGAATATTGTCGCTTCTTGCTAAAGTTACATAGGTGAATGTCGAGCTTACGCCTACCTCCGCTCCGCTAGGTAGAAGTCAAGCGGCTCAGGACCCTTCATCATCGTGGGATATATATAAGTACGGCAGCTAGTAATATCCTCCACCCGTATACTTCCTGCCGAATAGATAATCAGATTCAAGTAGGCATGGATGACTATCACAAGCCTCCAATGCTTTACAGCCGAGCCAAGAGCCGGGTATACATCCTGTTGATGGCCCATGGGCGTGTAATCCCGTTTCGCTGGGCAAGTAATTGGTGCACGCCAGTCAGGCCCGCATTGATCCCACTTAAACATATATTCGAACCCTTAGGTATTTTGTAACTCCGTATACAAAAGTGACGAAACCTAGCCAGCACCAGGAAGGAATCTGACCTACCTAACAATGGAAAGTGTATGAAAAGACATGTAAAAATTTCAATATTGGTAATCTTTTTCATCTACTGCTAGACAAGCGTTCCATTTCTTCAATTGACTGTCCGCCATTCTTTCTGTTCCTCTCTCAACGATGCTAATTCGGATTGAGTTCACTCTAATTTCTAAGAAGGGCGCTCCCAATATGAGCAGCCAATCAGCTCCCAAGCGACCTATCCGCTCCAGCATCATTGGTCTAGTGGTAGAATTCGTCGTTGCCATCGACGAGGCCCGTGTTCGATTCACGGATGATGCACATCCTTTTTGTCTTTTTGCTCTTCTTGTCTTTGAAAAATGTGAAAGAAGCACAATAGCTGTTGATGAAGAGGAGGGGAAGGAGATTGAGGCATGCCAGAACAATTTATTGAAGTGGTGTAGCAGGTCCTGGCAGATACCTAGTCCCGGTACGGCCAACCCAACCACAGAGGAACATCGCGCAGAACAATCCAGCTTAATCCAAGCAACAAGTTTTTCCCAAAACCGTTTTCATATATCCACGCCCATTTCCTGGAGAATATGAGTGGATCAAACTAAGAGATGACACATTGTACGACTTTGTGGAGCATGTGAGTTCCCGGAACTTCTTGTCGCAGTCCGGAGGCCATGCCCAGACTCCCAATGCGCTTCGCGCCCCTCCCCACCTTCTGAAACTGAGAACCAGGCCCCGCACAGATCAAATAACCCAAGCCATAGATTTTCATCCAGATGGAAGTAGTCTCTCGGCAAGCAGAGTTGTTGGATCAAATAAATCTTACCAGTTCTAGGCTTTGGCGGCCCCCTACGAAGGACAATAGCGGCCACTTCAAAAATGCACAATTATGCATATTCTAGACTGGTAGAAAGTTTAGATAACTAAATTACAATTACAGCGCCTATATTTATTCATGTACCAAGTACGTAAATTCTGTTATGAACTATGTCTTGGCTGTCTTGGCTGCTAGCGACCATAGATATGCACTATGCGGCTTTATACAAACGCCTAGGATAGGCTCCTCACCGGAGTCGTGGTAGTATAATGCACGAAGCCGAAGGCCGAAGTGTTTTATACACCGCTTGGTATATCTGGTATCTTTCCCTATAGAGCTGAAGTAGTGGATATTTAGGGTCAAAGCTAATGCCTATAAGCCTTGCTGTAGTCTTCGAAGGAGTTCTTGGTCAAAGGAAGGTTGATAATCTTGAACGTCAAGATAGTAGTAGTTTATAATTAGCTTCCCTAGGATGTTGTTTAACTAGTGAGACTATCGCGATAGGGGTAATAAGTAGAAAGTGGAGAATCTATATTTTTATGGGAAAGATAGTGTAATGAACGATTCCTGCATTATAGAGCGGTCCCTGGGCGGTCTAGAATATGCCTACTTTATGCATTTTCGAAGTGGCCGCTATTGTTCTCTGTTAACACACGCCCACACCCTTCCCCCCCCAAAACCCAACTCCCCCACCGTAGTGTGCGTAGGTAATGGGCCATATTGAACTCATGGGACTCATACGTGGGAGCTGCCGCCACCTTACTCCCCTGGGGACTCCAAGGTACTGGGAGCACCAAAACTTATGTCAGGTTGCTTCTATAGACTTGAGCCTTGTTGGATAATTGACCGCTCTAATATTATTGAATGATTTTCTTTTTTGTTGGACAATAACACATATCACATATCATTATTTCAACCGGCAATCTCATTGGTGTTTGGCATAATCTCATTGGTTTTTGGCATATCTCACTTCAAACTTGTCGCGATCAGAGTCTCCATAGAGGAAAGCAGATCATGTACACGGTTTGCATTGGTCTTAAGCGACAAAGTTTCTTGACGTTCAAAGGGGGCCAGACTGACCTGATTGCAGCCAATAACGTAGAATCTTACATAGTGCCCGATGACAACAAGCCCATAAACAGGAATGTTGCTCTTTCTGTGACCCCACTTGTTGATATTCCGCTGCAACTGATCGTGAGCTTCCCTCCACGCCTGTAGAGTAATGTTGCCTCCGCTGGAAGGAGCGCGCTTGGCCTCCAAAAACAGCACTTTGTAGATTTCCCGACGGAGTAACCCGGTGACAAGTAGGTCGACGGCGCCGAGCCCGCTCTCTGAGGCATATGGCTCCCTTTCTATGCCATAATTTTCCTCGAGGGGGAAGTAATGCCGCAGGATCTGGGTCCACAGGTGTTTCACACGATCTTCAAGGCAGCCAGGCACAACATTCTGCAAGTACTTCTTGATAATCTGATGCTCAAGGAACTATGATTAATAACTCGTTAGTACAATCTCTTTTCAATCAAGAAACATGTAAATACAGGTTCAGAAGGCGCCATTGTGAGGCTAGGAAAGTGGTTGATAGAGTTTGTTCGAAGAGACAAGACTCGGGATGGAAAGGGCTTGCATGCGATATCGTTCGGAATAGTCGAAACTTCTTAGCTACGAAGGTCTTAAATATACTGTAAAGATCCTTCGCTGGAGAATGATGTGCCTCGCTTGGTACTGGCTAGGCAGTAGTGTAGGCTCCAAATGGGAAGTGATGTTGCCTTGCTTGGTGCTGGATAGGCACCAGTGCAGGCTCCATTAAGGATAGCACATTCAATTCACCGACATTGTTCTCGGTTCTACATGGTACGAGAATGATTAATTCTAATAGGTGGTGCATGTAGAAAGTTCAAAAAAATTCACGTTCTGGAATCTGAAGGTCTTTGGTTTGTTCCAGTGTTTCTCTAAGAAGGTCATACAATATTCAACCCCCCAATTACCGTTTTGGGAAATCACTTCTTATACCGAAATTCTACTATCTTTTGCTATGCCACTCTAGTCTCTACCACGATGTACATTTCACACGCCTGCCATATCTGCCACGCTGATATTAAATCCCCCTTTCTTCTCTGTCATCGCCATCTTGTTTCGCCCTCTGGTATATCCACCGCATCTCCTCGGGCAGTTTGGACTAGCGCCATAATATAAGTATGAACTCGACCGCCATCAAGCGCTCACAATACCTCTTCGGTAGCAAATATGATGACTCTGATTGGGCATATTTGAATATTAAGCGATTGCTAGTTTCTGTTGTGTCCAGTAAGATCCAACAGCTTGTTAAACTTGACAGAGCTAGATAGTATGTCTCAATGTCTCTAGGTTGTAGGGAGAGCCCAGATTGATATTGAGCTAAGCCTTTGATGCAGGCTATATACACTGTAAACCTTTTGGAACTTTTGGCTGATTATCACCGTCTGGCCCCAGACCCTCAATTCGTTTAGGACAATGCTGCTGCATACAAATGACTGCTTAATGCATAGGCAGCTTATTCATATTCTACTTACACTCACAGGTTGACCCAGGAGTTGACCCGCTCCTATAGCATGTGCAGTACTTCGACCCCGGCACCACCGTGCAGTCTATCTTGCCCATTTGTCCGCGATCCACCTTTCCGTTGACTCCATCTACCCCTGGCTCACGATTTCCACAGTGAAAGCCTCTCCTGGGATCTTGGCGACTGAATACTGGAGGAACGTGGTAATACTGTCCTCGAGGAGAACTTCAGGGCTCGGTGGTCGAGTTTCGGTCGCGTTGTGCAGAACGTCAGGCTGAGCGACCAGTTGTGAGCCTTTCAGCCAATCTCCAAGTCCAGGGCACTCATCCTAACTCCAGAATCAGGATGCCCCCGAGGGACATGATAATGACGTCGATGGAACAATTACTTACCTCCCTGGGCTACTCTATCAAAAGATGGTGGGTCTACTCATTGCAGAAGTCAAGCGAATGCTGCCCGGGAATCTCGGTGGATCCATTTAGTTATCAGGCCATAGATGCCCAGGACGAGCGGCACGATACAACAGGGAGAGGAAAGGCCATCTATTAGTGGTATGACCCAGCGGCAACCGGGGGCGCCCGGGGCGGCAGGCTGATATTTTAGGGAATCACGATCGCGGTACTAGGTAGAAGGGTTACCCTGGGGAGCTATGTACGAGGACTACTTCGGTCCTTATAGGAAGGATGTTTTGGTAGTCTTCGATTACTTTCTAATCCTACCTATCAAGACTCGCTATCAAACTACGCTGGCTAAGTATATCAATCTAGCGACTATATATACTACGGCGATATGCTATATCCCATAGTAGATAGCGTACAAACTCTTCTATATGGTACTGAGTGCTACTTTAAATCTCTCTACATATACAGCCGAGCATGTCGCTGGTATTTGATAGCGCGACGGCCAATATCTCGCTTAAGGTTTCTTCCATCACGTTCATCTATTGGAAGGGAATGCGATGTACTCTTGGGGATGATGGATGCTGTGGGCTTGAATATAACTATGGGCATGGTTAGGCTAAGCTTTGAAGGTGTGGTGCATATTGTCATTCAGAAATACTTGTGAATTACAGTGCAATGCTGAGATGGGTGAGGACAGTTGCTTTGGCGTTGGCTGTCTAGTAGTTATCGCTGTATATGTGATCATGATAGGTATCAGGTTGAGTTGAATACCTTGGAGTTATGAATAAAGGGATGAAATGCAATGCAGCTAGAGCAGGTCTTCTGTAACATGGCATGCCTATCCAGTTTAGTACTTATACCGTCGCGTTGGTAACCAGAGTAACCAGGGATCAAAAAGCCGGGTTCTCATCATCTCGGTCATAGCCACAAAATTATTTCAAAATGCAGGCTACTTCTATCGCGCTACGGGTGTCTTGGAGAAAGTGTTGCTCTTAGAAACTGTCAAGGATGTGACTGCGGATGCGACCGCCCAACTTACTGCCAGCAACCGATCCGTTGCTGGTGTAACCACACTCGTTTACCGTTTCATATGTAAGGAAAAGTATTGACAGCAACCGACGGGTTATAACAGCCAAGCAGCTGCGCATCAAATACGCAGCTACGCTTCCAACGGAAGCTGTGTTGGCAGTGAGACAGCTGTCTGACAGCTGTCTACTGGATGTGTTTGCAATGTATACAGAGAGCTATTTTAACAGCGCTCTTCCTATCGTTTAGCTAGTCATTCAAATCAATTCGTTCCAATATTGAATCCGCTTGAGCTGATTAGATAGCCTCAATATTAGCTTGCTTTAATAGTTATGAGCCCGACTGCCCGTTGACATCATCATCAAGAAAGACACGCACCATCTGCCTGGATCTTTCCGTCAACGACCGCGTCCGACCGATCAGATCAGCCCATCCAAAAGCCCCTATCCTCAGTCAGTCTGATTGTGTATAAATATGCTATCTTCTTAGATGGCTTAAGCGTCTACTGGAGACCCTTACGATCAGCGTCTCCGTAGCGAGGCCTAATAGCGTATGTAGATTAGCTATATCGAATCCGCAGCGACCGCCCTAAAGGTCTAGGGGTATATCGACCCTAACAAGACCGATAAGGAAGTTCTAAAGCCTCCGTCGGAACCGAGAGATACCTTCCTACGACCGGAAGAGGTTAAAATAGGTGTTACTAACCCGATGCTGCTAGACGATACAGATTATACCCGATATAGTCGTCTCGTTTAGATATTTAAAAAGGAAAGAGCGTTCTACTTTAGTATCTAGAAGAGCTTAGCGGATATAAATAACTATATCTTTATAATAACTTACCTAGAGAAATAGAGCTTACTAGCCGACAAGAAGACTACTAGAGAGAAGCTAGTTAAATTAGCCTAGGAGTTTAAGCCGAAGGGTACTACCCGCGTATAAGACCTTCGGATAGCCTAGAAGCTATAGATAATGACCTTATTCAGTAAGGCCTCCGTTTTAATAATAAAATAGCTAAACGACTGGTCGAGGCTATACGACGAAGCGTATATAGCTAAGGTACCCGATGTATAGCGGTATTCGTACGTTAAAGAGCATAAGGGAGATAAATTCGCTATTAGAGACTTCCTGCACTCTATCCCTCTTAGTAACGGTAACTTCGTCGACTAATATAGGGCTAAACTAGAGAGTAAGGACGAACTGAAGTTCTAGGACGTCGTTTCGGAATATCGGACGTAGAGAACCGTTCATAATTAAGCTAAAAAGAACATCTCTAATGCTATGGCCTTCGTAGCGACGCTATACGGACATTAATAGCTAGGTTAGCAGAATTAACAGAAGCCTCGATGTATATACGGAAGCCTAAGACATAACTAGAAAGACTACTTCTACGTTAATATATCTAAACGCCCTTAGGGATGGTAGTAATATAAGGCCTCTCGTAAGAAGGTCGAAGCTAGTATTAAGAAGCTAAGCCTCGCTAAATAGTAGGAAATTACTAAGCTAATAAGACCTAAAGCCTTATTAACCGCTTAAAAGCCCGGCTAGATAGCTTAGCTAGCTATTACCGACGGTTTCGACGAGATAAAGATAGAAACTATAGAATTCCTCCTTACCGATAACCCCTATTATTCCTTTACATTCGATATTACCCCGGCCGTATATAACGCTACGGTATCCCTTCCTCTTAAGAATAGCTAGATTATCGACTCGGGCGCTAATATATATATCTATAACCGTATCGATCGCTTCGAGGGAGGTATAGTAGAGGAGAAGCGAATAGTTATACTAGGAAGTAATAAGATCGCCGCTTATAGGAGAGGAACAGCTAAAGTTATAGTTAAAGACCCGACGGGTAAGATCTTATAGGCTTACTTACCGAATATATAGTATATCCCTAGATTCTAAACTAATATCCTATCCGTGTCCGAGATAGGTAAATTAGGCTTCTTTTTTAATAGCCGTTACCCTACTATCATTCGGAACGATCAGCCCGTAGCTATATATAGTAGAAAATTCGGTCTGTATCTCCTAGAGTATTACTAGGGTGATTAGTACGTTCCGATAGTGATAGGACCTCCGCTCGCCTTTCCGATAGTTAAAACATCCTCCAAACTAATAGTATTAGTCGCCTCACCGTAGATTTAGCACCGTAGACTTAGCTATATCTATCCTAAATATATTAATAGCCTAGCGAAGATGGTTAATAGTATAGTAATTAAGGGAGAATTCATAGACAACGCTATATATAATCCGGAGAGATATAAAGTCTATTAGTTAGCGAAGGTAAAAAGACAGATATCCCAGCGACTAGTAGAGAGATCACGTACCTTTAGCAAGTTCGGAAGGCTTCATTTTAACCTCGTATAGTTAGACCAAGCTCGTAACGGTTATAACTAGATGTCTTACTTTCTTCTTAAAGGTATTCAGCTTTATATAATCTAGACACATAAGCTAAAGAGTAGTTACGTCCCTACTATCAAGAACTTTACTACTATCTATCGAACATAATTCGGTATAGGCCTTAGAGTGTTCAAAAGCGATAACGAACAGACTATAGGCTATACCATCCGCTAATATTATAAAGATAAGG